CTGCGCTGCTCTGCCCCCCTTAACAATCTATTCTCTGGCTATTAATTGTTGTTATAAATAAGAATTAACTTTGCTGTGGGGCAACACATTCATAAATTTCAATTTGTTAAGAACGTGATTTTGGTAAGCGCCCAAAAGAGTGTGGGAGAGAGAGAGATAGGAGTGCGGTGTGGGGGCTGGATGACCAAGCCAAGTCACGTGCGCATCTCTAGGAGAGGACCGCGACAGCATTCGCCTGCCTTGCCTGCTTACAGGTTTTCTTTCCATTTTTTTTGTTCAACTTTTTGGCCCAGGCTTAACTTGACTTTGGCTGACCAAAAGAGGCCTCAAACCCGCAACTCGAAGCGAGCCTCGTCGAATGCCTGTGTCCTACGTCCAAGCGAAAGGGGTCTGGGGGTCCTGAGGTCTGAGAGCGGGTACTAGCCTCTGACACCGGAGCGACACTCCACTCTGAATGCGAATGGAGGAGCGTTGCCTATACATTGTTGTAGCTTGTTGCAGCTCCCCAAACAACATGAAACGAGGCATAGATGGCGGCGAAACGAAGATATAGATACACTAGAGATACATTTTATCTGGGGGAAACTACTAACACAAAGATATATCGATTTGGTTTGGGTTTTATCGACAAGTTATCCATTAAACTAGAATTTTAAATGTTAGGCTGGCTCAAACTTTAAGCCTTAATGCCAGTATTCCTACAAAAACCTTATATTTAGGATATTTTTATTTATATATGTATTTTACAGCATTGTAAAAGCTTTCTTTGCTTTCTGCGATACCCTCTGAAAGGGTAGGGTATCAGCAGTGCGAGTGCCAGTGCCAGTGCCAGTGCTAGTGCCAGCCTCGTGCACTGTGTTGGTATAAATTCTCGCCTTTCATTTTGGCGAGTAGTCACGATTTATGCGAAATCATTATAGGCAAGTATTTCTTTTTCATTTTACGACGTTTTATCTGCAGGAAGAAGACACTAACCGACACAGCCAGCCACAGCAACAATACAGACAATATATACTATATATACAATATACATAGATACATACAGGTATATACACACATATATAGTGTACACTATAATTGCAGTCAAGTCAATTAAATACATAGATTGCAGCATGTCGATAAGACATTAACCTTCCCTCGCTTCCCGATCGCGCTCTCTCTCTCTCTCTCTGTCTCTGTCTCTGTCTCTCTGTCTTCCCCTCTCTCTTTAGCACCCAATCTTATTATTTGTGACTTGGGCTTTTTATTTGAGCGTTTGGTGGTGTCTTGGGATATTCCTCTTCTTTTTTTTTTTAGAAAATGGCAGGTCATTTCACTTAGCCAGTGAGTGGGGTGAAGTTCGGGCCAGACCCAAAGAGAGTGGCAGTGGGGAGACCTGCAAGATGGTACCCAGAGAGAGTGAGAGAGACAGGCAGAGAGAAAGAGGTCTTCCTTTTTGGCAAGGGAATTTATGAAGACATGAAATGACTTTGATGTTTTTTATCTCCTTCTGCAAGCGTCCGCTCGCACGCCTCCCCTCCCACAGTACCCTGTACCGATGACTTGCAGTGGAAAATGTTGGCCATTTGTTACGGCCAAAACGGTCTTGTCTAAACATCAAATTATAGATAAAATCTAACATGAATATGATTAGTCTGCTCGGTGCGATCTATGGCTTAAGCCTTTGTATAATTATAAATGCTTAAAATGTCACCTGTGTGCGCTTCCAATGCGTGGGATTCACACACAGACTTTCGTTCTTTTATTGTTATTATTTGCATAATTTGAATATCAACTATAGTTAAAACGTTTCCTTTTACTTATTCCCTGTCCGAGTGCAGCATATTTAATTAATGGTATAAATTATTGCATTTTTCTGTCATTCCTCTGTTTATCTTCCATAATTTTCCTCCCCTAGTCACTAGTGCTAGTATAATCTCTCTCTCATTATATATCATATAAATTTCTTTCCCCCTAATCTACCATTAAAAGGTACTACTCGCTGTATCGCTCCCACCACATACCATTAAGAGGGCATATAGTAATGGCTGAAATGGCCATCTTCCCTATCAATCTGTCTACCTCGCAAGCAATCCCCTCAATCAATTTAGTGCGCAGATGAAATTCCCTGCAATAAAAGCGATTAATTAGAACATCAGAGTAAGCTTCCGGCTGGAGCGATCCAACTTTTTACACCTGCCGACAATTTCCCCAAGACTTTCACTCGTGTGCCTACGGGAGCGACGGGTAACGTAACCCTAATACTGGCCCCATCCCTTGCCAACCATTCGATTCCCTAGAGATAAGGGCATGGGGAAACAGCAAGAAAACAAAACACTTGGCACCCAGGGAGAAGGGCCGTCATCAATGCGTGTAATCAACACTTTTATGTGATCCCAAATCCAATTCTCAACTAATTACCAGAGCATCGATACGAGTAGGCAATAGCTGCTATGTGGCATGTGTATGTGTGTGTGTGTGTGTGGGGCAGTGTGGCACGTGAAATGGGCATTTGTGTTGCTGTGTTGTGTGGATTGCATGTGGATTGGGATTGGCTCGCAATTATCGGGTGGCATTAAAGACCTGCGCTGATGATGGCCCCCACCATATTGTGCGATGTTTATTTACTGAACCGAAAGGAATCCTCAATTCGAACGAATCGAAACTGCAACCTGGCACCCTCGCCCGTTGCCAGCGCCAGTGCCGGTTCCAGTTTCTGCCCCAAAAGCTTAGTGGGGCCACAGCTTTCTGCTTTAGTGTGCAGTTTTGTTTAAACAAAATCAATCCAAATCGATTGGTGGCAAATAAAGACGTAAATCAAGGGACAGACGGTGTACAGTGTGGAGGGATGGGAAAGCCGTAACAGATTAAAGGGGCCCTTCTTTTGCCTGTGGGTTTGGTTTGGGGCGATAAGAGAATGGTCTTGTCCGTTTGGAAATTAAAGCAAACTGAGGGAATGTGCCGCCGGGCAATGCCACCAAAAGAGGCACTAATACGCTGTAAGTACAGATGGAGATTAGGAGGTAAAGTACGAGTTTATTTAGTTTAAGTAAAGAATGAAACAGAAGAAATGGGAGGAAAGGGAATTGGCTTGTTGGGGAAATGTTTCTGGCATTCACAATCCATCAGAAATCATTCGGATCTGTTAGCAATCGCAAGTAAAAAAATGTGTCCCTATAAGAGTATTTTGGAGTGTTTTTCGATACTTATTAGAACAAATAAACATGAGTGCATATGGACTTGTGGTTCTTAAGACACCCCGAAAACTACTAAAAACTGTTGGGAAATGGTATTTCCGTGATAAAGCCCCCCCATTCCACACACCTTAGAGGATATCAGCTAGTCGTTGCCTGATGATCCTCCTCCTCCATCCATCCATGCACTTGAGTGTTTATTTACACTCGTCTTGTGTCTAATGTCCCATTCCCCGCTCTAAAGATCTTTCGGGGTTCTTTTTTTTTAAGTAAGCGATTAGTGCGGCGGGGCTGCTGTCGGCTGGGCATGGGCTGTGTGGGGGGCAGGGGAAGACAATGAAAATTTGTCACTTGACAAAACAGAAACAAAACGATTTCCATTTGGGCGACGACAAATAAGACATGAGGCATACATAAGTGGACGATGACTACCCCCTCCATTCCTGACAGTGGGCTCTAACTTGGGACACACTCGCCCGCCTCCTTTCACTCACTCTCTTGAATGAGTGCCAATGTATTGGAAGTAAGAGCCAAATCAACAGAACAATCGTCGTCACACACACACACAGGACACACAGGACACACAGGACACACACAGGACTCAGAGGACACTCTCTCAATGATTGTTATTAGTACATTTGCTTCTGGAGTATATCTAATTTGCCATTGATGTGTGCATTAAGTTTGTATTGGAGGCACAGCACAGCACAGGACAGAACAGAACCACCAGACATAGGCTGTGGCGGCAGTGTCGTAAAACATTAGTGTCCCCTGAGATTAGAGCAACAACAGCGAGAAAGAGAGACCGATAGAGAGATAGTAGCAGGGCAGGGACAGGAAGCGGCAGAGGAAAAAGGCAGGCTCATCGCCCTTTTATTTGACATTGGGCCATATTTATTGCCAACTCATTTCAATGCAGGAAGATAGAGACAGGGAGGGGAAAGATAGAAACTAGAAGAAAGAGAAAAGCGAGACAGAAACTAGGGAAAGACAGAGAAAGAGGCGCTACGCAATTCTGACAAAGCGGAAAAGCAAAATACGCCATCAAAATAAATAACAGAAAAACAGACACATACGCACACACATACACATACGCATACTCATACGTATGCGGGAGAGGCTGTAACAACACCAAGGAAAAAAGTCAAAAAGTTTAAGCTGGCACTCCACTCCCGACTAAAGGATACCTGCTTAATTATAAATTGTAGGGAATTATAATTCGAAAACTGGTTTCCTTCGAAAATAGAAAAATATTCCTCTCTATTAATTTGTCTTTTGATTATGCATGCAGAATATACAGATAAATTCAACAATACAGACTGTCGCCAGCTTTCAAAGCATTTTCATAAACTCAATCACTAACTGGACAAAAAAGCTGCAGTGATGGATGTACGGATTTGGGGATAATTCGCTGATTGGGAAACGCTTCCCTTCTGCCAGCAATACACGAATTCAATATACCCTTTGCACTTCTCAAGTACGAGGTATACAAATACAGTAGCACAGCATTCGGCGTTCCGCAAACAAAACGTAGGAGTAGTACCGCAAGAGAGACAGAGAGAGATAGAGAGAGAGATAGCCTGGGGGAGGGTTACGTTACGTTACAGTTACTGTTTGGCGGCGGCGTCGCGTCCCACCCAAAATGTAATGAAATCCTTTGTGTGAATACGTGTGCGTGTGCGCCAGTGTGCGTTTTGTTTGTCAACTTTTTTGGCCAAGGCGGCGGCAGCGCATAAAAATGCTAATACCCAAACACTACAACAAATTGAGGCTCAAACATAAGCTCAGACGCCGCCGCCTAACTGTATAATTTCAGCGAGCACTTACCGTTTGAATTCAGCCAGGTGAGGGGGCGGGTAGCAGGAGCAGCCAGGAACAGAGTCAAAAGCACCGCTAATCCAAGAGTCCTTTCCGCTCAGAAATTGTGACACACTCGACAAACACACACAAACACTTAGAAAAACCACTGGCACTTGTACAATAATCACTCCGCTCTTTGGGTTGCGAAAAACTTAATTTTCATTCGTACTTTATTCGAATTGCGCTTTTATATTCCGATTGCGAGACGAAATTCAGGAATTTCAAGTGGAAATCTTGTCGGAGCACTTTTTGACGAGCCCCAACAACCGTCTTGTGGCGGCGACGGCGGCAACGATATGCTGGCGAACAAGAAAAACTTTTGGCCAACTTCTTAGTTAAAGTGCTTAGCTAAATGGCTTTTACACCGCGCGCTTCTTAATTATATGCACAAGTTTTTCGCTTCTCGACAAAGTTTTTCCTTTTCAGAATAACACTTTTACCGTTCGACGACGCGCAGCGACCGCGCAGTTGGAAATTTGTGATGTTTCTGGTGCAAAGTTGCACAACAATGCTGCCATACAAATCAAATGTATCTTACGGGAACGCGTATGGAATGACGCAACAATGAATCTTCATTCCATACGCAAAACATGTTGCTCACACCACGAAATGTCACCTCTGAAAAGAGAGCAAATTTTGAAAAACCACCACGAATTGAGAGTGAATTTTGAAAACCCACCACGAAGCTCTATGTGACTTTTTTGTGACGTCTTTGCTAAGAAAAAAAGAGGGTATGGCCAATAGGAAAAATGGACCAGAAAATTCAAACACACCCCCTTTTTAACACACCATGGCCGTCGATACCTTGCCAATTTACGCTCTCCCGACTCATTTTTGCGCTTCAAGCATGAGTCCAAAAAATCTCCCTTCCGGTAACTACACGTTAACTACACATTTTCTACATAGCAACTACATATTGTGTAAGAACGTAAGTGGGATCAAAATGTTACGTTATTCGACCACTTGTTGCTTCTCACCGATAGTATGGGCATTTGTATACCCTATTTCTTTACAGTAATGTAAAAATTGAGTTTTCCAAGCCACTTATTAACACTAAAAATTACTGTTTCTTAGAGTGACATGTTTTTATCGATAAAAGCTGCCAGATCAATTGATTTCTGCTTAAGCCCGCCTACGTGATTATTTGAAAATGCAGCAGATTAACTTCTTTTTTTTGCACCAAAACAGATGCAATGTGCAAGTCATAATCAAAAAAGAAAATCCAGGGAAATTGCGTGACTATTTGACTCGAATTGTATCCAGATGAGCTCGTTTCCTGTCTGGCTCATTACCCATCCCCATTCTGCTTGGTTGCTGCTTCCTTCAGAATGTTCTGCTCCTCGCTTTCCCTTTCTGAATGGTCACGTCACGTTTATTAATCGGCTTAGGTCTTGGTTTGGTTTGTTTTTTAAATACGCAGCGCGGTCCTTCACTACCGGGCACGTAGCCCATTGTTTGGATAGTTTTAGGGGCAACTGCGTCGACAGACGACAGATCCGATCCATAAGCATGAAATATGTGACACGGGGGTAGGTAGGTAGGTAGGTTTGAGATCAACGAACAACTCACAGACTTAAGGACCGGTTATGTCAGCTGTCGGACGCTAATTCAGTCGGTTAATGTTTAGTTCTTTTCATTATTATTCGCATAACTACAAGTAATATTCGTATTTGTATAACTAGCGCTAATCAAGTCTAAAAAAGCAAGCAGATATGTGGATCGTAGCAGAGTTCGCTTCTGTACGACACGAAATTAGTCAATTAAATCACAGATGTATTATTTTGCGCACACTCGTCCACATCCACGCCGGGCGTCCGGTCCGGTGGCTCGGCATTTAGCACCAGGTTCTCGATGGAGCGGAACGAGGCGTCCTCTAGGTGCGTGGACATGGCCGTCGCAGGCGGACGTGGCAAAGTGTTGGCAATGCCACTTCCTGCAGCCCCTCCCTGACGGGGCAGCGGCGGCTGGCGATGACGCACTGAGGAGCGCAAAATGGTTACCACATCCTCGGCGGTGTATGGACGCCGCTCCAACGTGGCCATGGCCGAGGTGGACACCGTTTCTGAGCCTGGCCGATGCAGCTTCCGGCCTAGGGACTGCGAACGTTGTGCATAGCTGGCATGGCTGGGTCGCTGCCCAATCTCAATCGACTCGGGACTGCTGCCACTGCTGCTGCCAGCTGGCGATAGCTCTGCCTCTGCATTGGAGCTGCTGCCCGCTGGATTGGTTAGTATGGTCAGATAGTCGGGCGGTGCCACCGGCGATCCAGACTCCGCATCGATGCTGAGCACGGGTCGCGTGCGCCTGGAAGAATCTCCGAGTACTCTGTGGATGGGGAATACTCTGGCTATCATCTGGGAGTGGATCTGTGCGAGATTTGTACTCTTTACCTGCGCACGCTGCGTCTAATGCTCTGGCGCAGAAGCTTGGCCAAACGAGCTCCGGTCGCTGTGGTGTACGATGGCGGCGGCGTGTACTTGGGCGGGGCATCATTCTGGGCGTCAAGCTGCCCATTGTCTTGCTGCTGGCCGGCGGCATTGCGACGGCCCTGGGTTGCGTTCTGGCGGGCCGAAGGACGTCGCGGCTCGTCTCCCTCCTCCGGCGGTCGGTACAGCAGTTGAATGCGCTGCAAAGTGGCAGATAAATCGGACATTAATGAAAGATTTCCCAGGTTATTCCGAAGCTCAGGCTTACCTCTAGGATGTCGGGAGGTCCGTGGGTCAAATACCGATAGATCTGGATGATGGCCGTAACGGGAATGACCAAAACAATGCCAATTTGGATGAGGCTGCCCGTCTTTCGCAGCCAGTAGCTAAAGTACGACTTGCCGCGCCAGTAGTAGAACTGATTCGACAGCGATGCCTTGTAGTCGACCACCGAGAGCGTGATCAGGCCAATAGGCAGCAGAACATTCCAGGAGAGGGCCAGGAAAGCGGACATGGAGCCGCACATGCGCAGATCATTCACCAAGTCATCGCCATTGTAGGGACGACCGCGTATCAGGAACACACCAAATATCTGAGCCGTCCAGATGATGGGTATAAACCAGGAACCGCCCAGCAGAAAGTCCACGTAATACAGTATCGAAATTCCCACCTCGGTGGCAAACGGAATGCTGAGCAGCAGCCCGGTAACGCAGCTCAGCAGCACGGAGCTGGTCGAGTTGCCCAAAGCACTCGAGATGGGCTTCCACATCACACACAACTGGGCCAAGCCAAAGCACGCGAACAGGGCAAACGCCACCGCAGCCCACACCCAAGAGATGCTCTCACTGGCCAGCGATAGAACGGCCGGAAAGAGTTCGGTGATGAAGCGCAGGGCCTGGAAGCCGCTCTCAATGTGAATCATGGTTCGATTCCGACGATACGTCTCCCCAATGAACGACGAATAGTGCGGCACCAGCGAGCGTGGATACGACAGCAGCTGGGGATTGGTGTTCGATTGCAGCGAGTACACGGACGTATAGCTGTCGGGTTTTTCTGGCGAAGCAATTGAATTTCAATTAGTTTTCTATTCTGTATATTCTCTTCTTAAACTCACCAAAGGATCCTGGCACATAGACGTAGCCATGCTGCCAGAGAATCTGGGCACAGCATAGGGCCAGCAGGGCCATCAGCCCCAAGCCCAAAAAGGTGAGCAGCACCAGGACAATGGCATCGCGTCGCAGGGTCAGCTTTGAGGCACTGGCATGGGTCCGACTGGTTATGGCTATCACCGAGGCGCCCAGCAGGCCCCATGTGAGGAAGGTCTCCTGTGTGGCCGCCGTCCAGCTGTTGGAGTTCACCAGAAACTCATCAAAATCGCTGGCAGCGAAAATGTTCTACAAAACGCACACAGAAACGTACAGAAATGTGTTATAGAAATGCCAGAGAGGAGCGTTTATAAGGGACGAGACGAACCTGGAGCTTTGTGGGATCCACGACATAGAGAAACTTCACAGTCACCACCATGAGGGCCAGCAGGGGCAAGGTGTTGATGAGATATGCAAACTTGCCGAGAGATTTCAGTCCTTTGCAGAGTATGAGGAAAACGCCCGCCCAGATGAGTGCCAGGTAGAAGGCCAGCTGCTGAAAGGAGAGGCAGTTAGTCGGTTAGATCGGGGGGGAGGAAGTGGAAGGATTGTGGAGAGTGGTTGGGGAGAGGGAGCGAGGGCGGATCACCTACCCGATCGTTGACATGAAAGCGCACGTTACTCGCATCCGTATGCTTGGCCAGATGCAGCCGCTGCAGGACCACAATATTGAAGTACTCGGCCACCGTTTGGGTGAGATTACCGGTGGCATTGGCCGTGTCGTAGCGATAGGGAAAGGCCAACTCCTGCCAGCGGTAGCCGATGCGTTCGGCTGTGGGAAAGACATCCCGCAGATAGACCAGTATCCAGGCAATCGACACCGTCGAGTAGATGGCCAGGAAGCACTGGACCATCACCAGAGCAATGCCCACGCCGGAGCAGATCGGACTGATCTTCCACATGGAGACGGGACCGGCACGAATCTTGGCTCCCAGGCACATCTGCAGCCAGAAGAGCGGGATGCCAAAGATGATGGAGAGCATCAGGAACTGGAGCAGAAAGTTGCCGCCATAGTTCATGGTGAGCACGGCAAAGCGGCACAAATTGAAGACTCCGAGGGTGCAGGCCATCAGGGCCAGAGTGCGACTGCCGGCATGGGGCCAGTGGCTGTTGAAGCCGCATTTCTCTCTCAGCGGCAGATGAAGCGGCTCCAAGGGGGTGGTGCTGCTGGCACTGCACATGGTGGTGCTCTGCGCCTGCAGCTCCACCTGGTCCTGATCCCGATCCTCCTGATCGTGGGTCGTGCTCACCGAACTACTGCTGCTATCCGAGACCAGGGACAGGGGGCTGGGCATGCGGGAGGAGCGGGCCGAGCTCAGTTCCGAGCACGTGGTCATCATTTGATGCGTTGGCGTCTCCGGCTCGGGCAGATACACCCTCGTTGGTGCACTCTGCGGCCGGCTCTGTCCCACAACTGTGGCTCCACGAGACGGTGTGGGAGGTCCCTCCAGGCGGCGACCATATTGCCGGGGTCGCTCCTCGCTGGAGGCTCGCGCCGCCGTCCGCTGTTCGTTCTGGAGCAAATTATCAAAGATGTGCGCCTCGGTGAGCATCTCCGAGCCATACTGTTGCGGTTCCTGCTGGTGGGTCTGACAATCGCCCTGCGAGAAGCAACGACGCATATCCGTCTCCCGACTGGGCGGCAAATCCACTAGCAATGTGGGCAAGTCATCTTCTTCCCCCACTGTGGCTTTGGTCTCATCTGGCTCTGGGGGCTGCTGCTCCATGGCGCGTCGCAAGGACTGACGAAGCCACACGTCTGCGACTGGCTCCTCCAGTGAAGCGTCCAGGGAGGCGGCACTTGAGCAGGCTGCTGCAGGAAAAACAAAGTTTATGTAAGTTATTGATTTCTACCGATTTGTTGGTTGTGCAATTTACCCGCTTGGCTTGTGCTGGGCCTCAGGGAGCAGCTAAAGGTCTTTCGTATTTGATGCTCCCGCTGGAAGTCTCCGTCGCCCATAAGGCCACTGGAGGTGGCATCCTCATCCAGGGGAGACTTCTTGTGTGCCTTTCGTTTCCTACTCAGCGGCAGGGTGCGTGTTCGCGGCTCTCGGTTTAGGCTTGAGTGACTATCGATGATGACCAAAGAGTCCTCTCGACTCAGGGCATTGTCCATTTCCTCCAGATAGTTGTCCAGATCCATCAGATAGTCTTCCACCTTGTCATCGTCACTGCCGCTGTTCATCGAGGGGGAGGTGTTGCGAGAGGGGGTGCCATTCAGCTGCGAGGCACCGTGCACGTCCAGTATGGCGTCCAGTTCATTCAGCACACAGAGCTCGGCCTCATTCGTGTCGCCCTGATCTCGCTTGATGGGCGTACTCAGGGGCGGCGGCTGCATGTCCTGGCTGCCACAGAAGGCACTTCGATCGTCCTCGTTTATCTCCATCTTAAAGCTAATGGGTTGCAGCTGCAGCTGCTGCTTCTGCTTTGATTTTTGCTTCTGCTGATGGAAGCCCTGTGGTGTTTGCTGGATCTCAATTAGATCCTCGTCGCTCAGTTCATCGTCGTAATAGTCGCAGGCCTGGCGCATCGATTCGCTCGAGAGGCTGTGCGAGAGTCCATAACGTTCGGGCTCCAGTTGTTGTTGTTTTTGTTTTTGCTGCTGCTGTCTGCGCGGCTTGCCCGCTGTGTGTCCTGTGGATGCACCTGCTGACGAGGAGGATGTTGATGGTGTGGGTGGTAGACTAGCGTAGGCATTTGAATTGCGTTTGAATTCCCCCCGGCCTGCTGCTTGTTCTTTATTGTTCATTTTGTTTGCATTGCCGCACAGCTGATTTCTGGGGCTGGTGTGTTGGCAAGCGGCGTCTGTTGTTATCCTGCTGCTGGGCCCAGTGTTGAGCAGGGGCTGTGTATTCAAATTGGTCCTGCAAAAAAGAAGAAGCAACTTAGTTAAGTTACTAAAGTGCTGTTTTAACGATCTTTATGCACTATCTGGCCATTGAGATAGGTCAGCGGTCAGTGGAGATCTGATTAGATTAGCCTGCATTATATGCAAAAATGTGCAATCAAATGCAAACAAGCGCGTGCTCTCAGCTTTTACGATTGTTTGCACGTGGGTGAACCCCCCAGCTGTCCGTTTTGTGACAGCCGCAAATGGTCGAGAAAATAAAAATATAATAAATAATTTCATATGTGGGTATAGTATGAGAGAAACAGAGAGAGAGAGAGAGCGAAGTAGAAACAAACAGTGCGGATAGCGCATGTTCATTCAACTGATCAGGTGAATGTACTTCCGTTAATAACTCTTTTTTTCATCCATGATATGTGCATACATATAAACAATCTGAAAAGGGAGTGGCGTGTGTTGGTTCGGGGGACCGGAGCGGCAGACTAGGCACTCAAGCCGCTCTGGCACGTTACCTCGATTAAAGTCAAATTTCTGTGTTTTATTTCTTCTTTTTTCGGACGCTGCCGCTGCCGCTGCCCGCCGTATTTTCAGTCTCAAGTCGAGAAATCTGGCTGAATCACAGAGTCTCTGGGGTCTGGTTTTCTTGTTTCGGTCGATTTTGCATATGTATAACCGTGACCTTCACAGAGTTTTGTCGCAGTCGCTGTTTTGTTGGGGCCATAAAAAAAAAAACATTAACTTTAAAGAGATCGGATAGGCACCGCACCGCAACCGCACAGCATCGCATCGCATTAGGGCTGTCGCACACAAAGAAAATCAGTTAACCTGTTAGGAGGAGTAGTATAGTATGCAGTTGTCTCCGGCTAATAGAATAAGCAGCGTCCATATATTAATTGTTGACTTGAGAGGTCAAATTATTTAGCGAACAGATGCCATTGATCGCATATTCACACACACTTTCCACTACCCGTGCCCTCCACCCCTCCCTCTCTCGCACACTCATTCTCTATACGGGGCTGGACGACAGACATTACGGGTCTCTGGGGAGACGTACCGTTAAATTTCGCCGCTGCTCTCGTTTTTTCGCATCAAATGTCAGAGAAATAAAGGCAAACAAGACAATTAGTGCTGCCGTTTGAAAATGCAGTTTGGCAATTGGCAACTCTGTCCGCACGGTCATTTATGCTCCGAATGATCAAGGTATATTGAACAGACGGTAAGGAAAAATCGTTTAAGCATCCAAAATGCCAATTGTAACCAGACATAGTAAAAGTCACTTCAATTGGTGGCAAAAAAAAAAAAACTTTGTTAAGCGGACACCTGGAGCGCCTTACACCTTTATTTAATAAACCTTGCTAATGACCTTCGGTGGGGGCTAAAAAATGGCAACACCCAGCTGCCAAACGGCAAAAGCGGCTAACAACTTGTTTTCTTTTCGTTGCAATTTTAATGCAATTTACAATGAAATTGACATTCACCAAACAAACAAAATAAAACTAGTTAATGCTGGGGTACACGACGCACCGCACCACGTACTAGCTCCAATGAAAAAACCTATGATCGCGAGCGATGCTTGCAAAGTGTGGTTTCCTTTCCACTCACATTGGTTGCTGTGTATGTGTACCTGGGGTTGCAACGCAGCACCGAATGGTACCGTTTTCGATGTGAGCCACCAGTCAGTCTGTCCCTATGGCTATTATTATGGTTACAAAAAGAAAATCAAAGTGCAGCACGTTTTTTCCTTTGCTTGAGCGCCATTTCCTATTTGACGCCACAGAGGGTTAGAGAGAGATAGAGAGACAGAACTGACAGCTGCCAGGTTTTTCTTTCCAGCGAAGCCAGCCCGGGGGCTTGACTGGTACTGGTGCTGACGCTGGCCCTGGTTTGCGGGGCAGTAAAGGGAGGGGAGGTGGGTCTGATGTATGAGTAATGCAACAGCCAGAATGTTGCAAACTGCAGCAGCACGTTCAATTAAGTTCAATATTTGAGGAAAGCAATGGGTCAATTGCAAAACAAACGATCGTGCAAATGTATACAGAAAAGGCAGCAGATTCTCTACGAATAAGCAATGGAGATAGCGGGAATTTCGTTATTTATTTGTTTATCTGCTCATTTGGCATACCGCAGAACGGGAACGGAACGTGAAAGGGAGCCCTGCCATGCCCTGCTTTTGTTTTTTTCTGCGTTGTGGAAATCGCTTTTACAAAACAAAACACACACACACAGATACATACATAAATACGCACAGTCACATTATCCGCTACTTATGAATAACTGTTTTTCAGCGGAATAAAAAAACAAATAACGAAATGCTGAGTGCTGCTGGATTTGCCAATGCGGCTTGAATGGGGAATACCTTAAGTGGGGATTGGTCATTCCCTAAGCGATCCAAAAACAAAAAAAGAACCACACAGCTGTTTTCCCAAAAGAGTTTGACCCGAAAAACGGAATGGAACCACCGCGTATGCGCAGCACGCCCCAGCCCCGAAACATCATTTCAGATTTCATTTTAATGTGTGTCTCTGTGTGTGTGGAAGTAGTATTACTTTCGGGTAGAAATAGTGAGATCTGTAGATACGATACGTGTCGTGCTCTCACTCTCTACCTCACCTCCTCTCTCCTTTGACGACCATGTGTGTGTGTGTGTGTGTGTGTGTGTGCTGCTTTTGTTTCTCGCATTTCCAAGCCCACGAACAAACAAACAGAAGAAAGAAGATTCCAAACTTACGAAACAAATCAAAAGGGAGCTGTTGTGGGGCAACTTGCCACACAATCGCAGGTCTAGCGCGCCTTCTCGCTCTTTCGCCCACACTTAGTACGAGCAGTTAGCATAATGCACCAGTCACACACTCACACTCGCACTAGCACACACTCTTAGTTAGATGTATTTTTATATGAAGAATACTCACACACACGTGCACGCTATTGGTAATTTTGATATTTTGTATCTTGTTTTCCTCTGAATTCATCAGAATAATTTGCTTTTTTTTTCGAGTTGGGTTTCGTTTCTGTTTGCGTGCTACCGTCGCGACCAAGGCGGCGACACTCGAGTTAATTTCGTTCTGCAACCGCACAACTTCAAGAAAATGTTAATAAAAAATTTTTAATTTTTGAACTGGCAGTGCAACTTCAAGAAAATCAGTGTGACCGCGGATTTATCGCTCAAATATACCGCCTGACTCTAATAAATATACAAAAATATACTTTGTCAAATATACCGTAAATATACTGACGGAAACGACAGTATACGTTGATATTCCTCGCATTTGATATTCGGTTTAATATTTCTAGCTAGTTAGCCCTCTCAGCCCTAAAATAATAATTTTATGAAATCTATTAATAAATTTTGTACAAACTTGGCTAGTTTTCAGAACTCCTTTTTATTAGATGTTTCATAATAAGCTTCAAAAATTAACGGCCAAAGCAGTAAACGAAATGTGACGTCATTTTGCTGGTCAACCAGGTTTCAGCTGTGCGTATGTACAGTTGTATACCCTATTTTCTATTTTGAATTTTTAACAAGCTGCTTTGAAACATTAATTTTGAATTTTTCTTAGATGGACATTGTTTTTAATTAATTAATTATAGCCAATCAATTCGAATCGATAGTGATCGATCACGATTTGAATTAAAGAGCGGGGCAAGTAAGACACCTATTTAACATTTACATATATATTTATATTTCGTATTCGAATCGAGATTTCATATTTTTATGTGTAGTCTATACCTTATCAGCGGCCTATAAACAGTATCAACAAAAAAACACACTTGTTAATAGGATTACAATAACAAAATAAAGATACGTGATAAACGCAGCGACTTGTGTACAACCCTTCACAGCTAGATAGTACTGGTAGTGTTCGGCGTCTAGTGATAGGAGATTGCTTAAAGTTTTTGTGATGTGTTGCTCTTCTTAAGAAAGATTAATCTTAGTGTATTGTATAGACTGTGAAGGGTAGATAACGTTTAACCGCAACCTATCAGTTATTTAACATCAATACGGATGATAGATCGCCATCACCAGATGCAGTTTTGCAGGTATATACTCAGTAGGTATTATATAGTTAAAGGTATTCGTATTCCATTTCCATTAGCTGACCAACAGATTATTTGAACTATTTTTTCATTAAATTAATTTAATTTGGCGTTGGGTAATCAGAACCCGAACATAAACAAAAGTTCGAAGCATCTGTTCTTGCCAGACACACACGGAAGGAATACCCTTAGTAATTATCTAATATATGTACTGTGTATTGATATATGCCAGCGGCTGCTGCTCTACGATAGAAATGTGCGCACAAATCCCTTTATGTCGGCCCGGCACATGGGACAGTTGGCCACGCTGGGGGCGCACTGATTGCACGTCGCTGCAGGGCGAGAGGGTTTGAGTTTGAGATAACAGCGAGTACAGATATGGCATGACTTACCCAAGTGACCGCAGGGCAGGAACACCACCCCAACCTCCTCGTCCAAACACACTTTACACAAACGGGCGTCCTTCAGCTGGCGGTTCTCCTCCTCCAGAGAAATATTGCCATTTGGCGACGCCAGGGACATTCTCTGCATCTGCTCCGAGATGTGTGTCTGGGAAATGACATCCGGCTCTGGCTTGATCTGGGTGACTTCGGAGGCTGCTGCCGCTTTGCTGGTGGTGGCTCGACAGCAATCAAGGGGCGGTGCAGTTGGCTCTGTAGGCTCCCGCACCTCGACGCCAGTTTCGCAGCCCGCCTCGTCGAAAATGGCATGCAGCAGTTCGTCCAGTGATTCGAAAGCACAGCCTGAGCTGGAAAGCTTGCGTTGAATGGTGTTTCTCACCACTCCTCCATCTATGCCCAGGGCGAGGGCTTCTTTGGCCGGCCCCTCGTCCATGAGGGCATCCAGATGGGGAGCTGGAGCCGTTGCTATCTGGGAACCAGACGATGCCGCCATAGTCTCATGCACCTCGCGCACAAAGCTTGGTCCCTTGGCCAGCAGCACATACTGACATTTAGGCGACCACTTGGCGTGCTCGTGCCAGGGCTCGTCCTCCTTCTGCCAGGAGCGCAGCCCAATATTGCAGTGGAAGCAACGCACCTGATCCCCGATCTTCTGATAAAAGAGACCTGCCTGAGCCAGTGGCACGGGGGGCTGAATGTTCCCAATGGGCCAGTCGTTGAACGTGCGCATTCGCGCATCCACGCAGGCGTACTTTGGGCGCTGTGGCTGGGTGGTGGGCTGGGTGGGCAGAATCCCCAGCTCATCCAGGTTCTTTCCAGCAAATTCGATGAGCGGTCCCATTTGGACACGCGGACAGTTGGGGAAGAAGCGTCGGTGCTCCTCAAAAGCGTTGTCGTTTTTCTCCCACTTGGCTATAATGCCATTGCACCACACGCACTTGACGTGATCCAAGCGATTCAGATAGTAGAAACCAGCCTTGGCCAGAGCTTGAGGCGTAACATTGGGATTCTAGGTGCAAAATAATGAGATTTATGCATTTTCACAGTATCTCTTTCGACTTACTGGCCAGTCCTTGAATGTCTGCAATCGGTTCGCTTCCACGAGCAGATCAGGACAGGCACATGGGGAGGTATTACCGCCATCCACCATGCTGTTGCCTTCGCTGTCGTTCTCCTGACTCAGCGTCACATTGCCGCAGTGATTGGGTGCAAGCACCATGGAGCAAATGGGGGAGCAGCGTCGATGTCTTTCGGCCACTTGATCCCCGTACTCCCATCTATCGATGCGCACATGACACCAGTTGCACTCGGCCTCCAGCCAATTCCCTGTGGCAAAGAAACCATTCGTCACCAATTCCTTGGCACTGACGGGGGCATTTAGAGGCCATTCCACAAAGGTGGCTGTGCGTACGCTCTCCAGCTCCAGTCGAGCTTCCGTCATCGTTGGCGCACAAATAACTAATCTTCACTTCTGTCTTTGTCTAACTTCTTATTTTTGGTGTAAGTATGTCCCCTTACAATGATGTAATTGGAATTTAAAATTGATTTCAATTTTTCCTTTGACAGACACCCCAAAACGTAAATAAGGCAAAACAGATATAGGCTAGCAAGGTATATTACGGTATGCTATGAAAGTTAGGTAAAATTCGGTATATTTTCGAGGGATTATTTTATCGATAAATCTCCTAGTTTAACAAACCAAAATATGAATCAAAATCTGTTCAATTATCTGTTTAAAACCTTTTTAACCTTTTTATGTAAGTGTTTTAAACCATATTGGGATCAGACAATTGAGCAGCTCACTTTTACTATTACAGTTCTCCATGTCTCGCGCTCAAATGCTGAAATTTCCGGCCTTCTGAGTGCCCTACAATATTTTGGCCTCTATGGAAATGGATTGGAGTCTCTGGGACAATCTCGCGGCCAGTGCGAGTATTCGTTCGAATCTTTCGCCCTGCTGGGGGATCGCTATACTTGTGCGCCAGACGATGAGCACATATTGCACCTGACACAGCTGCCACCGCAGCGCAAGCCGCCCATAATGATCAAGTGCCTGCAGCCGGAGGCAGCGCCAGATAATGGCAACGGCACAGCGCCCAAGCTGCTGATAATGAAAAGCGCCAAGGACATTGTGAACTTGCTTAAGCCCATTGGCAATGCCACCAAGCGGCATGAGCACGGCAGCTGTGTGGTTGTCCACTTTTGCACGGCCACGAGCCTGGAGTGCTCCCGTGTGGCGCCCGTTATTAACCTTCTGCCCCATCTCTTTCCCACGCTGCCTGTCGCCTACATCGATGCGTACGAGTTTACCCCCTTCAACGCCGAGTTCGGCATTGTCTCGCTGCCAACGCTGATGATCTTCCATCAGGGACGACCGTTGATCAAGTACGATACCTCCTGGACGGACTCGGAAAAGCGCGCCTTTGGCAGATTCATCATGCGCCACACAAACGTAAGGACCGTAGACCCCAACAGCATAGATCCTCAAATCCTGCTGCGAACGCTCACCGAGCCCCTAGCCAATTCGCCAGAGGTGCAGACCGACTACTACTTGGGCATGGCCTGGGCCTTTATTCTGCTATGCCTGGCCAATTATGTGAGGGGCACAGTCTTCTGGACGCAGCTGGTGGCGATGGTGCAGCGCAACTGGCGAGAGTCCGAGGAGACGCAAATGGATGTCGTTGACTAATAGGCCAAAGCGGGGGGGGTTGGGTTATCGGGAACGAAGTACATACATACGCTTCACATTTACTAATGTAATGTATTTAATGGTTTAATTAAATTCACATCAACGTTACTTAAGCCTTATTTAGTTATATATATAGATATATATATTTGGGGGGAATTTTAATTGTAATGCCCAGAGCAGAGCCTTCAAAATTAGTTAGATTCGTGTGTCATCTCCGCTCCGTAATAAAAGCTTAGCGTCTAACCAAATCTAGGGAAACTTGAGAATTTGTCCAAAGAGTAAAAGTAAAACTTAAAATTGCCATCATTGATAATCTGAAATTTTGTAATGACATTTCCATATCCTTTCATTAGTATCGTACAACTCAAGTGTTCGTTTTTCAGTTTCGCTGTTTTGTAAATTTTGTGGGGGGAGTGGGAGTGCTTTTAGTAGAAGCGTCGGCGTGACAATGCCACAGCGGTTTATGTGCCATGCCTGCGGGTCGGCACGAAGTCGGGGTGAGGAACAGATACCTGTCGCAGACAGATAAGTTATGTGTAGTTACAATTGACAAAATATATAACCCAAGACAACGCAGGCAGGATCGCACAAAACAGCTGTGTAATTGTGTTGTGTGTGTGTGTGTGTATCTTTTCTATATTATAATTAGGTGTACTTTTGGAACAGGATCAGCGCTAGCTTTCCAGTGTGTATGTGTATGTGAGTGCCCTTGTGTGTGGTTGGAGATGAGGAATTGTGTGGGTTTGCTGCAGCTGGAGCTTTCCTTCTATTTCTTAGCCCGCTTGCCCGACTTGGAACTTGATTCGCCGCCATCTTCTGTGGCGTGGTGGTGGCTGTTCTTCATGGGGCGCTGCTGGCGCCTTGGATGTGCCGCATAAGGATGTGAATGTATGCTGGTCATGGGATTGAAGAATAGATAAACTCAAATTAGTAACATTGTCAAATGAAATCATTTCGTAAGGCAAAACCAACATAAACAAAAGACTCAAAGTATACGTAAGTAATCATTCGTAGACAGGCCAATTCGAACGTAAATGGTAATATGATGGCGGGAAGATAGCAGTCGTCGAGGGTTGGTGATAAGTAAGCATGATTAAGATGAAGGGAGGAGCAGCAGGATGTCGCGCGCAGTTAGTAGAGTAGTGTGAGAGAAGTACGTAGTGTGGTGGCGGTGGCACTGGCACTGGCAGTCGTAGGCACAACCAATTCGCAGCCGCAGCAGCAACAACAACGTTTGAATTTTGCGTTTAAATTAGCGTCGATGAATTCGAATTTTGGCGTCGTAACAGAGTAAAACGTAAAGTAGTAAATCAAATGCGCAGTCGAATTACGTGTGGGCCCTCGCAGATGATAACTGAAGGATTACGGAATACGGTGTGTTGTTTTTTTTTTGGATTTAGCGAGACACTTTTCGGGGGTTTAGGGTGTAGTACGACAAAAAGACAACTCGCACCCGCTACATGCTTGTCTTGCTTTGTAGCACATACTAGATGTTATACTTATGCGAGTATATAGAGAGATAAATGTGTGTGTGGGTGTTTGTGTGTGGTGTGTGTGTTTGGTGGGAGGAGAGTTGGTTGCGGCAGCCTTACACATAGCATGTGGCACAACACGTAGCTGCTGCATTGCGTTGACGTTGACGAAACGATGGTTGGAGTGTTGGAGTGGCTGTGATGATGCGTAGCATTGATGGCGCCGCCGAACGTCATATCGGGGGTTAGTATTGGACCGGCACGGTGATCGCAGAACGCCGAATGCTGTTGTCATTGGTATTTGCGTTGATTTTTTGTTTGGGTTAAATATGGTTGGTTACATGAATATTGCCTGCTTAGATTAAAAAAGATTTCGGTTTTTGATTTTTTGTATTGGTTTACTTTGGTTGAGTTCTGTTCTACTTTCGATGGAACCGTGAGTTATATAGACGCCAGTCTCTGCATAAATCGAAAGTACATAATAAGTAATGGTAGAGAAGAGGGAGAGAGAGCAACAAGTCATTAATAGAGATGTAAATTGCGAATGTAAGGAAGCTACATGGGATAAACACTATGTCGATCGGACATCACATGACGATTATGGGGTTTGGTTTGGTTCGGTTCGGTTTTCCGAATATATTCTTTGAACGTGGGGGGTTAATATCTCTTGCATGTAACTCGAAGCAGGCATATACAAAATGTAAGCTATAGAACTTGAACGTAACGTAAGGCTGCTGCTAGTCATTAGATTAGGCCAAATCTTGGGCGGCCAGATTGTCTATGGCTGGAGCTGGCTGGGGAAACAAACCTTGGCGTGGCTGCAATGCTGTGACTGCCGCTGGATATCGTGGCCAGCGGCGAGGACGCGGGGGTACGCAGAGGTCGACGGGGAGTGGCCAAGTGTTGCCCATTGCGCATGTAGGCGCGTCGCGAATTTCCGATGCTCACGTAGTTGTTGTTCGATAGATCGTGGACCGCTGGGGAGGACGAGGTTGTTGTTGTTGCTGCTGCTGTAGCATTGCGGCTGTCGTAGTATGGAATCGGAGTCGAAGAAAAGTTGGAAGAAATATTACAATACGTTTGGCGAGTCTTTGGTGTGTTTTTGGTAACTATTTTGGCTGTAATTATAGCGAGGCGTGGCAGTCCATTGCATAGAACGCGTTAAAGTGGGATTGAGGGATTGCGATTAATGAGTAGAGTACACGATAAAGAAGTAGAGGGGACTTTGGGGTCAAATTAAAGGAAAATAATGCAGAAATTTGATAAAACGAAAAAGTTCTTGATCTTCTTGGAAGGTGCCGCCTACCTCATCTCAGTGTTGGTCTTTCGTTATATATAGTTATATGATCGTTATTTGTTATATTTTCTTTTCTTTTCTGGTTTGGTTTGGCTTTCTTTGGTTTTTGAACGTTGTTGGGAATGTAAAAGCAGACATTTATAATATGCAATTCAATTCTGTTTCTGATAGTTAGTAAAATATACTGTATGTACGTTAGATTTTAGTAATTGTATCTGCAAGTAAATACAAACGTTTCAATTTAGCAACAAGTTTTGTGAGGGTTAGACAAGTGGGGGTGTTGGGTCTGGGGGATAATCAAATGCTACTACGCAAATTGCTCGACCTACACACGTATTGGGTGTACACATACTGGGGCAAAATGTGGCATCGATGCAGGTACATGCCACAGTAAAACCGTTCTGTGGACACACACTCACCTTCCGTGCAGAGCCGTAGGAGGTGCTGGCAGCGTTGGCAACTGGCGGCCAGCGGACGAGCGGCCCTGTGGCTGCTGCTCCTGGATTACACAGTCATCATCGTCGTCGTCATCATCGACCGGCTCAATGGTCAGCGTAGAGGTCGATGCTGCTGGTGGAGGTGCGCGAATGGCCTGCATGCCACCATGACGGCCGTGTGGACCGCCTCCGCGATGGGCGCGATTGGTAAACTCGCGATCGAACTGCTCGGCCTCTTCCTCATCCAGGTTGATGAACTCCTGACGCTCCTCCAGCTGTCCCGAGCGCATGTCCTGTTCCTTCTCAATGATGTGGGCGCGCTCCCCAATGTGATGACCGATGGCCATTTTCTTTAAGCCTGTGCGCGAGTCCTGGACTGTTTTGCGGGTCTCGCGAACGCCGCCTGGGCCAGTTTTGGTGCTGGTGCTGGCCTGGTAGATCTGTGGGCGGCCGTCGGGGCCCGATGACATAGTCATCACGGTGCTTTGGCAAAACGAAGCGCCAGGATTGGCGCCAATATCTATTTAAAGTAAGGATCATTAGCATTTATATTGATGGTTGTTCAGGTCTGATCAGGGCTTACCGGCATTTAGCAAACGATTGAAATTGGGCATCATGGGCATGCCAAACATTCCCATAGCTGGCATAGCAGCCATTTGATGGGGCCGTTCCATCAAGGCGCCCTGCTGGAATCCAGGATCGAATGGCGATCCCTGCATGAACGGATCCGGCATGAACGTGTTCATCAAGCGATTCATCGACCGCATTTGCATGCCCATGGCATTCATGGTATGGTTCATGTGGTTGCTGATGATTGATTAATGGAAATTATTAAAACATTTTGTAATTTAGCAAACATTCAGCATACTCTTCTTCCATTTCCCCGTCTTCGTGGTACTCATTTAGTCTTCCTCTACGAGAGTTTCTCTTCGATTTCGACTTTTTACTCATTCTTTGTCACGATCTAAACAAAACATAAATGCTGGCCTCCCAAAAACTAAGAAATTTAAACTTGATTTTTTTGGCGATGTGAACTATTGGAACATAATGATACGATAAATTAAAACACTCTGGTGGGCCCCCTCCTTTGTGTGACATTCGTTAGAGCGTTTGCTAGCATGACGCGGAAACAAACGAAGCAAATGCATTTTAATGCATTGATTGAGGGCCTCCCTGCCTTCGGTCGCACTTTTTAAATTATCGATTATTACGTCTTCTTTTCACGCATGCTGCACACACACACACCCACACACAAACTGGCACACACGTGAAAATACAAAGTATTGCACGTATCTGTCAATTGGTCACAATTTCCCCAGCAAATTAACAAGATTAACTTTTAACCAGTGCCAAAACCTATATCTGTATGTAATAAACCATTTTATGCCCACTCTGGTTCGTTTTCAGACGCCACAGCGAGCATCACAAATACACATATATGTAGGTACACAGCTAGCTGCAGACCGTTTAGGCTGGCTAGAAAGGTGGTTTCTACTTACTTCATTAGTCCCAAATCATCATCGAAGTCGCCCATTAATCCCAATGCACCGAAAAGTGACATTTTATTTGTTTTTTATCGTCTTTTAGTTTTAGAAGCAGATTTTTCTCGAACGCAAATATAAAACAGTGTGACCGCGGCAGCGTGACCGTGACGATAACGATAAAAATACCATCCGGCAAATAAAATAAATACTATGAAATACCATTTCAGTTTCGAGAAATACCATTTAAAATACAATACAATACCATAAGAAAACCAGGGCAGTCTGGCGATCAAACGTGACTTAACCCACTTAATACCCCTCTATTTAAAAAGTTGAGCACCCTTTGTTAAACCGCGGAAAATAATACTGTTTGTAAAGGCTCCTTGTAGCCACATCCTCCTCTTTACTTACAAAACAAAAATGACCACCGACATATTTCAACTGTTATGCGCAAAATATGTTAAATTTCGTGCAAATATTAAATACCCCCCTGTTCGACAATGGGTTAATGTTCTATTGGATTAATTGAAATCGTATTTCATAATTTTGATATTCAGTTTAATATTACTAGCTAAAAAAATAGTTTTGTCCGATAGATATATCAATTTTCTACAAGATTGGCTAGTTTTCAGAACTCCTTTTTATTCGATTTTTACCTAATAAGGTTCAAACAAAAACGGCCAAGGCATAAAATGAAAATGTTGACTAAACAGGACGTCAGTGTTGCTGGTCAACAAAGTTTCTTCTATACGTATGGACTTTTATATACCTTGTTTCCTTTAATTGATGTTAAATTTGTTGTTCCAAGCCCCACTGAAACATTAATAATGATTTTATCCTAGATTGACATGATTCTTACCATGCATATGTTTTATAAATACATTTATCCCGATTCTGATACCTATTATTTTTACCCGTAGGCTGCAAAATTTCGTTAATATCCTTAAAACAGAGACTGACTAGTTTCTGCATAATATCCATTTTCCCAAGGTATTCAGACATGTTGCTCCTTTCGTGCCAAAGTTCCACAACAATGCTGCTAATGAATACGAATACGTGAATTTGTATCTATAATATTATTTTATAAGAAATCACATGAATACAATAGATTCGATTTTCCTTAAATAAACCGTCTGAAATATGACGAAAAAAATCTATAGATTTTTAATATTATCTAGAGTTTATTTAATATAGTAGGTATCTATTATTAAAAGGATCATTTTTAGCCACCAAAACTGATTGTGGATACTTTAAAATTTATAATTTAAAATTAATTTATAGCTTACAATTAAACACTTTTCAGATTTAAATGCTCATTTGTTGTTTATTATAGGTGATAATTATGATAATTTAATATTTTCTAAATAATTTGTTCGGTTATTTTGTTCGCTTGCAGCTCTTCAAGTTCCCTCGAATTTAAAGGTATGGCGCAGCCTGTTCTTCGATCCATGCCGTGTGGGAGGTGACACTGGTGTACACCCCGGGGAATCCTTCCCGGCCACAGCCAACCCCCCACGACACGATGCCCACCAACACACCATCCACAGCCAATGGGCCACCGGAGTCACCATTGCAGGAGTCCTTGCCTCCCTCCAAGTAGCCGGCACACAGCATTTCTTCGGTGATGGTGTACTGTTTGGTCAGGTACTGGTCGCCGCAAGCACTACGGTCGACAATTTCCAGCTCCACGGAACGCAACAAGGCGGGCAACGCCTCGTCCTCCTCAGTACGCTTACCCCAGCCGCTGACAACGGCATGTGCTCCCGTCGGAGGTGCCTCCAATGCCAAGGGAATGGGCTGCACGAGGCTCGAGTACTCCAGCGGCTCTCGCGTTATGATCAAGCCAATGTCGTTCACAAAGGTCTTCTTGTTGTAGCCACTGTGATAGATCAGCTTGCTGACCTTCACGCCCATCTCCTCCAGATCGGCAATCGAGTTCTGTCCCGCCACGATGCGAATGTACGAAGCGAAGCGTCCCTTGATGCAGTGGGCGGCCGTAAGCACCACATTGGGGGCGTAGATGCTGCCACCGCAGATGTGTAGCAGCATGTACGTCTCCAGGCGAACCGACACCTGGTAGGGGAAGTCCGAAATGTCCGCCTGGTCTCCACCCACAATGCGGTTGCTGATTGAGGCGGATCGGCAGCCGAGCGCTGCCAGGGATAGCAGACCCACAACTATTAGTCCCAAGCGCAGCGACATTTTGCACAGTTTAAAGAAATAAATTCGTTCGACTCGGGGGTTTTATATAGAAGTCTGCCCCCCCTGCTTATCGCTGACCAAAACCACGAATATCGCGATCATCCTTCGATAGCAGTTCAATTCTGGATTTCCATAAAATTTAGCTTCGATATAGTAAAGTTTATGGGACCCACAGCCACATGTGTTTTTATATCCATCCATAAACAGTGCTGTGCTGGTCGGTAGTCTTCTAAAGACCTTTCCACAATAAGCCAAAACAATTATATTTAATTGCCTCCCCCAAGAGAAAGGAGATTATCAGCAAAGCAAAATGGTTTGCTTGAGTCATGGCCGTATTTCTTTGCTAATCGAACTTTACCCTGGCGCTGACGAAGATGTCTCGTCTAGCCATGTAATCTTTGGTGTCGAAATCGGTACACTACACCTCGGAAAAGATAAGAGGCGGGCGTCGGTGACCAGATTTAAATAATATTAGCTAAACGTAAGGTGGAAAGTACCTGGAACGCTAAGCAAGAACCGATAACCCAATCACGGCGGTAATCATAATGATAATTGTATGATTCAAAGAAAACGATTGAGGAAAGGCAAGCGAATTCCAAAAACTAATATTACGAATGTGGAATTTCTGGGAATTTGACTTTGAAGATGAAGAATCCCATTTTTTTTTAGTGGAAATAAACAAACTTGGGGGCGTACAAAGCATTAGATATATTAACTTGTTATTTGCCCAAAAAATGAATTGTTCAAATTGAATTTTCGCGGAAATGATTCCCGAATATGCAACTGGGTGGGCATATGTGATGGACGGTAAAAGCTCAAAGCTTAATGATATGCAAATTGTGACGAATATGTAAATATAATTAAATTGATGTAACGTAACTGGTAATTGGTAGGGGAACAGAACTCTTACGGAGCGGAGGCTGTGGCTTGAGCCCAAAGTGCATTTTAACGACACGCGACTCACCTCTGCCATTAGCTGGAGGGTCTACTCCTTATATCCAACAATGTGTGTACTCTTGATACGCAGTAGAGTGGCTAAAACCAGCTCTAAAGAGTAGCTGAAATGCCTTAGGTATAGGCATAGGCTGGGATGGGATGGGATAGCCATATATCAAGAGAAAACAAAGATTGAGAAAAATGGTTAATTGATTGGCATGCCACTTGACTAACTTGCAGGCAGCATTACTTCCACTTCTAGCTACTTAGCACTTCAAGAGCCGACTAGTTAGCAATTACTGCCTACAATATTTGCCCCCTCTCTCACGGAGCCACTTCGATCCGTCGTAGTTGGAGACCCCGGCTCACGTACACGTACACGTACGCGTACGCGCACGCTATTGAAGGTACGACTACGAGTACGAGTATGAGTATTTTGTGCGACTTTTTTTTTCGGCACAGTGCGGCACCGTGTGTGTATTGTATGTGTACTCGAAAGACGAGCTTGATCGAACCAAATCGGTTATAAGTAGACGCCATGCCGCTGGAGATCCCGCATTTGAAGCTCAACTGTCGGCAGCTGTGACCGGATACATAATACATATAACCCGCCCAAAAAAAAGCCAATTACCGGAATCGTGTGGCACAGAGTGTCGGCGGCAAGGACTCAACTCTACCCAAAGCAAAGCAAATCACTTCTATGTGTGTCCCTATGATTGATGTGTTGCAGAAACTTCAGTAAAAGAATTCGAAAAGAAAGTGTTTGAAAATGTTTGTGGAAAAAGTGGTGAGTGAAGTAAATTAAATCGAAAGTACTCCCAGAAAGTACTTCCAGAACGTAGGAAACAGGAATTTGCAAACAGATTCTGGATTATCTCATCGTGATCTGTCCACTCTCGGCTCATTCTCGACTTGTATCGCTTTTAAATGGAATTCTTTTTGTGCTGTTGGACCTATAACGAGGCCTATGCTTGGTTCATAGCTGAGGCCTGGTCCCGCTTCAAAGACGATTATGATAATTTATGAAATTAGTGAGAAATAATCATGATGTGCATTTGTTAGTGATCAAGTGCCAAATGTTTAGACAAACAAGGCAGCTCGGTTCTGCACACAGCTTCGCCTGGATACCGTCGACTCGTACCTTACCTTGCCCAAAAACAGCCAGAAGAAAAAAAAAAGCGGAAGCCTTCCCCATGGAGCGGAGATGCTTCATTGGCTGGCGGGTAAATATTTTCTAAGAAGATCAAATAGAGATTTGGGTTCCGCTGTTGTGATGTGATTTGTTTTGTCGTGGTTTGGTTTGGTGTGGTGTGGGAGCGGACGTTACCCTTGGAAGCTTCTAATTGCAAATCGTTTTTTGATCGTATTTAAAATTTCAAAATGTTCTCCCTGTTTGGGTTTCATCAGTGGGCAGCGACTAAAAACATCCACTTTAAACGTAGCAATTCAAATGTGGCGTCTTACTTTGATAATTGTCCTTGGGATGTTGATGTTCAATGCCTGGAGGATATCATTCGCTGGGCAAAGAATATTCAAGTTCCCTTGGCGCTTACTCAGCGCACCTTCTGTTAATTTGTGAGCTTACAGATTATGCCCCACCGTAGGATAATCAAGTCTTAAAATCAATTTTTTTTAAATTCTTATGGCAAGCTAGCGTTTGTTTGGTTACTCTTTGGTTACCTACCAAGATTCTCCTATTTCTGTTCGATGCAGGACTCGAATTTTTGTTCATCCTTTGAATAATACTCGTACAATGAATTCATATGGTTTTTTAATTGAATTTAAAAGCAATCATATTGCCGTTGAGTAGCCATAAAAGTCAGTTTACGACTGATGTGCAGTTGGCCATGAAAGCCCCTACGATATATTGGCTTAAAGCCATTAAGAGGCGTCACCGTTTACGGATATCGTACGATATGTATATCCCATTGTTGAAGCCCAGAACTGAACAAAGCTCTTTGGGGCAGGAGTTGGGGTTGACAGGAAGATGCGACGGAGGTGTTTCCGATTGTGTAGCATGTGGGAAAAATGCCAACAATACTTGTCCCTGCCTTGGTGATCATCATTAGCATCTGTCATCTTTTTGGCCAGCGACTGGTTATTGTTTTGGCTGCCACCGCTAATCGTAACCTGTTGCACCACTGACACACAAACAGGCCCCAAAAAACAACACACACAATACCGAACCAGACCAGAGCACGTAGTGCGCTAGGGAGCGAAAGATACTTGCTGATGTGCTCGTATCTGTAGGCTGCCTTCGAGTGATTTAATCAATCTCAAATGCTGCACGTACTTGAGGTGGATCATCCCATCGCCCATACGCCGTGTTGTCTCAATCAATTTACACCTTCGTTAGATACATAACTTGTACTTTCGTTGTGATTCCGATTGCGAGTGTGAGTGCGAGTGTGAGTGTGTGTTTGACAACTACTTGCGACACGAGGCAAGGGCATCTCTGCCATCAGTCCATCAGTCCATGGCAACCCCACGTTCCATTACCAGTTAAGTTAATTTTATACCAAATAGTTTGAGCTTCGCAAGGGCCAATTTTCGATGCATTGAAGGTTAGGCAAACACACTAGAAAATGGCAAACACAATATAATATTGACAGATCACTGCAATTTAACACTTGAATGCCTGCATCCGCAGCTGGAACGCGCCACCAAGTCAGAGCTATGCTCGATACTGGCCGTGCTGGTGATCAGCCTGAGCATCTACACGTTCTATGCCCACCTGGAGACGTATCTGAGATCGGTGATATTGTCGCTGCGACTGTCGGGACCGCCAACGTTGCCCATTCTGGGCAATTGTCTGCTCATCAAGGATAAGGACTGTAAGATTAAACTATCAAATACCAGTATGGGTATTCCCTTTGATTGTCATTGTCTTTGTCGCCTCCATAGTGATGAAAAATCAAGCAGCCAAGGCCTTCGATCTGTATGGATCCCTGGTGCGGATCTGGGTGGTTTTCTTTCCCTTTTTTGTGGTGCTGCAGCCGGAGGATCTGCAGGTCATACTGTCCTCGCAGAAGCACACCAACAAGGTATTCATCTACCAGCTGATGCACAATTTCCTGGGGGATGGCCTCATAACCAGCAGCGGCCTCAAGTGGAGCACCCACCGCAGGCTCATCCAACCGGCATTCCACCTCAGCCTGCTGGAGAAGTTCATTGACACCTTTGTGGATGCCTCGCAGTCGCTGTACGAGGCGCTCGGTACCTCCGCGGTGGGCACTGATCTCAACATCGTCAGCATTGTGAACAACTGTGTGGTGGACATCTTAAATGGTGAGTTCCTTTCCTTTCCTTGCAGCTCCCTTCCCTTTGTCCACTGATTCTGACTCAATCTTCTGTTCTGCAGAGGCCGTTCTGGGTGTGCCCATCAAAAAGAAAGGGCCTGGATCCGGTCAACATCGAGGAGTCGCCCTTTCGCCAGGGCAAACTCATGATACCCACCCGCTTCTCACATCCCTGGCTGCTGTTCGATGGCATCTACCACTGGACGAAGCTGGCCAACGATGAGCTCAACCAGAAGAAGCGCCTCCACGACTTCACCCGCCAGATGATCAAGATTCGGCGCGAGATTCTGGCCAACACCGGCAACAACAATGCCGAGCGGAAGTGTCTGCTGGACTACATGATCGAGATATCCGAGAGCAATCCCGACTTCACCGAGGAGGACATCGTCAACGAGGCCTGCACTTTCATGCTGGCCGGCCAGGACTCCGTGGGCGGCGCCGTGGCCTTCACCATCTTCCTGCTGGCGCAGAATGCCGACTGCCAGGAGCAGTGCCACGAGGAGCTGGAGCGCATATTTGACTACAGCGATCGGGCGCCCACCATGAGCGATCTGCGCGAGATGCGCTACCTGGAGATGTGCATAAAGGAGGCGCTGCGGCTGTATCCCACAGTGCCACTAATCGCCCGCAAGCTGGGCGAGGAGGTGCGTCTGGCGGACCACACTCTGCCCGCGGGCAGCAACATATTCATCTGCCCCTATGCCACCCACCGTCTGACACACATCTACCCCGAGCCAGAGAAATTCAACCCCGAGCGCTTTTCTGCAGAGAACTCTAAGGATCGGCATCCGTACGCCTTCATCCCGTTCAGCGCCGGACCCCGCTACTGCATCGGCAATCGGTTTGCCATCATGGAGATGAAGACGATTGTGTCGCGGCTGCTGCGCAGCTTCCAGCTGCTGCCGGTAGCCGGCAAGAGCACATTCAATGTCTCCTATCGCATCACTCTGAGGGCCTCCGGTGGGCTTTGGGTGCGGCTGAAGCCACGCGATAATCCCATCTCGCAGACTCGCGACAGCGATTGCTACGGACTGTAGGGCTGTCGGCTGCTGCCGAGGTGTTAATTCTTCGTTACATTAACTTTAATTAGTATGGTAAATAAGTATGTATATAAATCGATACAATAATTTAAATATTTAGCTTCTCCTCTAGCCTAAGTACAGTGCTTGCCCCCGTTTCGGACACGGGGTGCCTGATCTGATCAGAGATGTGGATGTGTATTACATGTGTGTTTATGGTGTGGCTGTGGCTGGGGTGTGGGATGTGGGATGTGGGATGAGGGCGTTCTAACCCCGTGTTCGCAATCGCAATCGCATTCGCATTCATATTCATATTCGAGTGTTCGTAGAGTTTCTTCTGGGGTCTTGTCTAAGCAAATGATTTCTGCAATAATAAAGTTATGTTTGTCGGCATTTAAGCGACATAAATCTAGGACGTGATATGTTTCGTTTCGTTGAATCTATTGATGAGACGTCGCGCACGTGACTCGCGACTGCTCTCTGGGACGTTTCCATTACCGTTGCCATTGCTGTTGCTGTTGCTGTTACTGTTGCCGTTACTGTTCCCATTGCCATTGCCATTGTGCCGCTGAGCGCTCGCCACCGTGTGCTGTTGGGAAAGACGCTCGGTCGCCTCACGGACACGTTGGCTCATCAGCCGCGTCGGCGTGGCAGCACGCTGGGGCAGCGGTGAACTAGGCATGGATCGGGTTTGAGCTGATTTTGCTGTCTTAGTGGAGCTGCTGCTGCTGCTGTTGCTTCCGGTTTTCCCTGGCTCCTCTGCTGGCATAAATGGAGAAAAAGTACTCGAGTTAGTTGTGGGTCAAGGCTTCAGGGTTCAGATGTGAGTTACTTCGAGCGATGCGACCCACGCTGGCGACTTTGGTGATCTTGTTGGGCTCTGGGGCAAGCTTGGGTTTGTTAGCAGCAGCGGAAGCGGTTTTGGACTGCTGGAACTTGTCCTTTAGCTGGGACACCTTCAGCTTGGAGGACTCGCACGGGGGCTTGGCATGCAGCTTTGGTTTTTCGCGCGCGGCATTGTCCTCCAGCGACTTTTTTCGCATCTTTATGGTGTTGGTGAAGTCGGAGCGCATTATGGGCTCGCCTTTGGGTGGCAGCTCCAGGGTGATGGGACTCTCAGGTGTGTCCAGGACCACTGGCAGCGGACTAATGCTCGCCTTGGCAATCTGTTCCAGCTTGGATTTGGCCAGTGACAGGAGCAGCGTCTCCTGGGCGCCGACGCCGGTGGCTCCCAGGCTGCAGTTGGAGCACTCGCTGTAGCCCGAGTCGCTACGCTCGCTGCACTGCGACTTGTCGCGCAGCTTCAGGGCTCCGTGGGCATACCGCTTCTCCACATGCGGCATCTCGACACTGAAGTCGTCCTCCTCCTCGTGCAGCGACGACATTTGCGTGCCCACAGGACTGACCAGTGCGCTGGCGGCATTCAGCATTCCCAGGCCCGAGATGGAGGGTCGCGGACTGTTCAGGGCTCCCATGGCGATGGCAGAGTTCCTTCGCGACGCCGACAGCGTGGCCATGCGTCCAAGAGCGCGAATAGCATTTCCAGTTTTCTGGATAAGCAGCAGGCGCAGCAGCAAAGCGGCAAGCAGGCAAGTTAGGCAAGGACAAAAAAGGAGCAGCAGTTGGTTAGGATTTGTGGGAGCAGCAGGCGGGGATGTTACTAACCTGCCACTTGCGTCGAATGATGAACTTCTTGAGCTTGTCCGTGCAGATCTTGTTGTTGCTGAGATTGTCATCGTGGCGCTGGCACAGCCACTTGGACTCCAGGCACTGTTTGGCGGTCAGGCGCTCCTCCTTGCGGTGCACCAGCAGCTGGGAGATAAAGTCCTTGGCCTCCTGCGAACTATGGACGGGTGATCAGTAAAAGAAATACGCTTTAATCGACAGCTCAATGCCTACACGCAGTCAAAGGCCTCGTCATCGTAGTCGTAGTCCGCTCTGGTAATATTCGAGAAGGTCTCCACATCGGTGTCGCCCATGAAGGGCGAAAGGCCAGAGAGCCTGGAATGGATACAAATGCGATGAGTACCAGGGAATTTACTCGGTGGATTGGCTCACTCACAGCACATAGCAAATGACGCCCACGCTCCACATGTCCGACTTGAAGTCGATGGGCTCGTAGCTAATGATCTCTGGGGGTATAAATTCAGGTGTTCCGAAGAGCACGCGGACGGGCGCCTTCGTGTCCAGTCGCTGGGCCAGGCCAAAGTCAATGATCTTGATCTGGTGACTGGTCCGTGTATGGCACATGATGTTCTCCGGCTTCAAGTCCAGGTGGACAACGCTTTGGCTGTGCATGTAGGCCACGCCCTCGCACACCTGACGCAGGAACAGAATGCAGTCCAGCTCCGTGAGGGTGAAGTCATCGGCCACCACACGCTCGAACAGCTCCCCACCGGTGATACTAAGGATAAACAGGATGTATGTAGATGACACTCGATCAGGAACCACTTGATCTACTCACTATTCCATCACCATGACAATCTCCCGCGGACTCTCAAAGGAGGCGGCCAGCTGGAGCAGCTTGGGATGCTGCAGCGATCCCATGATGGAGATCTCCTCGAGCACCTTCTGGCGATCGCGCGACTTGATGCACTTGATCACCTTGGCGGCGAGCAGTTGCTGCGGCTGGTCACGCTCCTGCACCTTGTACACGATGCCGAAGCGGCCCTTGCCCAGCTCCTCGATGACCTCGAAGCGCGCCTTGAAATCTCCGCCAGACTGCACGCTCACCGCCTGTCCATAGTCCACGGTGGCCGTCTCTTCCGCCCTCGCCGCGCACTGCCTGCTGCTCATCTGCACCAGTTCGCTGGGCTGGCTGGGCGCACTGCGTCCGTGTATGTTCTCGGCGCGCACGCGAAATCTGTATTGCAATTGGGGCTGCAGATTCTTGACGGTGTAGGCCAGGGTGTCCACAACGCGTGCCACCTGCTGCCATTCATCGTTCTCCCTATCACAGTCCACGGGATCGCAGCTCTGCATTTCAATGCTGCACCAAGAAAAGAAGGAACAGCCATTTAGTTTGCTTTGTGGGGAAAGATCTGCGCCAGATACTCACATGAAGCCGGTGATCATGCAGCCGCCATCGTAGGGCGGTCCACACCAGGCCACCGCCATGCGATCTGGTCCGAGGGATACACTCGGCTGTCCGCTGGGTGGCTCTGGTGGTCCCTCAACGGCCACAGAGGCGGCCGCCGCCTCCACGCCATAGTCATTCATTATTTCCACCGTGTACTTGCCGCTGTCATCGGCCGAGATGTCCGTTATGTAGAGCGTCGACTGTTGAGCGCTCGTACGGATAGTCACATGGGAGCCCTCGACAATGGCACGGCACTGTGAAAGAGAGATATATACATGGGTTAGTGTGTGTGAGTTAAGCTCTGGGCCAACCTTCGTGTGGCGCACAGAAACACGTTCGTCTCGGTTCGCATTTGCGGTTTGCAACCATTACGTAGCCGGGCGGCATACGTCAATACCGCAAGCTGATCGTGACACAGTCTGGTCTGGGCTGTGCCCATACCAAGAGCCACAGCTAAGCTAAGGGTAGAGGCGTCTTGTGTTGACTTATGACAGATAAAGAATGATACGGATCATGGCCATAACAATGAGAGTACAATGAGACTTGTATCCATAATCCCCTCTAACTGCGGCCTAAGGCCTGTGGCCTGTGGCCTGCTCTGGCCTAATTGGGTCAAGATATTGTTGCGCAACGAAAACCGGACAAATTACCATACACAAAAGCAAAACATCCTCCTGCGTCAGTTGGCTGAGACCCCCAACCGTATTTGGGGATCGAATCGATCGATTGACACTTACCGCCTTGTACCAGATGACTTTGGTGCCCGGGAATGGGTCGTAGCGCACGCTTAGCCGGACATGACCGCCGATGAGGGCGGTGCAATCTTCGGGGCGTGTCAAAATGCAGCTTCTGGCAGCCAGCGATGAGGAGCCGCTGCTGCTACTGTTGCCCCGTACAATGGGCAAGACCAGCAGACTGGTGTATGTCCGGGCAGTGGGTATGCGCCGCTCCGTCTGTGGATGCTTCACTTGCAGCCGAATCTCTCCGCTCTGTGAGGGCTGCACGTCTCGCAGGCGCAGCACCCGAATGCCGTTCTCTGGATACGACTCCAACTGCAACAGAAAGAGATGATTAACCGTGGTAGGAAGCTCAAAGCAGATGGGTAAACATTTGCATACACTACGACGACTACTAAGTACTATATCTATTTTGAGTGCACAAGTGTTTCCGATCCGAGTCAATCCGGTACGGCGGAATGTGACGCGTCGCGGTGAACGGTTTGTCCAGCACTGAAAGCCTCTCTCAATGGCAAACGTACCAATTAGTCGCGGAGAATCGGGAGCACGCCAGAACCGAACCGATCGCGACAATAATGGCATGGCACTTTCACGCTCACTGTCGCTGTCGTTGGCGCTCTCGTTCTGTTTCCATTTGGAGCAAAAACAAATAACGACAAGTGCCTGGGCGACCCCACACTCGCCCTGCCTTATCTATAAGGTATTTTATCTACGCGAATGTAAACGATATTGATACACCTTAAATGCAATCCATTTGCCTCGCCTACCTTCGACATCTTGTCCCACCCTTGAGCGGCTGCTGTTTCTACTAATACTACTGCTGCTGCTGCTGCTGCTTTCTATTGCCTAACTGAACCAGGTTGTCATCTGGGGAAATTCTTGGACCTGATGTGAGCCGCTTGAGCGCCACTGAACGAGTGTTTCACTCCTCTTCGATCGGTCGGACGGGAGCATGGCGCATCGATTGGAGGCAACCGAACGGGCAGCGACGCCTCATGCAGCTCGCATGGCGGCAGTATTTCAATCTTTTTGGTCTCTGTTTTCAATTTCTGATGTATAGAAATTACACACACATGTGTGCACATACATATATGTACATATGTAAATGAGCATGCCTATATGTATACATACATACATATATGAACAATCATTATTATTGTTATTGTCTTCTCCATCAAGGTGTGAACGAATCTGAGGCTGAGGCTCAAGCCTGCGGCAAGGCGACACAGAGAAATTGAAAGCAAGTCCAGCCAGGGGATGGCCGCATATTTTGATACCCTAACAGATGTAACAGATCCAACGCTAACGATAATGTGATGCTAAGCTGAAGCTTCTAAGCTACAATTCTGTGTCTATGAATTGCGTCGGATCAGAACTGCTTTCTTCACTGCTTTGCCAACATCTAGTCCAATGCGTAATACCCTCTGCAAGCGTATAAACATAAAATGAAGAGCTCTGTTTGAAGATGGCAGTTATCCAAATTCTCCGCGCTCCACTCACACACACACACACACAGATTGCGGCCAGCGGCAGCGTCAGCGAGCACCCGAACCACTTAATGTTTATAGGGCCTGTTCGCTGCTTGTTTCCCCCCTCCCCTGCATACGCACCGTCATGTTCAGTGAGTCATCCACCTCGTCGGCGAGCGGCTTTCCATTGAGATACCAGACGGCTTCCGCTTCGCAGGGGAAAACACGCGCATAGAAAAGCGCCTCCTCTCCCGATCCACAGACCACGGGCAGCGGCGTCTTAAGTAGTTGTATGCACTCCTGGTCGTTTTGGGACAGATCCCGCTCTAAAACGCATAGCTCCCCGCTACTGCTGCAGTCGCAGTCACTGTCCGAGGCTAAGGTGGAGTTGTCAAGGAGTATGTCGTTGCATTCGGAGGGGGAGGTGAACACCTGACAGCTGTATGTGCCCGAGTCAATGTCGAATGGTTCGTTGAGGCGCAGGCAGAGGCATCCATTGCCGTGATCAATGTAGCTATAATATATAATTAATACACTTGTAATAAATGCCAGCGATTGCAGGTAATACAGACGAGAGAATACCCATTTTATCAGCTCTCAAATCAGGTTCGTATGCTAATCTTTCGATAAGGCTGCACTAACACAATATACCCGCATAATACTCACTTGAACTCGTCACTATCTGGTAGAATTTCCCCATTACGTAGCCAAAGGTAGCTGTAGGGCTGCTCGCAGTCGATGGCGCAGCACAGATCGATCGCCTCGCCCTCCACCGCTTTGGTAATCTCGGGCAGTGGTTCCGCAATGACAGCGCGTCGCCGCGGAACTTCTGTGCTGGGTTCGTGGAAGGTAACGCTCGTGGAACTAATCAGCGGATCATGATCTCCGCTTATGATGCAGGTGTAGACGCCCTCGTCCTCGCGCGTCACATTGTCCACGATGAGCATGGCCATTGAGTCCTCCGGCTGCAGCAGGATGTGCACTCGATCCGTGGATTCCAGCTCCACGTTGTTGTGGTAGAATCGCACCGACGGCACTGAGGAGCCTCGGTAGCCGCTTGCCAGAGCCATGCGTCCGCCAATTGCTGTAAGATTCGAAATTTGGCATGGAATTGGGAGAGCGAGAGGGGCATACGCGTACCTGTGGATGGACCCATGATGCGCCTGTGCAGATAGGCATTGCGGCGGGAGGAGGAGGCTCGAACACTTCGCGCTGAGGGGGACTTGGAATAGCGAGAGCTCCGGATGACGTCCAGTCGAGCGGTGGCCTCAATGCGCCCAAAGTCGTTCTCCAGGGTGATGCGGTACAGGCCCGCATCGTCGAAGCTCACCTCATCGATCTCGATGAAGCGCAGATCGTCTACTTCCTTCACAGCTATGCGTGTGGTGGGTGTCACAATCATCCCGTCCTTGTCCCAGGTGGCCCAGGGTGTTGGATGGCCCCCGATGGCGCACTGGAAGCGGACGCTGTCACCCTCCTCGACGACGCGGTTGTAGGGAATGGCAAGGAATTTGGGAGCTGTGAAGGCATTTCGGGCATCGCTGCGGCGCCGCTCAGCCACACCGGACAGATCGATGCTGCTGGTGCGGTACGAGAGGCGTCGCATGGGCGAGAAGCTTCGATTGGGTGTCGATCGCGGCGTGGAGCGGGGCGTCGAGTGGGCCGAGAGCAGGCCGCTTGGCCGTGTCAGCTGGCGACTCAGCATGTTCTCCTTCTCCTCGGGCACATCCACGATTATGCAGGCCGACGAAAGCGTCCTTCCCACGGAGTTCTTTGCCACGCAGGTGTACTCGCCCTCATCCTCCGGATAGACGCGGGGTATGCTCAAAACGGCCTTTGTGCCGTCATATGACATCACGTAGTCCTTGTCGCTGGGCACCACATGTCCATCCTTCTCCCAGATTATGTACGGCTCGGGCATGGCCTCCACATGGCACTCCAACGATATGGCGTCGCCATCGCAGCAACGCAAATTTCTCAAGTTTCTGACGAATCGCGGAAGTGTCTCGATGTTGCTGCAAACACACAATAATATAATTGAACCCCGAATCGCTTCACGTATGAGAGAACGAAGCGTTACTCACCCATGTCGCGTGTGAACCTTATCCATGCGGCTATCTTTAAGTATATCTGCGAAACGAAACGGAAAACATTTTCAAACAAACTTCCGATAACCATCAGATGCCTATCGACAAGCAGTGTAAAGCAGTGCAAATTATGCATTCAGACCGGGCTGGCGTTTTGGTATTTTCGCAGTTGCAACACACGGTCACACTGTTCGGAATGTTTATTTTTAGCGTCAAAAAACCCAGAAGTTCTAAAATTCTTTTATAATGAGGGGAATGATCATTGTTCCCATGGACATAGATCCTGGCTTCCGCAAGGCAACCATCCACAACTTGCCCACGCTAAACAGCGGAGTGGTGTATAACTTTTGCCTGGCAGCAGCATCCGAAAAGCCACAAAATATGTAAGCAACCTATAGCTTTCTCTCTCGCACTCGCTTAATGGAATTTCTTGTCCGCACACAGATCGACGGATAACAATGATCTCCTAACAGACTATGTGCAATTGCGACAGCAGGGCAGCATCTGCGAACTGAAGGCCATGGTGTTCTCCGCATCCGAGTTTGCCAATACGGACACACATGCCAATGTGGCCATCAAAGTACTCGAAAACCCGCGGGCAATTGCCGAGAGCCAATGCAGTCGGTGCCCCGATTCTGGTAGGAAATAAAAGTAATTTATTTGCCAGCAGAAAGATTAATCAGCCGACCTCCCATCCCACCCTTAGAAGTATGCCCACACATCGTGGCCTTTACATTTTGGCTACTGCAGAAGAGCACGCACCGAAAACCCTCGGCTGTGGTGGAATTTTGGGGGCATGAACTGGAATTGCTGGTGCAGCCGGAGCCCACACGGGCCATTCCCATATGTGATATGATTGCCAAAGATGAAGTGCGCCTGCAGAGTGACTTGAACTCCCAAAAAATGAACGACAGTGATGGGCAGGCCTTCCTCTCGGCTGTGCTGGAGGAAATAGCCATTTGTGGACGGGGATCGGCTCTGTACAGACAATGCGCTGAGACCAGCGATGAGTTTGAGACTCTTTTCGTGCATCATGTGCTTCTGAGGTCAAACGAGTACAACATACACGATGTCCAGGGCTTTGCCCAGCACATGGAGCAACAGGCGCAGATCGGTCTCCCCGAGAGCCTCAATGATGTTAGCAGGAACCAGTACAAGTCGAGACTGTGGGTGGAAACGCAGTACATGCGCATTCGCTGCTCCATGATAAACCTGGTGGCCAAGCGGAAAACGGCCGAGGACGATGAGCTGATATTCAACATGATGTTCTGCAAGGGACGCGACAAGAACACCGAAGCCCGTATGCAGCTGAAGCAGCACAAGCGATTCATTTTGAAGCAGACGGAAAAACTGGAGAACAAGGAGTACATCGAATGCGGACTGCTGCTGCACGAGAACTATCCGTTTCTGTGCGCCACCCCAGATGGCATCACAGACGATCACATTGTCGAGATCAAAGCGCCAAAAACTGAGGAGGACTTCGAGAGGTATCTGGAGGCTGGCGAGTCGATAGCACCCAAATACATGGCCCAAATACAGATACAAATGTTTGTGGCGAATGTCAGCAAGGCGCTCTACTGCGTCCTCAGTCCCATCTTCGAGACGAACGGAGCTCTGCACTATGTCTGGGTGCAGGCAGATCCGGAATTTGTGGCCAGTCTGGTCACAATGGCCGAGGACTTTTGGAGGGACATTGTCTTTCCGCGCCTGCTCAATACCTATCCGCAGATAACCTACTCCCAAATTAGTTGATCCAAGAGTAAGAGCTGGCTTCTGATCCCACCCGACTAGTCAATAAATGAAATATGAATAATCTTACCTTTGGCAAATATTTGTAGCGATATTACAGCCTTGGCCTCGCCATGGCAATTGCTGGCTATGACGGAATAGGTGCCGGTAAAGTCCAACTTGGCGCTCGGTATCTCCAGTCTGTACTCTGGGCCCTCGCCAATCCTACGGAAATGTGGCGCGTCCTTATAGTACTCCGGCTGCGTATAAAATATGCAGATAGAAGAGCATGTGAGTCAAGGTCACTCCGAGATATAAGCACAAACGGTCTGGTCTGTCAATAAGGAGCATGAATCACGACGACGACTATCTTTATACAAATGTCTGAGGCCTGAGGCTGAGGCTGGTTTCTATGGCTGTTGCTGACGCTCGGACTTGGTGGCGGTTGTTGTTGTTGTTTTGTTGTTGGGTAAAGCTTATGGCCATATAAGCACAAAATTGAATTTCGAGACTGTCGAATAGGAAAACTGGTAACAGGTATACACTCTGACAACTGATGTTGAATGCTGACGTTGACCTCCTCCTGCCTGCCTGCCTGCTTCTACTTCTGCTTCCTTGGTTGCACGTTGCACACACGACAGCGGCCAGTACGAGTACTCGTAATAATTTTTTGTTTTTCCTTTTTGGCTCGTATACTCGTATCGTATAATTGTTTGTATCAGTTTTCGATGCCTGAACAAGCCTGTTATTTGATATGGCCTGAACTTGAATTAGCGTTTGACAGCGATTCGGATTTATAAGATCTGTGTGTGTCTCTATGGTGCCCTGCCCCCCTCTGGACGGGGAATGACGCATTTGTCCGTAATCCGAGTACGAAGAGCAGCAGCCGCCACCTGTTTGGTTCGTGCCACTGCATTGTTCTTTAGCTTCACTGCCATATCACATTCCGTTTTACCTTTGAGAAAGACTCTGTTTCTTTTTTGTTTTGTTCTTTTTTCGACACTTTGTTCGCGTTTTCTGCGGATCAATACGAAAACTTTTGAAATCTATCCGCACGAGCAACTGTTGCAATTCGAAATAAGAAAACTACCGTCTGGCCCCCTGGGAGTTCACTTTATATAGAGGCAAAATCAAAAAAAAAAAAAAAGGCGGAAATCACTTTGCACTTCCTGATGCCAGTAGGGCCCCCCACGTTCTTGGTTCACCTGTACTTGAGCTTCTCTACGAGAATGGGCACGCGAGAAGGTAACGCGTAACGGGCGTAACGGCAGCGATAACTGAATACGACCCACATTCGCTGGTGCCGTGAATGCAACTGACTTGACTTGGCTTGACTGACTGTTTGACTGGGTGGCTGTGGGGCTGTGGGGCTGAAAGCTGCTGCGGCTGCTGCGCCTGCGCTGAGACTATCGCTCATACTCACATTCAGAAAATCACGCAGCCAAACCACCTCGGGCTTGGGATCGCCAACTACCTCACAGAATATGATGACGTTGTCGCCCTCGTAGGCCTCACTGGAACGGGGCTTGACCACAAACAGCGGTTCCTTGGAGTAACTTAAAAAGAGAAATGGAACCATTAAATGGCTGATCTACACTCTTCTTCTTCTGGGTACAACTCACGGCAAATCGTCAGTCTTGATGCTGGGTATTTCCAGTGAACGCTGCGGCACCATTTTGTGCTCCGCCTCTTCGATGGCCACGCGGCAAATGGTCTCCACCTTGCCGACCACATTGGAGGCCACGCACACATAGATTCCGGCATCCCGCACAGTGGCCTCGGCAATGATCAGCTCAACGTATCCATTGCTGTCCAGGGTGGCGGTCAGGCGTCGACTGGGGCGCAGCCGCATGCCATTACGATGCCAGGTAACGCCCACGGCTGGGTAGGCCTCCACCTTGGTGGAGAGGCGTATTTCTGAGCCCTCGGGGAACACATAGAACGGATCGAGGGGCACATAGAAGTCGGGCGAGATGTAGGCACGAATGCCTTTGTCCACCACCAGAGTGCAGTGGCAGGACACGGAGCCCAGTTCGTTTTTGGCCAGGCAGGTGTAGGTGCCGCTCATGTCCAGCGTTGTGGCCGCAATCTCTAGCGTGAAGAACTGCCCCTCGGCTGTGATCTGGTGTCGCCGGTCAGCGTTGATGAGCTCCTCGTCCTTGTACCAGAGTATCTCCGGCACGGGATAGCCCACAATCTGGCAGGTGAGACGCACTGGATAGGTGACCTGGACGCGGCGATCCCGCAGGCGCATGGTGAAGATGGGCAGCGAATCGCCCACCTCAGCCACACTGCGTCCATGGGCGATTTCCTTCAGACGCGAGTCTGCCTCGTACAGCCGCGAATCGGACACAACCTGCAGCCGCGCAAAGGTGGAGACGCGGCCCTTGGAGTTGGTCGCCTCGCAGGTGTAGCGGCCAGAGTCCAGATCGCTGACAGTGGCTATGGTCAGGGCGCAGGTGGAGCCAATCTGTCGGATCCTCACGCGCTCCGAGCTGCTGCTCAGCTGAATGCCATCCTTGTACCAAGTTATCTGCGGCCGTGGGGCTCCTCGCATGTTGCACTGGAGAGTGAAGGAGGAGCCAAGCAAGGCCTTCACCTGGCCGGGCAGGATCTTGACGAACTCGGGCAGGCACTCGACTCCGCCCACCTGCAGAGTGGAGCTCGTCTGGACAGCCGGACCCCAGCCGTAGCGATTCTTGGGCGTGACCCGGAAGTGGTACTCCACATTGGGCTTCAGATTGAAGGCGTCGAAGGAGTTGATCGGCGTCAGGCCCAGCTCTCGCCAGTAGGCGCCGCCCTCGTGGCCCACAATCCAGGCGTCCACTCTGTAGGCAATAACCGGAGCTGAGTTGACGCTCACCGGCTTGCCCCATGACAGGGAGATGTGTGTGGGTCCGGAGTCGACGACCAGCGGCTCGGTGGATATGCAGCCAGGTGGATCTGTAGCGGGTGCAAAACAAAACAAATGAATGAATGAAACTGGCAGATGGCAGATGGTGGATGGGTAGGTGGTATATGGTGTATCATCGAAATCCAATCCTCAAATCAAAGACAGTACGCCCCGGAGAAATATTTTTTATTTGTTTGTTTTGTTTGTTTTCCACTACGTAAATGTATAAGCTGGATTGCTGTGCTTTAAATAATACATTATTTATATACGATAATAAAAGTAATTAAGTCAATCGTTCAGAAATACTAACAAAAGATAAATACACGAATTATTTTGTGTGTGTGCTGCAGGGTGTATCGATCTATCGATCTCATTGATCTCACAGATAATTTCTTTTGTCGTTTGTGGTTTGTGGCGGTGCTTGAACCGATCTGCAAGAAAGTATCCAACCAAAGCTTTGGCATCATATCTCAAGAGAATGGACGCCACACGAACAGACAGACAGACAGACAGACACAGGATGGAACGGACAACGAAGTGGAAGCAAGACAATGATCCATACACAACAGAAAATGATTATAGAACGCCACTGTCCGGCCCACTCGGCCACAAAGATGAATGAGCTTTCATACAGGGATACAAGGATACAAGGATACAGTATGCCTGAGTACTCACCTCTGAAATACGATGTGTCGCTGTAACTGTCGAGTGGTAGGCCCCAGCGTGGTTGCGTTGGCGTTGCGGAGCGAGCGCGCGGGTTTACCTATAAGTTTTGTAGTCAGAACGATATTATATATTGCTTTGAATGAACACATAGAGAGAGAGTCAGGAAAGTTGACTGTAATTAATTATAAAATTAGAATTGTATTTGTATTTGGAGTTGGAGTTTGTATTTGGTAATTGGTATTTTGTTGGTGCGAAGGCGTTCGAAATTTGCAAAATATTTGTTATGTGTTTAATTAATAAGCTTTATTCTTTCTTTTTGGGGATTTTAATCTAGAAGCAGAAGCAGAGAAGAGAAGAGAAATAATAGCATAGGTTAGTTAGCGAAAGCATTTTTGGCACTCGGAGAGCACACACACAGAGAGAAAGAGAGAGAGAGAGAGACACGACAATCAGGTACAGCCAGAAGCGACAGCAAACAGAAACAACAGAGACCCAAAGAACCCCAAGAACATACCGTGACGGTAACAAATATCCTGTCCGTGCCAAAGTTGTTACGTGCCACAACGAAGTAGGTGCCCGAGTCGGAGATTTGGGCCTGCTGCACTGTGAATCTTGTGTAGTCATCGGATACCTCTTGGCTGACCCGATCCGATTGGGTGATGTCCTTGGTGCCCTTCATGAACGTGACTGCAACGTGAGCAAAATCGAATGATATGATTAGAAGTGGATCCCAACACACACACACAATGATGAATCGCTTGCTTACGCCTTGGTTTCGGATCGCCGGCAATGCGGAAGGCAAACGAGAAGGGATCACCCACGGCGATCTTCATTTCGGTGTCGGGGCGCGACAGGAACAGCGGTGGCCGCTCCTCCTTTTCGGCACCAACGGCCACATCGATATTGACATGCGACTCGATCCGTCCGTATGCATTCGAGGCGCGGCACGTGTACGTGCCCTCAACCTGCGGACCAGCTTGCATAATGGTCAGCGTGTAGACGCCGCGCTCAGCCAGAGTGTGGACATTGGGACCTTCGACGAGCTGGCCGCCGCGCAACCATTTCACCTCGAGGGGCGTAGCGGTTTGCATGAACTCGGCCGAAATGGCCACAGTGCCGCCATCGCAGACGGTCTGGTTACCCAGTGGCATGAGGAAGTGCGGCTTGTTGGGGTCACGATGGTAGAAGCCCGACGTCTTCTCCTGTGTGTACCGCTCACGTCCCTTGAAGTCCACCTGGTGGGACATCTTGTGCTCGGCTCCCTCGTTGCGGGCCACGCACGAGTATACGCCAGAGTCCTTCTCGGTGGGGCTGATAATGACCAATTTAGCATAGCCATCGGCCTGGCTGATCACCAGGTACTTCTCATCGTTGCTGAGGATCTCGTTGCCCTTCATCCACTCAATCTCGGGGCGGGGCTGGCCACGCACGCGACAATCCAGAACCAACTCATTCTCGTTAAGAGAATATGTGTCTGCAAGAAGGGAACAAGAACAAGCATTAGCAAAGGGTCAACCAAACCAAGTGGGTTTACAGAAGCGGTTAGCGGAACAGCAAAAAGATGTACAAAGGCGCAGGCGAAAGATATCCGAGTTCTACCTCGAATTGGCTGCGTGAAAGTACTTGGCTGTGAGGCTTCCTTGAAGTGCTTGTAGACACGCAACTGGGCGTGGGTGAGGCTCTCGCCAAAGTCGTTGCTGGCACAGCAGGTGTAATTGCCGCTGTCATCGGCCACTGCAGCATAGAGCTCCAGCGAGGCCTCGCCGTTCTGGTAGAGGGTCTGGTAGCGTGTGTCCCTGGGCAGCGGTTTGTGGTTCTTAAGCCACTCGATGTGGGTGCTCTCATCGCCCGAAACGGCGCAGACCAGCCGCAGATTGGCTCCCTCTGAAACGGTGCGATCGTGCAGCAGAGCGTGGAAGAGCGGCTTGGCTTTGCCCACGCTGCGCAAGATGCGATCTCCGGCCCGATGAAGCTCTCCATTCCCATTGACCTGAGCAGCTGCTGTGCTTATATGCGATGTACTGCGCGACCAGCTGGACACATCCTGATCAGAAATTGCCAATACACTCTCTGCACTGACAGTGATCAGACGCTTGAGGTCGGCTGCTCTGATGGAGGTGCTGACCGAATCGATTCGATCCTCGTGCTCCGCATAGCAGGCAAAGATGCCGCAATCGGAGGATATGGGATTGCGTATGATCAGCTTCCGAACGCCGCCGGGCTCCTCCATCGCCTTGTAGCGATTGTTGCAGATCGTGTGATCGTCGCGCATCCAACTGACACTGGGACGTCCATGCACCTGACAGCTGAGCACAATCTCATTCCGCTGCGCATCGTAGGACTCTGCAAACGACAATTACAAAGATCAGTAAAAGGGAAAAGCGATGATGGATGGGTGGATGATTTCACCTGTTATTCCACTCGAGAAGCTCTCCGGCAGGTGTCCGTGGGTCTGATCCAACACACTCAGCTGTCCGGCACTCTCCACGGTCTGCTTGCTGTTCTTCACGACGCATCTGTAGTGGCCACTGTCCTCGACCCGGGCATCGTATATCTCCAGGCTGATGGCTCCGTTTATGTTGTAGATCTTGTGCCGGGCATCCTTTGTCACGCGCTCCTCGTTCCGCAGCCAGTGCACATCCTCGATGAAGCCGGTCACATAGCAAATCATCTGCGCCTTGTTGCCGCTGCCGATGGTCATGGTCTTCAAGCTGGTCTCCAGGCTGAGGCGCAGCTTGGCCTCGCGTGCCTTGGCCTTGGCTGACGCATTGTCACTCGCAGCAGCAGCAGCAGCAGCGGAGGAGGAGGATTCATCATCCCTCTTGATCTCCTGAATGACCATATCAATGGGTTTCTTTTCAGACGCTCGCTCGCGTATGTAGTCGGAGGCCTGCACGAACTTGCTGATCTTCATCTGACCGTTCTCGCTCTCCGCATAGCAGGTGTACAGGCCGGAGTCGTTGCTGCCAAAGTGCGCTATGGTCAGGAGCTTCACGCCGTCAGTCTGCTCCGCATACTGGTACTTGGCGCCCTCCACTGGCAGCAGGGTGTTGTCCCTCTGCCAGTAGATGTGTGGCTTGGGGCTGCCCGATACCTTGCACTCCAGCGTGAGGCTATTGCCTTGGGAATGGTATGAATCTGCAACGCAGATGGATGGATGGATGGGTGATGGGGAAGAGACAAGACACAATACAAATAAGACAGAATACAGCATACAGAATATGGGAATATCAAGAGATCTATCTGGGGATTAGTGTTCTTTAAAGCTACATCTAGGAGTACAGTAGGACTACACTTAGCTCAAAGCAAGGTGGGACATTCACCTGGACGCACTGGCGCGACGCTCACGACACCACATACGAGTGGAGCGCGTCCTACCTTTGATGCCCACCACAAAGGTGGGTGGGATTATCTCCACTTTACCCGTGCTGTAAACGAACAGGTTGCAAGTGCTCACGATTTCGTTGTCGGATCCCTTCACCCGCAGCGTGTACTCGCCGGCATCCTCCTCCGTCACACCCACCAGGTTCAGCCAGGCAATGCCGTTCTGCATGGACATCTTGGTATTGGGGCCGAAGGCAATGGGCTGGTCGCCGTGGAACCACTTGGCACTGGGATCCGGTCCGTCGATGTTCACCATCCACTTGACGTTGCTGCCCGACTTGACGGTGCGGTTCGAGAGGTAATTGCGGAAGTAGAGACGCTTCCTCAGATCCGGAGGCATGGGCACCTCGCGCCTCGAGCTTGTCACCTCCTCTTCGTCGGTCTTGGGCTTCCTGACTCGCGGTTCAGCATCAGCTCCTGCCTCCCCCTCCTCGCCGGCTACTGGCTCATCGCCAGCAGGACGGGGCGGTCTGCCCTCCCTGGGCGGCGAGACGCGTGGTGCCCTCACACGCTTCTCCACAGTGACCATGTGGACGATTTCCGTCCTGCCCTCGCGGTTCTCCGCCTGGCAAACGTACTTGCCGCTGTCCGAGGGCTTCGGGCTGCTGATGAACAGCTCGCAGGTGCCGTCATCGTGGTCCACCTGCTGGTACTTGTCGCTGTTCTCGACCTTCACGCCATCCTTCACCCACGTGACCGAGGGCGTGGGCAGACCGCGCACATGCACGTCCAGCTGCAGTTCGTTGATCTTGCCGTGCAGCGTGTCCTTGATGTTGCGCGTGAATGTGGGCGGAACGTCGCCGGTGCCCGGATCCTCGAACACCTCCAGACGGCAGGAGGTGGACGCCTCGCCGGTTTCATCGCGTCCCCAGCACTTGTACTCGCCGTTGTCCTCCGCCGTGGCGCTCGTGATCTCGAGCAGGCACAGTCCCTCGCTATAGCGGCCCCTGATCTTGGGTCCATTCACGATCTGCTCCCCGTCCTTGAACCACTTGACCTGCGGCTCCTTGGCGTCCAGGAAGCAGGAGATCTTCACCTTGGATCCCTCGGCCACAACGCGATCCCTCATGGAGGTGCTGAAGTGGATGACGATGTTCTTCTCGCGCCGCTTGCTCGAAATACTGCCCGAATCGGAGGCATAATCCGAGGCGTAGGCCGATGAAACTCCCTCGTCGTCGTCACCCTTGCGGCCACGTCGCTTGCCCTTGCCATCCTCGGCCTCAGCCTCAGACTCTGCCTCGGGTGCGGCCGCCACTGGAGCTGGCTTCCTCCAGTCCTCCGCGGGCTTCTCCTTCTCCTCCTTGGGACGCAGCAGATTCTTGTCGGCATGGAAAACGCCGTGGATATTGTCCGCAATGTGATGGGCCTGGCCCTCGAACATAACGTAATGCGAGATCTCCATTTTGCCGGCCCGACTCTCGGCCTTGACCACATATTTGCCCGAGTCCCTGTTGTCCGGACGATCGATGAGGAGCTCGCAGGTGCCATCCTGATGCTCGATCAACTGGTAACGGCCGCCGCTCTGGATCTCAATGCTGTCCTTGAACCATTGCACCTCCGGATTGGGCTGCCCACGCACCGCCGTCTCCAGGATCAGCTCGTTGGTGTTCAGATGATAGGTGTCTTTAAATGGGGAAGAGGATGGCAGAGATTTGTATTATGCAACGAAGAGAGCATAGAAGACATCACAACACCACAAACAACATAATGGATTGCATAATGGACACGACGCGATCGATGGCATTGCACAACCACAAACAATGTATGGTGGGATGCCTCTAATTATAGATCTCTCACTGATCTGATCCGATCCGATCCGATCTGAACTGATCTCTCATCCGATGGGAAGACAATGTGATGCTTGTGCTTGTGCTTGATGCGATCTCTTACCTTTCAGCGATCGGATGAACACGGGCTGGACATCGGTGTTGACCTTCGACTCGTAGACATGCAGCACGGCCGAGGTGCTGAGCTTGCAGTGCTCGTTCTGGGCAGTGATCGTGTAGGTGCCCGAGTCCTCGGTGGAGGCGTTGACAAACTCCAGGACCGCCAGGCCATCACGATTCATGTTGCGAATGCGCGGTCCGTAGGTAACATTCTGGTCATCCTTCAGCCACTTGAGTATCGGCTCGGGACCTCCAATCACGGCCTGCAACTTGACCTTGGAGCCCTCGGCCACATACCGATTGGACAGATTGACCGTGAAGTAAAGCATTTGCTTGGGCGAAGGGTCCGGCATGCGGCTGCGTCGCTCGTAGCCGCCATCTCCTCCGCCACCGCCAGCGCCCTCCTCCTCATCGTCCTTCTTCTTCTTTGGCCTGCCCTTGGCCTTGCCACCGCCCTCCGTGGCATCGCCCTCCTTTGCGCCGTCCTGCATGGCCAAAGTGGAGAGAATACTCGATCGACGGGATGAGTGTGTGTCGACGACGACCGTGTGGGTGGTCGACTGACTGCCCAACTTGTTCTGGGCAGAGCAAACATAGATTCCGTTGTCATTGACGGTCGGCTTGTTGATGATCAGCTCACAGATGCCGTCCAAGTGCTCGATCTGCACCACCCGATCGTCGAGCACCACGGGTATCTGGTCTTTCGTCCACGAGATGACGGGGCGGGGATTGCCGCGCACCTTCGTATCGAGAATCAAATCGTTCTGCGAGGCATGATATACATCTAAGGAGAAGGCAAAGGCAATCCAATCAATCAATTCATCTATTTTCGTACACGGACGACCTCAATCGCGATCGTCGGACAACACACACACACCACAGAGACACAGACACATGTAGCAGTCGTGTAACAGCAGAAGAAGAGACATCCACGATACATCCACAGAGAGTAACATTGAGAGAAGAGCAAATACCTCGCAGGGGCAGGGCGAATATGGGCTCCGATTCGTCGCCATCGGTCTGTGCCGCATACACTTTGAAGTAGCAAGAGGTTTCGATTTCGCTAAGATCGTTCTTGGCCACGCACTTGTAGACGCCCGAGTCGGCGGTGGTGGCATTCTCGATCGCCAGAATGGCTTTGCCCTCCTCCGACAGGTTCTTGACGTTGCCACCAACCACCACCCACTTGTCGTCCTTCATCCAGCGGGTGCTGGGCGAGGGTCCAATGACAGTGGCCACAAACTTAATGGTGGATCCCTCGAGAGCCATGCGATCGCGCAGCTGGGTGGCAAAGGAGAGCTTCTGCTTGGAGGGGACCAGTGGCTCTGGTGAGGGACGCACTGGCCGGTTGCGCGCCTGTTCGGCCTCAGCCTCGGCACGCCTCTGATCCGACTCCGCCATGGACTTGAGGGCCTCATCCATTTGCTTCTTGGCCTGCTTCAAGCTGTCCAGCTGGATCCTGTCGCGGGCATGGAAGATGCCCGGGACATGGTAGTGCAGATTCTTGGCCACCTCCACGGTGTGATTGATCTGACACTCGCCGATGGAATTGATGGCCTTCAAAGTGTAGATGCCGCCGTCCTTGTTGCCAGGCTTATAAATCAGCAGCTTGCAGACGCCGTGCGCCTCCTCCAGCATGGTGAACTTGTAGCTGGGCTTCACCTGGAAGGCGCCGCGCCACCAAGTGATGACCGGACGGGGCACGCCATGGACATGGCACTCGATGGTCAGCTCATCGTCGCGCATGTGATAGTACTCTGGAAGAGGCAAAGAAAAGCTACAACACAGCACTTTGGGGATGCACCGAACGCGCACGCGAACACGCTCACTCGCCGACATATACCTTTGATGTACTGAATGGATGGGGGTTTCGGTTCGTCCTTGAACACTTCGTAGATGGTGACAATGCACGAGGAGGTCACCTCGTCGTTCTGGTTCGAAATCACGCACGAATACTCGCCAGAGTCCAGGATGTTTGTGTTGAGCACCTCCAGCACGAGGATATTGTTGTTGTTGATAATGCGATGGTTGCCATCGCGCTCCAGCTGCCGGCGGTCCTTGAACCACCTGGCCGACAGCTCCGGGCCATCGACGGCGCAGGCCAGGCGCACACTTTGGCCACACTCGACGGTGCGATCGGAGAGAAAGTTAATGAACTTGGGCCGGCGGCCCTGCTCCCGGCGATTCTGCCAGTCGGCGTCGCGCTCCTTCTCGCTGATGCGCTTGGCCATGCTGTACTTGCGCATCTGCTGCATGAACGCCTCGCCCTCGATGGCGGCGATGCGCTGCCAGCGCTCCTCCTCGTGGGGATCGGGACGAACGAAGTCGTCCGAGGAGTCGCTGCCACGACGTTTCTCTTTTTTCAAGTCGACCACCGTGTCCGCCTCTTCTTCGGCGAGATCTTCGGGATTTTCTTCACCATCCTCGGCAGGATATTCATTATCCTCATCTCCGAACTCGTCCACGCCCTCACCCTCCTCCTCTGGTGGCTCTTCTTCTTCTGCAGCCTCCGCCTCCTCGAGGGCCCGCTGCTCGGCCTCCAATCTTTCTTCCTCTTCCTTCTCGGCCTGGAGGCGCTTCTGGCGCTCCTCAAAGGTCTCGCCCTTGGGCTTGGCCCTGTTGGCCTCCTCTTCGGCGGCCTTGGCAGCCGCCTTGGCCTGCTCCTCCATTTGGAGCACCATCTTGCTCTTCTTTGGCGGTGGCTTGGGTGCAGCCTGCTGCTGTTCAAACATTTTCTTGCTGGCCTTCTGGCCGCCTCCAATCTCCAGTTTCAAGCTCAATTTGGGACTGGGTGACTTTTCCTTCTTCTCCTTCTTCTTGGGAGGAGCCTTCTTCTTGCCCTTCTTGACGGGCTCGTCATCATCGAGATCCAAACTGTCCTCCCGGTCATCGAGGCCGTCACCAAGCGCGTCGCTGTCCTCCAATGTCAGATCGACGGACTTACGCGGGACACGCGGCTTCCTGGCCTTCTTCTTGGGCTTCACCTCCTCAATGATCTCCTCCTCGTCGACCTCTTCGTACTCTTCGACGACGTAGATAACCTCAACGTTGGACACATCCATTACGGCAGCGCGATCGATTACCGACAAGTCAGATGTTATGTAACGCACGGGCTTCTGCGCATCCAACGGCTCGGAGATATCCATGACGAGGGCGCGATCGAAGACGGCAATGTTGCACGTTGTCTGGCTCTTTATGTCCCGCCCCAGTTCGAAAGGAGTCTTCTCCTTCTCCTCGCGATTCAGGAACGGCGTAATGCTGCGCCATGTCGAGGGCGTGGCACTGCGTCGACTCATGTAGAGGTTGAACGGTGTCTGACTCCGGCCGTGTATCGGCGTGGAGCTGCGTCCGCGCAAGCTAACTGGAGTTGGTGATTTGAGTTTACGCTTCTTTTGCGTTGGCACCTGCAACGTGTCCTGGGCTGCTGGCGCCTCTGGTTCGGCAGAGGCCCGTGGCTCGATATCTCCATCCGTTTCTCCCATTCTGATTGGTTTCGGACCTTTTTCTTAAGGTGGTTTATGGAAGGATAACGTGGGAATGGAGTTCGTAATGGAAAACCGAAAAAAATTATATCCGTCCGACTTTATATACTATCTATATGTACTATATAGCCCGCAACGGTTCGATCGATAGTTTTTTAGGACGTGAGACGTCCGCTCGAAGCAAAAGAAGATTCACGACTGTCACCGAACGTGGTGAAATATTCGAAAATACATTCCTTCTCGAATTGAATCGAATCGAACCGATCTGTTCCGATCTGATCCTAATTCCCAATCGATTGTTATGCTAAAAACTATTTTACGAATTCTGTTTTGTTTTACCGACAAGAGCTCGTTCGCACAATCACACGATCACACACATGCGACATTCAGTGCCAAAATGCATTTCTATTTAAATCCCTTTCCACTTTTAATGAATGCAGGCAGTAAATGCAAATGAAAATTCAATTATATAAATGAGGCGGCGGCGGCTGCCATTCGAATTAAATGAGCTATTTAAATAGGTTTCTATTTAAATGCTATGATAATGGGACTCATTTACCTTCAAATCTCAACACATGCCATATTTGCGAACCGTAAGTGTAAAACGATTTGTTTTGTTAGTTAATGCGCGAAGAATACACACACACGTCGTACGATTAGTTACTCTGTTGTTAAGCCAATCCATTTTATATGGGGATGTCATTGGTAGTTAATTTTCTCAGATGATTTCTTGACCAGACATTACTCAAGCCATTTACATATAACATAATATTTCTCCCTCCCCCCAAAATAAATACAAGTAATATATAATATAAATTAATACCTAATCAAGAGCCTTACGCATACGTGCTTCCTATATATTATATCTATTTATATATACATATATGCAGTATCTTATATATACGTGTACATTGTATGCCAAGTCAAGATGCATAAATGCAAATAATTGAAATATTTGTCTTTAATTGAGTTCGAAATTCGGGCATTAGATCACTAGGTAGAATAGGTAGAACAGGGCACGATCGCCGCCACTTACCTCGAATGTTGCGTGTAAATATTGGCGGGGTGCCAAATTTGCTCGAAGGTGCTTCGTATATAGTCACAAGACAGCTAGTTTCGACTTCTCCATTTTGGTTGGACGCAATGCAGCGGTAGATGCCAGAATCATTTAGTTCGGCCGATTTAATTTCAAGGCACGAGAGGCCGTCGTTCAATGTTTTCCTGTACTTGACCCCATTCTCAATCGGAGTGTTCTGCTTAAACCACTCCACCCTCATCTCGTGTCCAGATAACCCGCAAGTCAGCTTCAGATCACTGCCCGATGCCGTGTTCCGATTGGTTAATTGGATGTCCACAGTGGGCTTACGCTTAGCACTGCGCGATTCCTTTCTATCCTTGTACTCAGAATCCATTGATTTATAGGATCGCATACTAATGGCGTCGGCAGGTTCTTCCACTCTTTGATTCCTCTCAACGTCACGCTGATAGCCAGACTTTCTTTCTTCAATGATATTGTCTGCGGAAAGCGCTTCAGGCACATTGACCTTATTGCTTTCTTCTAACTTCTCAACAACAACCTCAGATTCTTCAAACTTCTGAGTCTTCTTTTCGGCTTCCTTCGGTTTCTCAGCTTGCTTCTGTTTTTTCTACCATCCTAGTTTTTCTCCTTCTCTGCCTCTTTCTGCACCTTCTCGGTTGTTTGCTTCTTGTTTTCAGGGCCTTTGCTTTCTGCGCTTTAGCTTCGGAATCCTTGACGCCCGCCTTCTGAATTTCTTCTACCTTTTCTTCAGATATCTTTTCAGCAACAACCTCAGATTTTTCTGCCTTCTGTGCCTTCTTTTCTGCATCCTTCTCAGCTTGCTTCTGTTTCGTCTCATCCAGTTGTTTCTCCTCGAGTTCTTGCTTCTCCAGGGCCTTTGTTTTCTTGGTTTTAGACTCGGAATCCTTGACATCCGCATTCTGAATTTCTTTTTCTTCAGATATCTTTTTAGCAACAACCTCAGATTTTTCTGCCTTCTGTGCCTTCTTTTCTGCATCCTTCTCAGCTTGCTTCTGTTTTTTCTCATCCAGTTGTTTCTCCTCGAGTTCTTGCTTCTCCAGGGCCTTTGCTTTCTGCGCTTTAGCTTCGGAATCCTTGACGTCCGCCTTCTGAATTTCTTCTACCTTTTCTTCAGATATCTTTTCAGGAACAACCTCCGATTTTTCTGCCTTCTGTGCCTTCTTTTCTGCATCCTTCTCAGCTTGCTTCTGTTTCGTCTCATCCAGTTGTTTCTCCTCGAGTTCTTGCTTCTCCAGGGCCTTTGCTTTCTTGGTTTTAGACTCGGAATCCTTAACATCCACCTTCTGGCTTTCTTCTAACTTTTCTTCAGATATCTTTTCAGGAACAACCTCCGATTTTTCTGCCTTCTGTGCCTTCTTTTCTGCATCCTTCTCAGCTTGCTTCTGTTTCGTCTCATCCAGTTTTTTCTCCTCGAGTTCTTGCTTCTCCAGGGCCTTTGCTTTCTGCGCTTTAGCTTCGGAATCCTTGACGTCCGCCTTCTGAATTTCTTCTCCCTTTTCTTCAGATATCTTTTCAGCAATAACCTCCGATTTTTCTGCCTTCTGTGCCTTCATTTCTGCATCCTTCTCAGCTTGCTTCTGTTTCGTCTCATCCAGTTGTTTCTCCTCGAGTTCTTGCTTCTTCAGGGCCTTTGCTTTCTTGGTTTTAGACTCGGAATCCTTAACATCCACCTTCTGGCTTTCTTCTAACTTTTCTTCAGATATCTTTTCAGGAACAACCTCCGATTTTTCTGCCTTCTGTGCCTTCTTTTCTGCATCCTTCTCAGCTTGCTTCTGTTTCGTCTCATCCAGTTTTTTCTCCTCGAGTTCTTGCTTCTCCAGGGCCTTTGCTTTCTGCGCTTTAGCTTCGGAATCCTTGACGTCCGCCTTCTGAATTTCTTCTACCTTTTCTTCAGATATCTTTTCAGCAATAACCTCCGATTTTTCTGCCTTCTGTGCCTTCATTTCTGCATCCTTCTCAGCTTGCTTCTGTTTCGTCTCATCCAGTTGTTTCTCCTCGAGTTCTTGCTTCTCCAGGGTCTTTGCTTTCTGCGCTTTAGCTTCGGAATCCTTGACGTCCGCCTTCTGAATTTCTTCTACCTTTTCTTCAGATATCTTTTCAGCAATAACCTCCGATTTTTCTGCCTTCTGTGCTTTCTTTTCTGCATCCTTATCAGCTTGCTTCTGTTTCGTCTCATCCAGTTGTTTCTCCCCAAGTTCTTGCTTCTCCAGGGCCTTTGCTTTCTGCGCTTTAGCTTCGGAATCCTCGACATCCGCCTTCTGACTTTCTGCTGCTTTTTCTTCAGATATCTTTTCAGCAACAGCATCAGATTCTTCTGCCTTTACGGACTTCTTTTCTGCATCCTTCTCAGCTTGCTTCTGTTTCGTCTCATCCAGTTGTTTCTCCTCGAGTTCTTGCTTCTCCAGGGCCTTTGCTTTCTTGGTTTTAGACTCGGAATCCTTAACATCCACCTTCTCGCTTTCTTCTAACTTTTCTTCAGATATCTTTTCAGGAACAACCTCCGATTTTTCTGCCTTCTGTGCCTTCTTTTCTGCATCCTTCTCAGCTTGCTTCTGTTTTTTCTCATCCAGTTGTTTCTCCTCGAGTTCTTGCTTCTCCAGGGCCTTTGCTTTCTGCGCTTTAGGTTCGGAATCCTTGACGTCCGCCTTCTGAATTTCTGCTGCTTTTTCTTCAGATATCTTTTCAGCTACAACCTCAGATTCTTCTGCCTTCTGTGCCTTCTTTTCTGCATCCTTCTCAGCTTGCTTCTGTTTTTTCTCATCCAGTTGTTTCTCCTCGAGTTCTTGCTTCTCCAGGGCCTTTGCTTTCTGCACTTTAGCTTCGGATTCCTCGACATCCGCCTTCTGACTTTCTGCTGCTTTTTCTTCAGATATCTTTTCAGCAACAACATCAGATTCTTCTGCCTTTACGGACTTATTTTCTATATCCTTCTCAGCTTGCTTCTGTTTCGTCTCATCCAGTTGTTTCTGCTCGAGTCCTTGCATCTCCAGAGCCTTTGCTTTCTGCTCTTCAGCTTCGGAATCCTTGACATCGACCCTCTCACTTTCTTCTGCCCTTTCTTCAGATATCTTTTCAGTAACAACCTTAGATTCTTCTGCTTTTTGTGCCTTCTTTTCTGCGTCCTTCTCAGCTTGTTTCTGTTTCGTCTCATCCAGTTGTTTCTCCTCGAGTTCTTGCTTCTCCAGGGCCTTTGCTTTCTGCACTTTAGCTTCGGAATCCTCGACATCCGCCTTCTGACTTTCTTCTACATTTTCTTCAGAAATCTTTTCAGAAAGAACTTTAGATACCTTAGCTTTCTTGATCTTCTTGAGATCTTCCTCTCTTTCCTCGGATATCTTTTCAGAAAGAATTTCAGCCTCCGCAATTTCGCCTACTTCTTTATGTTGAGTTTGTTTTCCAATCAAGTCTTTCAGATCTTCACAAATGTTTAACATCTTCTGCGTAACATTATGAATCTTTCCATGGACAATGGCAGTATGAAGATCTCCTTGTTTCTTCTCAATATAGTCATACTCGCCGAGCAAAATCGACTTAATTGCTTCAATTTTTGGCTTTAAGATTTCCGTCTTCTCGTCTAGTAGATCGTCAAGTATTATGAAAATATCCATTAGATTCTGTTGCAAGCTGATCATCTTTTCGGATGACTTATCTAAATGTTGAGAAGACTGAATTTTCTCAGCAATCCTTTCCAAATTAACTAGTTTCGGCACCAACAGGGATGGTTTGGTGAACAAGTTGCTCTCGTCGATAAGCTGAATTGAAGCTTTAGTTAGAATCACATTTGTCTTAATTTCCTTAAGATAGTTGTGAATTAGTTGCTCAGCTGCGTCTGGGCAGGCCTCTAGAAGGGCTTCGATAAATTCGACCGCGTTTTGCTTATCATTATCTTCATTTGCTGTCTTTCCGTCATAGGTATGAACGATATGCTCTTGTAATTTAAATATGGACTTGGCTACCTTTTCAGCATCCCTGAGATTCTCGATAATATCTTGGCTTTCCGTCACAATTGTCTGCAATGCCTCGTTATTTGTGCTGAGAGCAAGCGCCTGGAATAGACCCAATATTTTTTCATTGAAAGTCTCTGCCTTTTGGTCCTTTTTGTCAGTTTCTATCTCAATCTGCTTGTGCTTTTCCAAGGCCTTTTCGTCGTGAGGTTTGGATGCTTCATCAGGATTCTTGATTTCGTCCACCTTTTCTTCCAATAGCTTCTTTGAATGAACTTCAGAAACTTCTGCATTTTTGCCCTTCTCTGTATCTTTTTTAGCATGCTTGTCTCTCTTATCCAGTTGTTCTACTTCTAGAATTGGATTCTCCAAAGACGTTGCTTCTTTAGACTTGAATGCTTCGTCTGTCAGCTGTTCAGATATCTTTCCAGCTACAACCTCAGATTCTTCTGCATTCTGTGCCTTCTTTTCTGCATCCTTCACAGCTTGCTTCTGTTTCGTCTCATCCAGTTGTTTCTCCTCGAGTTCTTGCTTCTCCAGGGCCTTTGCTTTCTGCGCTTTAGCTTCGGAATCCTTGACATCCACCTTCTGACTTTCTTCAGCTTTTTCTTCAAATATCTTTTCAGCAACAATATTAGATTCTTCTGCCTTTAGGGACTTATTTTCTACATCCTTCTCAGCTTGCTTCTGTTTCGTCTCATCCAGTTGTTTCTCCTCGAGTTCTTGCTTCTCCAGGGCCCTTGCTTTCTGCGCTTCAACTTCGGAATCCTTGACATCCACCTTCTGAATTTCTTCTGTTTTTTCTTCAGATATCTTTTCAGCAACAACCTCAGATTTTTCTGCCTTCTGTGCCTTCTTTTCTGCATCCTTCTCAGCTTGCTTCTGTTTTTTCTCATCCAGTTGCTTCTCCTCAAGTTCTTGCTTCTCCAGGGCCTTTGCTTTCTGCGCTTTAGCTTCGGAATCCTTGACATCCGCCTTCTGAATTTCTTCTACCTTTTCTTTAATTATATTTTCAGCAACAACCTCAGATTCTTCTGCTTTCTGTGCCTTCTTTACTGCATCCCTCTCAGCTTGCTTCTGTTTCGTCTCATCCAGTTGTTTCTCCTCGAGTTCTTCCTTCTCCAGGGCCTTTGCTTTCTGCACTTTAGCTTCGGAATCCTTGACGTCCGCCTTCTGACTTTCTGCTGCTTTTTCTTCAGATATCTTTTCAACAACTACATCAGATTCTTCTGCCTTCTGTGCCTTCTTTTCTGCATCCTTCACAGCTTGCTTCTGTTTCGTCTCATCCAGTTTTTTCTCCTCGAGTTCTTGCTTCTCCAGGGCCTTTGCTTTCTGCGCTTTAGCTTCGGAATCCTTGACATCCACCTTCTGACTTTCTTCAGCTTTTTCTTCAAATATCTTTTCAGCAACAATATCAGATTCTTCTGCCTTTAGGGCTTATTTCTACATCCTCTCAGCTTGCTTCTGTTTCGTCTCATTCAGTTGTTTCTCCTCGAGTTCTTGCTTCTCCAGGGCCCTTGCTTTCTGCGCTTCAACTTCGGAATCCTTGACATCCACCTTCTGAATTTCTTCTGTTTTTTCTTCAGATATCTTTTCAGCAACAACCTCAGATTTTTCTGCCTTCTGTGCCTTCTTTTCTGCATCCTTCTCAGCTTGCTTCTGTTTTTTCTCATCCAGTTGTTTCTCCTCAAGTTCTTGCTTCTCCAGGGCCTTTGCTTTCTGCGCTTTAGCTTCGGAATCCTTGACGTCCGCCTTCTGACTTTCTTCTACCTTTTCTTTAATTATATTTTCAGCAACAACCTCAGATTCTTCTGCTTTCTGTGCCTTCTTTACTGCATCCTTCTCAGCTTGCTTCTGTTTCGTCTCATCCAGTTGTTTCTCCTCGAGTTCTTCCTTCTCCAGGGCCTTTGCTTTCTGCACTTTAGCTTCGGAATCCTTGACGTCCGCCTTCTGAATTTTTTCTACCTTTTCTTCAGATATCTTTTCAGCAACAACCTCAGATTTTTCTGCCTTCTGTGCCTTCTTTTCTGCATCCTTCTCAGCTTGCTTCTGTTTCGTCTCATCCAGTTGTTTCTCCTCGAGTTCTTGCTTCTCCAGGGCCTTTGCTTTCTGCACTTTAGCTTCGGAATCCTCGACATCCGCCTTCTGACTTTCTTCTGCTTTTTCTTCAAATATCTTTTCAGCAACAATATCAGATTCTTCTGCCTTTAGGGACTTCTTTTCTACATCCTTCTCAGCTTGCTTCTGTTTCGTCTCATCCAGTTGTTTCTCCTCGAGTTCTTTCTTCTCCAGGGCCTTTGCTTTCTGCGGCTTAGCTTCGGAATCCTTGACATCCGCCTTCTGAATTTCTGCTGCTTTTTCTTCAGATATCTTTTCAGCTACAACCTCAGATTCTTCTGCCTTCTGTGCCTTCTTTTCTGCATCCTTCTCAGCTTGCTTCTGTTTTTTCTCATCCAGTTGCTTCTCCTCAAGTTCTTGCTTCTCCAGGGCCTTTGCTTTCTGCACTTTAGCTTCGGAATCCTCGACATCCGCCTTCTGACTTTTTTCTGCTTTTTCTTCAAATATCTTTTCAGCAACAATATCAGATTCTTCTGCCTTTAGGGACTTATTTTCTACATCCTTCTCAGCTTGCTTCTGTTTCGTCTCATCCAGTTGTTTCTCCTCGAGTTCTTTCTTCTCCAGGGCCTTTGCTTTCTGCGCTTTAGCTTCGGAATCCTTGACATCCGCCTTCTGAATTTCTGCTGCTTTTTCTTCAGATATCTTTTCAGCTACAACCTCAGATTCTTCTGCCTTCTGTGCCTTCTTTTCTGCATCCTTCTCAGCTTGCTTCTGTTTTTTCTCATCCAGTTGTTTCTCCTCGAGTTCTTGCTTCTCCAGGGCCTTTGCTTTCTGCACTTTAGCTTCGGAATCCTCGACATCCGCCTTCTGACTTTCTGCTGCTTTTTCTTCAAAAATGTTTTCAGCAACAACATCAGATTCTTCTGCCTTTACGGACTTCTTTTCTACATCCTTCTCAGCTTGCTTCTGTTTCGTCTCATCCAGTTGTTTCTCCTCGAGTTCTTGCTTCTCCAGGGCATTTGCTTTCTTGGTTTTAGACTCGGAATCTTTAACATCCACATTCTGGCTTTCTTCTAACTTTTCTTCAGATATCTTTTCAGCAACAACCTCAGATTTTTCTGCCTTCTGTGACTTCTTTTCTGCATCCTTCTCAGTTTGTTTCTGTTTCGTCTCATCCAGTTGTTTCTCCTCGAGTTCTTGCTTCTCCAGTGCCTTTGCTTTCTGCGCTTTAGCTTCGGAGTCCTTGACATCCGTCTTCTGACTTTCTTCTACATTTTCTTCTGATATCTTTTCAGAAAGAACTTTAGATGCCTCAGCTTTCTTGATCTTCTTGAGATCTTCCTCTCTTTCCTCGGATATCTGTTCAAAAAGAATTTCAGCCTCCGCAATTTCGTCTACTTCTTTATGTTGAGTTTGTTTTCCAATCAAGTCTTTCAGATCTTCACAAATGTTTAACATCTTCTGCGTAACATTATGAATCTTTCCATGAACAATGGCAGTATGAAGATCTCCTTGTTTCTTCTCAATATAGTCATACTCGCCGAGCAAAATCGACTTAATTGCTTCAATTTTTGGCTTTAAGATTTCCGTCTTCTCGTCTAGTAGGTCGTCAAGTATTATGAAAATATCCATTAGATTCTGTTGCAAGCTGATCATCTTTTCGGATGACTTATCTAAATGTTGAGAAGACTGAATTTTCTCAGCAATCCTTTCCAGATTAACTAGTTTCGGCACCAACAGGGATGGTTTGGTGAACATGTTGCTCTCGTCGATAAGCTGAATTGAAGCTTTAGTTAGAATCACATTTGTCTTAATTTCCTTAAGATAGTTGTGAATTAGTTGCTCAGCTGCGTCTGGGCAGGCCTCTAGAAGGGCTTCGATAAATTCGACCGCGATTGGCTTATCATTATCTTCATTTGCTGACTTTCCGTCATAGGTATGAACGATATGCTCTTGTAATTTAAATATGGACTTGGCTACCTTGTCAACATCACTGAGATTCTCGATAATATCTTGGCTTTCCGTCAAAATTGTCTGCAATTCCTCGTTATTTGTGCTGAGAGCAAGCGCCTCGGATAGATCCAAGAACTTTTCTTTCAAAGTTTCTGTCTTTTGGGCCTTCTTGTCAGCATCCTCTTCAGTCTGAGTTTCTTTCTTAGTTTCGGCATGTTGTTCCTCAGGCACTCCACTTTCTTTGACCTTTTCGATGTTTGGCGCATCTCGCGAGACATCCTTCTCAGTTTGCTGAATAGGTTCTTCGATAACCATTTGTTTAGCTTTTTTAGGTTCGGGTTCAGTGTCTTCCCGAAGGTCCTCTTTCTCTTCGTTCAGGTCTGATTCCTGGGCCGATTCGGGTTCTTTTTTAAGTTCGGCAAGGGAAACGTTCAGTTCAGTTAGCTTATCTTTCAGATTATTCAGTTGCAGCTGCACGGTTTCTATTAGAGTGAATTGCTGTGTGCTTATTTGTGTTAGTTGAGGCTGCGAAAGGATTTCTTTCTCAATTTGAATGAGTGTTGCTTCCAATTGAGCAATGTCCTCCGTGTTTTCGTCCAGAAGAAGGATGCTTTGGGGATTGTTGGCCTGTAGTCCCTCCTCGATTTCAGTTAGGAAGGCTTTACCTGACGATACGTTTTCGATTATCATGCCAATGTCAATAGGCACCGTCAGCTCAAATGGAATCAGGGATAGGGCCTTTAAGTCTCCAGTAATGGAGTCGATTTCCTGCAATAGTTCTATGATGCGAATCGAGTTCTCGCTGTTTTCTATGAAATCAAAGACGGTCACTAGACTGCTCTGGGTTTTCAACAGGCCACCCAACAGTTCATTGCTGGCCCCTTCGCTGACCTCATTTAGACTTCTGAATGCAGCCATCAGACTAGTCTGAAGCTGAACCACTACCGCAGATGACTTTTCCACATCAACATTGGTTTGAGCTGCCACAGCTCCTATGGACTGCAGAAGATTCTCTATGGGTGTCTTCAGGGAAATAAGCTCCACTGCTTCTGCACTCTGACAATGGATCACGAGGTTCTTGAAGACTTGCTCGATTTTGCCAAACATCTCCTCTGCCAATTGTGTCTCCAGTACTGGCAAAGAAAGTAGGATGTCCTCGAAAGCACTCTCCACATTCTCCAACGAGTCAACCAGTCCCGATTCATAGGTATGCACTAGACACTCCTTCAATTTAAACATGGTGCGTGCAATTTTTGCCTGAGCCAGGACAGTTTCCTGCTGATCGTTGCCCGAGACAAGAGAAGCTTGAATGCTCTCCAAATCAGACTTTAGCTGCTCCATTATTTCACCAACTTGTTGGAGTTCTTCGCTAGCATCGGTCTGGGTGACCACTAGGCAGGCTTCGAGCTGCTTGATTCCACTCGCCACACCTTGCTGTATATCGAATACTTCCACCTTTGGTTCTTCTTCTAAAACAGCTACCTCTTGGATGTTATCCGAAACGGTTTGCTTGTGCCCACTGGTCTTGAGGTCCGAAATGTCCTCCTGCGTGGATATATCCATGGCATGCTCCAGCACATGAGTATCGAGCCGTTCACAGTATTCCCTTACATCCCGCAGTGGTGTGGCCAATGTCTTAAGTTTCGATAGTTCTAGATCACTGATATTCTCGACCCCACTGTGGGCAATAAACTCCTCCACATGCAGGACACAGCGTTCCAGACTGCAAAGGGCCTCGGCAAAAGTACCCTGATTACTGGACTCCGACAAAGAATGAGCCGCCTCCACGATGTTTGTCTCCTGCACCAGAGCGATGCTGTTCTGCAGTTCCTGCATCTTGATTACAGCTGAATGGACCTGCTGGCCATTATTGCCGCCTATAGAAGTCACATCGACGTCTTCACAATGGGATAGAACCGAAGCTATTCCATGGTTTAGATCCGCAAGCAAGGCTCCAACATCAGTCGATGGTTTCTCTACGCTAATGGGCTCTGCTTCGGGCTCCGTGGGCAATGACTCTGCAATCGACTTTAGCACTGAGACATCGTCCAATGTTTCCGATAGATCTTCCACAGATGCCCTCAATGGGTGTACCCTTTCGAGCACGTGAATCAGGCTTGAGAGTTGACTGGCTATGCTGAGTTTCTCGTCCGTGCTCTGCTTCTGTTGGGCAACAATTTCGCTAAACTGATGAAGGGCATTCAGGAAGTCACTTTCCGACTGCGCTGCTGGACTATCAAGGGCTCTGGCTAGGTCAGAAAAGCTTTTGCCGCACTCGAATAGGACTCTGGATGTGTTGGCCTCGTTCACGTCGAGCATTGTCTCTGCCTCGCTGAAGGTGGCCAGTCCCTTGGCAATCTGCAGGATACGCAAAAGCGACACTTGAGCATCGTTTGCGGATGTCTTGACAGTTTCAGTGGCTCTGGGGCTTTCGCTCATTTTGTTTAATGCCATCTGCAGAGTTTCAATATTTCCGATAGCCTCATCCAGGGAGACCTTTGTCTCCAGCACCTTCCGTAGCGCGCTAAAAGATTTGTCCTGCTGCGAGGCCTGCTGTTCATCCTGCTGGATCTCTTGCTGAAGAATCTTAAACTCATGCTCTTCAATGTCGATGACAGCGTTGCGAATGATGCTTCTAATGTTGTCGAGCGTCTGCAGTGCTTGCTGATCCGGCTCCCGTGCAGTTAGGAGCAGGCCATGGCCCTTCTGGGTGTTATCCTGCAACATGCTCAGCGGCTCAATTAAATCTGCTAGCGACCCGGAAATAGTCTTGACCTCTGTCTGGCGAATACAGTAGTTGATTTCATCCACCGGACGCTTGAGTCTGTCGAGCAGCTCCACGTGATGCCTGGTTATATCTTTGTCCAGGATGGTGCCAATCAATGCGGATAGCTCATCCTTCAGATTGAGCAAGCGGATTTTCACATTCGACGAGAGACGAGGCGAAATCCTTTCAATGTTCGTTTCAAAATGCAACACTGCCTGGGCAAACGACTGCAGCAGTTTCTGCGTATCGGCCACATCCAGTGCGGGCTCGGGTCGGGGCTCCTGCTCCGCCGCATCAGCCATCACTGCCTGGCCGCTTTCCAGATCTTGTCCCAGCTGCGCCAGGCCATTCTGTATCTCCTGCAGGGGCGGCACCATCGATTCCACAGTGCTAACCGTCAGCATGCCACCCTCCACACTGTCAGATTTCTCGTTGAGAATCACCTCGAGTCCCTTATTGAGCTCGAACAGCGGCGGCGTGACAATATCAAGGATGGCCATGTTGATCTTCTGCTCCATCGACTCGGATCCTGCCATGGATTCGGTCTTGTCTTCGATAGACTGCAGGGTGCTCTGCAGCTGCTTGATGGGCTCCACAATACTTTGGAGCACCTTCTGATGCACTTTCTTGTAGATCTGCTCCTCCGACTCCTCCAGCGACAACTCCATCTCCACCCGTTCCAGTGCCTCCTGAATCCTGGCCACTGGCTGGCAAATCTCCTTGAGGGCGCTCGCTTCGCTGGGCAAATTGGCCTCCGATATGGTGGCAAAGGATACGGAGTCGGGGACATCCTGCATCTTCTCCACGGCTTCGGTAAAATGCTTAGCTGCCTCCAGTTCCTGTGCCTCCTGCAGCAGTGCCTGCGACCTGATGGTGCCCTGTGTGATATCCAGCCCCTGCTGGATGTCATCGGCGGTGAGTTCTATTTGTGCCCTCAGGCACTCAGACTCGAACCGCCTGCTGACGATTTTCAACTCCTCCAGGGCCCGCTTCATTTGATCGGCCACGCTGTCAATGATGCAGACACTGGTACGCTGAATGAGCGTTGCCCCGGTCTCATCGATCTCCACACACTTCTCAATGACTTGAAGGCCCATGTGAAGTTTGCGTATGTCCTCGTCCATAGACTGGATGAGGCCATCGATCTGTGTCTCGCCAGAGTAGACGCGTAGCTTCGATTCGATTTGCTTGATCGGATCAATAATATTGCGGATGATGGCAATGCTCTGATCGGCAGCAGCCGCCGTCATCATCATGGTGGACTGCTCGACCACCTCATTCTCCACTACCGTGAGATGCTTCTCAATTACCTTGAGAAGCTTGGCCAGTGGCACTAGCGCCATCAGATTTCGATTGATTTCACCCTCGTCGGTGACTGCTTTTGGGTGGGATGTTGGGGTAACCAATAGGCCATCACCCACTGCACCGGAGATGTCCTGCAGCCGGGCATCATCCTCGTTGGTCTTTGAGGAATCGCTGTCGGCTGATGGCTTCTTGGACTTTTTCCTCTTAGGCGCCGACAATGACTCTGGGTCCTGCTCCGGACTACCCTTAGATGCTGAGGTAGTGGCCACCTTCTGGGATGTGGACATTTGAGCGCTGGCAAAGGTCTGCAAATCCGATGTCTCTTCCTCTCCCTTCCTGGCTACCCGAAGCCGAGGCCTTCGACAGGCTGAAGAACTCGTCTGTCTCTGTGGGTCGTGACTTTTTCCGCTTCCGTATGGGGGCCGACAGCGATAGCTCCTCCTCCATTTTCTCAAAGGACTCCTGCACATATTGCTGCGTCTCCTTGTTCAGCTTTCCCTCCCTGCCCGACGAGCCATGCACTGTGATCTCTGTTATTGATATGTCATCCATATCCGCCTCAGTACGTAGATCCTCTTCATGGCTGAAATACTCGGGCGCTATGTCAATGACAACAGCTTCCATTAGTAGCTTTCCCGACTGCGAAGTCTCTTTGACAAAGCGCAACGGTGGCAACTCCACGATATTGTGCTCCGTCACATGCTCGGATATCTGATCTGCATACATTTCCACAATCTTGAGGGCCTCCTCCTCGGTGAGATCGGGCGTTTCGTAGAGCGAAACGGAGACCTCTTTGCCATCGAAGGAGAATGACACATCGCCCTTCTCATCAATGGTTATGTCGCCAACGGGCGTCTCATACATCTGGGATGTGCGCTCCTCTTGAATTGTGGAGAGCGATAAGTTCCTCTGCAGCTCGTTTTCGTGCAGCGGCGTTTCACTCTTCTGGCTCTGGGCCTGACTTCTTTGGGCATCCTCAAAGCCCAGCAGCGATGCAGAGCTGGCGACGACACCCATGCAGTTCCTGGCCTCGCATGTGTACGTGCCCAGGCAGCAAGTGCCATCCTGGCCAGAGATGATTCGATGTATATCGCCGGGTTTCAGTTCCAACCCATCCTTGTACCACTTGAGCACCGGCTGGGGCACGCCAATGACCTTGCACTCGAGATTTACGGCTCCCTCCTCGGTGAGCACCGCTCGCAGACACTCGAGGAAGCGAGGCTTCTTGTAGTGCCGGGGTATCTGAAGCTTCAGGAAGCACGAGGTGATGCTGGTGCCAAAATCATTGACGGCAACACACTTCCACTCGGCCTGATCCACAAACTCCACAGCCTTGATGTCCAGCAGCCAACAGTCGTCGCTTTCGCCGCGATAGTGATTGTATCTGTCGTTCGGATCGATGGGCAGCTCATCCCGAAACCAGGACAGTATGGGATCCGGGGTGGCCTTCACCACCACCTTGAACTGGAAGGGTTCGTTGATTTTGGCATCGGTGCTCTTCAGGCCCGTGAGGAACTTGGGTGCCTGGTTCTGTTGTGTGAATACCATGCGCTCCTCATCGGTAAGCTGATTTTGTATATCCTCCACGGTGAGTACGGCCGTACTGCTGGTCTCTCCCATGCAATTGCGGGCAATGCAGCAATAGGTGCCCAAGGAATTGGTGCCCGTCAGCTGGTAAACATCGCCGGGCTTCAGTTCGTGTCCATCCTTGAACCATTTGAGCACTGGCGTTGGGAAGCCCACCACTTTGCACTCGAATGAGACGAGTCCCTCTTCAGTAAGAACGGCGCGAAGACTCTCCATGAACCGGGGCTTGCGATAGTTTCTGGGAACTGTAAAGAAATTAATTTTAATTTTAATCAATTCCGTGGAGAATCCTTGGTTAATCTTCACTCACTGTCCATGTTAACCGCACAGGTGGAGATGCCCACACAGCCCTCAAAGCTGGTGACCACACATTTCCATTCCCCGGCATCGCAGGACTCTGATGGCTTAATCTCGATCATGTAGACACCCAGGCCATCCTCGATCAGTTTATATCGCTCGGCGGTCTCCACACGTCCATCGGTGTTGTACCAACTGACGCTCTTGGGCCAGGGCGGCACCACCACTGAAAAGAAAAAAATTTGACATAGGTACACATAGATACGATACTACGGTGAGAGCGGAAGGCGAGAGCTTGTCTGTGTCTGTCTCCCACTGCCTTCGCACCAAATTTGTTGTTTCCTTCTCTCGGGCGGCAGTCAGCAAAGCAAAGCAATTATCGGTTTTGTTTTGGTCGCACACTCGCTGCGACGCGATGCTGTTGACCTGCCTCAACATTTGAGGCATTCCAACCATTTAATCGAGTTCAAGTTTCTAGAGCACGATCGCCGTGGTCTAAAAACAAACAAGCGCCGGCGAGAATTGAACTATATTCGCAGATATACGAATACGAATGCGAATGCGAACCACAAGTGTCCGAGTGCTCGAGAGAAAGATAAACAAAAATTCTTTGGCACGGGGCCAACACAGGAGATCAGCCACAAAGCGAACGACGTCTGCGTATTGCTCACCTTGACAGCCGAGAATGATTGTCTCGCCGATGTGGATGCTCATGTCCCTCAGTTCGTTTGTGAATATCGGAGGCGGCGCATTGCTCGATACGCTGCAGAAAGAGAATCATCAGCATCACATGAAGAGCGATTAAAGAGACTCGACTCACTTGTCCGCCGGCTTGAGAGAGCCCTCCCGACTGCCACGTCCCACCACATGAACCTTGGAGCTGGAATAGGTGACGCCCATGCAGTTCCTCGCCTCGCAGGTGTACGTCCCAAGAGATGTGGGATCATCCGCATTCGCGGTCAGTGCAAAGATATCGCCAGCCTTGATCTCCTTGGAGTCCTTGAACCAGCGCAAATGCGGCGTGGGCACACCCACCACCTTGCACTCCAGCGAAACGGTTCCTTGCTCCGTAAGCACGGCTCGCAGCTCCTCCACAAACTCGGGCGTCTTGTACGCCTTGGGAACCAGCACATTCACAGTACCCAGGCACGAGTTGCGTCCGCCAAAATTTTCCGCCATCAGCATCCACTGACCGCCATCATCCAATGTCACGGGGCTCACTTCCAGGTAATGGAAAGTACCCTCGTTGATCTCTGTGATGCGATCATTCTCACACACTCTCCTGTCGTTTCTGTACCATGTTAGCTGTAAGTTTACAAAGTATTTAAGTTATTTGAAAATTAAATAGGCATCCCTTCCCTTCTGCTCAAATCTGTGCTGTAAAATTTCGCAAGGAGCAGAATCGATAATTGTATATCGACCCTGCACGACTATCAGAGAGGCCATTTTCTTTGTTTTGTTTTGTGGTTTTATTTGCGTACCTTTAAATCTGTTGAGCTGCGTATTTCGGTGAGGAGACGTGTGCGTGTGCCCACTTTGACGGAGAGATCGACCAGGCGCCGCAGGAACACAGGCGGATCGTCTCCGGTCGATCTGTCCTCGACAATGAGTTCGACGTTCCTGCGCACCAAATCGTTACTTTTCGTTCGTGCGAACAGCGTGTAATGTCCGGCATCCTCTCGCTGCACATGCTCCACGGCCAACTGGACGGCATTGCTGGTTTGCGTTATCCGAAAGCGATCCGAGTTCTCAATAGGTATTTCTCCGCGGCTCCTGAAAGTGAAAGATTAGTGCCACACCAAGAAGCGGCCATGATCCGGTGTGAGTAGGCGTGAAGGGGCATGCAGATTGGGGACAAACAGTAAATCTATAGGGCTTAAGGAGGATTCACCTTTTCCTGTAGACGGACGAGGCCGAGGACAGCGTGCCGTTGATCTGTTTATGTTCGTTGCACTGACAGCATTTGGAACATCCGTTGCCCATGGCGTTTGACTGGCCTGGGAATAATTTCTGTTCAAATAATTACCGCCAGCTATTCGGTTCTCGTTTGCTATTCGCTTATGATTGATTGATTTCGTCTAATTTTAAAACATGAAAGAAGGCTAGAAAGTCTTAAATACTCGTGCAGTTGCCGATCGTACCTATGACAGCTTTACGATTAAGTAATCAGATTTTAAATTGAAATTTGTATATTTGTTCAGACTGGCTGTCTTTAGAAACAAGAAAGTCTCACAAAGACCTGTTGCATTAAGGATAAATCCTGTTAAAGCTATTTGATCTTGCTATATCAAGAATATATGTATGAGTCTTTTAAGGGTTCAGAAATAATTGCTTCTCTAAACTATCCCACTGACAATATCTCATTCTTTCGATAAGTATCACCCCCTAGAGTAGAATACACGTGTCCGCGCATCTATCGACACTTTTTGATTGGATGGGTAAACGTCATTTATTTATTTTGGCAGGATTATTGCCCAATAAAACAGAACCTCATAAAAGATAACAATGGAAGAGAAAGATGACTAAAATATCTTTGAACCGAAACAAAAATGTTTATAAATAAATGCTCGAACTTGCGGTGGTGAGAGTATTAATTGTATTTTTTTTTGTTTTTGCGCATTTCCCACTTCACAAGAAGACTCGGACTCAGGCCACAATAATTTAAACGTTAGCTAGACAACGGCGAAAGCGTCGGGGCGGCTTTTTGCCAAACTTATTTCGGGATGCGTATTTCATGTTGAACGCTAATAACTTGTTGTTTCGCTGTCGTTTCTCTGAGGTTTGTGTGTGTTTTTCGTGTTTGTTTTTCATGCACAAAATCGCAGAGATCGAGAATTTTCATTCAAATTGTTTCTTGTTTCTTTTGTGTGTGTTTCTATCTGTTTTGGGGGGCCCCTTGCGCCTAGCCCAGCCCAGCCCCAGACTTTTATTTATTTATGCTCTCGCGGATATTGCTAAACATCTGACCGACTCTCTCTTTGTTTTCTCAGCCAAGTCAATTATGTAATTTTCAATTTCGTTTGAAAAACTATTTTCAACACTTTTAGGGCATAAAATTGAAATGTTTTGACGCACGCCAGACCGAATTCCGTTCAATACCCGAGACAATTTCACTGGCGCAACACGAAAAATCACGGACGACGAACGCTAGACGGGGGAGGCAATGCGACGCGTCGCGGGCCGATGCGATTTGTTAATGCAGCTATATTTAGACGATCGTAATAGTTTTCAGGCCCGCCACACGCAAAATATGGGACAGGTACCAGGTACTGCTCCCCCAATTGTTTCTGGGAACTGTATTTTGTCGAAGGAATTCTCACTAATTTGATTGATTTCGTTATAGCTGTGATTTATTGAGTATACGCCACGGGCGCCCCCAGATTTACGCACTACGTATACGTCTGATCCCTCTGTGTGTGTATATATATAGAACTTTCGTATGGCCGAACACGAATGCTGATGCTGCGGATAGCCGGATGGGCAACGGATATGTTAATGCGCCGATCGTCAAAGTGGAACTGTCCGCTCATTTCGGTGGGCCAGAGGCACGCCATACGCCATAGACCCCTAGAGCAGGTTGAGCAATGCCACAGCACGCAGCAACCGCAGGAGAGGCACAGCACTAGCTCTCGTGGCGCAGTCGCCGGTGGAACTGCTCGCTCTCTGGGTCTCTGCTCAATAGAGCGTTTGAAGGAGAACTCATATGTTAATGCGCACAATTCTGCCATTATGCAGACCAGGCACACACTAGGACGGGATACGGGCAAGGTCTGAGTGAATCACCAGCGGCAAGTGCACAGGTAGACAGGCAGAACAGAGCCAAACAGGCAGATTTATAAGTGGATATGACTTACCATTCGAATTTGAAGGGCAGCAATTCGGACTCCTCATCCTCATCGCAATCGATTTTCACAAAGAATGTTGCCCGCTCGTTGGGTATGCAGCGAATCAAAGAGCTGGAGTTATCGCTGAACGTGATGCGGGGTGGTGGTCTGCGCTGGATCGTTTCCGATACTGGTTCCTGGCCAGGAGGTTCTGTCAAGGAGAATGGGGAATATCATTTGGTGCGTATGTCATGACTAATCGGTTTCTATGTTGCGGTGTCTTGGGAAGTTTCACAAAAGATAAATTATAATAAATATTTGCAGAAATGTCAAAGATTCCCCAAAAAGAACTGAACATAAATTTTATGCCGACAACAAGGCAGGCGCGCTCATCCCAATTCCGTGTATATTCGACTGGGAGATACCCTAAACTGTAATAAACTTTCCCTTAGAATTCGGTTGGAACATTATCTTCCATCAATTTCTATGAACTTTCCTTTCTAAGCTCTAAAAATCTGCATGCTTATGATGCTAAATACATGTATTGTATTCTAAGGAATAATATTGACCGCTATACCCTCTGAATACACCGAGTATTCAGAATTGGCACTAAAAATAGTTCCAAATATTATTCATACACGCAAGACAAGAAACTATTCTAGAGCATGTCGAATCTTTCCTTTCCGCCTGAGAAACCATAATCAAATGTGATTCCCAAATACTATTGAAATATTAAGGAACATCTCGATCTTGGCTACGAACAGAATGACACTCGGGCAGAATGGCCAGCAGCAGCAGCAACAGCGCATTTTCCAACGTACAATTATGAAAATTTCTCATACACATTTCCCAATTACGTAACCAGCTACCAGAAGTCTAGCAGACGCGGATACGGACAAAGACGAAGCAGAGCCCGTGGAATGCCATAAAAATACACATAAATACTCATGAGATCCCATTGTCTGTTCGGGAATCGCCCGGGCACGGGCACTGGCAAGGGAGACAGAACAGAAAAGGGGAGGGGACAAAAAAGGAGAAATCGTTCGCTTTCCCGGTGTCTGGGGCCTTTTTTTACTTATGCTTACCTACTACGACGGCAGCCTCTTCAGCGGCGGCTGCTGGCGATGTTTCCATGTTCAGGTCTCGCTATATAATTAGCCAAAAACAGGGCCACCAAGCGGACAGGGGGCCGGTTGGGGGTTACGGGTACACACTTTCAGGACGACTTTCTCTATAGGATTAGTCCGCTATATACCGAAAATTTTTAAATATTTTTAAATGCGGCTTTAGCCGCCGACAGGCGATTTTCTTATTTATTTATATTTAGAACTCTCGACGCACACACAAACGTGAACGAACAGAACACGGATTATAATTGAAATTTTCCACTTTTTCGATTGGTGATTACTCGTATTTGCTTTAAACAATATATATTGGTTAACATATAATTAGGATCTATTCAGATTTTTTGCCTTTTCTGGCATTGCATTGCAAATGGCTGCGTTTCTTTTTCAAATTTCCACCAGACCAGACCAGACACACTGCATAGACACACACTCACAGAAATTGACACATTTGTGAACACAGAAATGTTCATTTCTTTTCTTTCTATATATAAATAATATATACAACACGGCGTTCGACTTCGAGGGCGCGCACCACGTCCAGCAGACACCTCCTGGATCTCCGATCGTTTTGCTCAGACTGAACAGAGCAGGCAACAGATCAGCCAGCGCCAGTGCCAGTCCATGCCACCAGCAAAACACACACCGCGCCGAGAGAGGCAGAGACCATAGACCCAGGGAGAGCTCTCAGAGAATTCTTGAGGATGCGCAAAGATTTGCGCATGTTTTTTCAAACATTTATTTCTGATTGTGCAGCACACAAACACACACGTACAACTGGTCTCACACTGTCTCACATTAGGTATAAAATAAATACGTTTCTTAGAGTACGGCTGTCCGTGTTCTTTCTCAGGTGTGTAGTAAGTACAATACATGCTGCACTCGACCAGGCGCTAAGGCAATCATTTTGCTTAAGCATAAGACACACATCGATCGATCGATCAAAAGTACATTAGGGGTTAATTGATGAAAAAAATACAAAAATTGCACGGAGCGTTTCAACAAGTGGCTGGCACTTACTCCTTGTACGTTTAGTTGTTCGATAAAGCTAGGTTATTGTCGGGATTGTCCGGAAGGGAATCCTGCCTCACACCGAATAGAAATGGGTATGGAATTTTGTGCGACATGAGGGCTCCGTAAACGGCGAAAACCAGGCAAGCGAAAACCGCCCAAAAACCGACTGAATGCTCTTGATGCGCGACTTCTTAGCCCAGCGGGCCTCCTCCTTCTTCAGTTGTTCAATTCCCTGCAAAAAAAAAAAAAAAAACAAAACAAAAATTAATCCAAATAATTCTTTAAACAATTGGTATTCACTCACCGTCTGATCGTTAAAAATGGCTGTCAGCTGAGTTGCCAGCATTATGATGGTGAATATGCCAAACATCAAGCCCTCGAACGTGAGAAAGAGCAGCAGGAATATGGTGGATGGCGGTGAGTACGGCGAGCATGTGCGCCAATCGTTCTTCACGCACTCTGCGAACTGCGTGAGCACTAGAAAGAGCGTATGCAGCGATATCGAGGCAATGTAGAACTGCAGAGAGAGAGAGAAAGAGTGAGAGTAAGCGTGCGTGGAAGCCGACAAAAAGTTCCTCATTCGCTTACGGTGAAGAGTACAAAGTACTTTTGATTGTTCTCTCCCACGCAATTGTTAACCCAAGGGCAATGGTGATCCATTTTCCTAATACATCGCTGGCAGACGGAGCAATGATGTGCCCGCTCGGGCTTGATGCTACAGCACTTGGGGCACTTGTAGAACATCTGACCCTCTCGATAGCCCATCTGTTCAATCATTTCCTTGGTAGCATTTCCCCTTGGCACAGCGCCCTGCAAAGTGGGGACACGATGAAGTGCATTGCATGCGGAATGATGCAGTTGTATGCCGGTTGTACTTACCGGATCCGAGAGCATGGTGCGTATGTGAGAGGCGAATGCTAGGAACGCCAGCGCTTGGAATATAATCATGTTAATGGTACTGAACACCGTGTACTCGCTGGGCATCAGAATAAGGCGCATGACCACAAACTCGGCAAAGAGAATGAGCAGCCAAGTCATGATGACACAGACAATGCCGCAGATGTCCTTCACGCACCAAGCGCGATTACCGCAGCACCGATTGTGGTGGTCCACACCGGCCAGGGCGGAATAAGAGTAGTTGTTCATGGTATTTGGATACGATACGCAAATGACACATCGGTTTCACCAACTCCCAGATAACATGGCGCGACGGCAGACCTTTGGCTATTAACAACAAACTTCGACCGAATAGATAATGAAAAACCAAATCAAAATACAACTAAGAAAATTGTCAGCTGGCCGCGCCATTCGCCCAGCAGAGCGAAAAACAGTGCTGCCAACTTTTCATCAGGAAAAAAAGTCGTTTCTAAATTGGACAGTGTTTAGTGTTTTTACAATAATAGCTAAATTAACTCATCATACCATACCTTATACCCAGAATATTCTTGGTCATGTCAGGTTCACTGAAATCCTTAATTTAAACCTTATTCCATTTTTCTTAGCGCACAAGATTTAGGCTGCCAGTTTTCATACTTTTGATGTAAATGTAGAAATTTAAAAAAAAAAAGCGGAAAAATCGCAAGCGCAATTTCTAAAAAAAAATCCAGAATTCCCGCAATTCCAAAATTTTTCCCGCAGTTGGTTTCAAAAAACAGCAAGATTTGACGGGAAAACAGTGAATCGGCAGCACTGGCGAATACAGAACAAGAAATGCATTAAAGTGGTTCATAAAATCGTTAATTTTCATATCATATCTTTCAAACTTAATCCAATTCACAAGCACAAGTACAAATACAACCGTTAACATATCTTTGCAGATAATGAGGGGAATGAAGTTGAGGCACAGGTAAAAATATACAGAGATTAAAATATTAGGTCATTCAGTATTATGCGGGCGTCAGCTTGGCCTTTGGTTCTAGCAGTGCCCAAAGTCCGGCCAACGATGAAATGGCTCCAAGCAGGCCGATCGTCCGTGGGGTCAGACTAGTGTAGCCCAGGGCCGTGAGGGGGATGAAGAAGTCGCACATATTCTTAACTGTGTCCACTACAATGTCCTTGTGTCCCTGAATCATGACATACGACTGCAGGGCCAAGCGTTTGAAGTCCTGCGGGCTATTAATGCTGGTTGGCAATTTGCAGCGTGATATGCCGCTCCTGCAGCCCGACTTGTGAAGCTCCAGGACCCTCACTATCTCATAAAAGTCCCGGCACAGGTTCATGACGATCGAGAAGAGCCAGTACTTGTTGGCCAGGTTGGACCAACGCTTTGCGTTCACATTTGTCAGACCCGTCCTCGCCATCCACAGGAAGTGATCAGCTAACAGGAACAGCGACTGCGACAGCTTGGCCAGGGTCAGAGTGACCCGAATGGTGAGGTCTGGATAGTGAATTGTCCGGAGAGTTCCATAGAACACGTCCAAACATTTTCCAAATCGAAGCACTGAGAACTAGCATGTATTAGCTGTGCGATGCAAACGGTTTGAATGAAACTCACGCTTTCGGAATGTGCTCAGGATGTACTCCACTGTCTTGAAGTTGTCCACCAAAGCAGGACTGGAGTTGGAAGCCTCCAACGAGTCCCACATTGCTCGCGACGCATATTGAATTAGTCTGTTGTGGGGGTGAAATAAAGGTTACGGTGTTCTATGCTCCCCTAAGTAAACACACTTACCTAGCTAGTTTATCCCGACCAGCAACCTGGTTGTTCAACTGCACCCACTTGTCCATATTCATGTTATGACAAAAATAATGTCCAGTCGAATCGAACGGTCAAGGTACAAATAAACAGTGTAAGAAGAAGCAGTTGAAGAGTATATACAGTGCTGCCAGGTCCGCTGTTTTCCCGTCAATCTAGCTGTTTTTTAAGACCAACTCGTGAAAAATTTGGGAATTGCCGGAAGCGGGAATTCTGGATTTTGACAGGTTAATCTGGTTAAGGAATTCAGTGACCATGACCAAGAGCATTCCGTGCATAAGGTATGATGATTTAATGGAGCTAATACTGTAAAAACAATAACTTAGTTAGAAACGGCTTTTTTTCCTGAAAAAAGTTGGCAGCACTGGTCTGCAGGCTCTAATATACGGTGCGCCTTACAACACTAGGCCGTTTCATTGAAGTCTGTCGCCACGTAAAGAAGTGGTCCGAGATTAGTTTCGAAATTGTTAACTCATAATTATAACACTAGCAATGGCTGTAAGTAAATTATACTCGCTCAGAATGCCGGGGAATCGACCACTAAACATTTCGTTCTCTTACAGCCAACGCAGAAGGGCAAACAGGGCACGAAAGGTGCGAAGCAAATAGTCGAAGAAAACAAGACCACATTAGCATTTTATAGGAACATGGCCATTGGCTGCGCTGCACCTGCTCTTCTATTGAGCTTTCTAGTCTTCGAGTTCACCAAAGTCACAATCGTAAGTCGGATCACTGCCAAAGTGCGACTCCCATTGCTGAATTGCTTTCCATTCTCCACAGTTTATGTACGTCCTTTCGTTGGCGATCCTTGGTGGTGCCTACCAGTTTATGGCGTTTATGTCACAAGCAAAGTTCTCGGAGACCGGAGCTCTACTAGACTCGGGCAACGATCTGAACATGGAGGGCGGCATAGCGGAGTGAGTACTCGCATTTGCATCTGTTTCCTAATTTGCTAAACCTCATTCCTGCCTGCTCTGCTTGCAGAAATGTCAAGGATCTGATCATCCTTACGTCTGGCACGTTACTGATGGCCCTCATCTCAAACTACTTCTGGCTGGTGCTGCTTCTGGCCCCCATACGCGCCGGCTGGATGCTCTGGGGCTCCTTCATAAAGCCATGGCTTGCCCAGCGAAATGCCCAAGAGGAGCCCGAGCTGGACGAAAAGAAGCAGAAGAAAATGGAGCGCAAAATGCGTCGCATGAGATAGGAGGCAGCAGAATCAACTTTCAGTTAACTATCGGTTGGGGGTCCTCTGGGGCTGGCTTAAATATGTTTATATGAGATTTTACGCTTAGATATTGCCTAGGACTATGTAGATGTGGGTGTGTGCGTTTCCAAATTATCCAAAAATGTTTAGCAAATTAAACTAGAGACAAAAGACGATCCCCACAATTTCAGCTACTTGAAGCATTTGTGCGATTTAATTTTTGGTGCATTTTTTAGAGTGAACAAACCAGAACAGCTTTATATAACGCCACCTCTCCAGAAAAGGCCCACAGACTACTACATATAATTAATTTGTTCTGCGAACGTTCGTCCTGTCGTGGTGTGTGCATTGTAAATACATATACATTACGATATTGTTTATAAATAAATGTGTGCTTGAGTGCAGCAGGAACTAGTGCATTTTCCACTTCCTTTCTAAGCATGGGAGGAGTATGGTAGCCAAAATATGTTCATGGCGAAAATAAACGACAAAATAAAAGAAATCAAACTATTTGCAACAATTTATTCTCTTGTTGTGCGCAACCAAACTAAGGTAAGGTATAAAAAGTATCAAATAATATTATGTTAGGGTGTGATGTTGTTTGCCCCGCCCCCAGGGTGGTGCTTCGAGACACACGCACGCATATATTACAGATTACAGAAAACAACATGGGCTGAATTTTTGATAACTTAAGAACTTTAAATGCAGGCTTTAGAGGGAGGAAGGGGCGAGATAGAGAGACACAAGCGAAAGTATAAGAGATTGTTCCGTCACATCCTACGCGGGGATAAACAGCTAATGGAGTGTGTGTGTGAGGAATTGTTTTTGTGTGTGTTTTGTGGCCAACTCCTCCGTTTTTGCTTAACATCGTACATCTGTGCTTAACTACAACAACTTCCGATTAATATACATATATATGCTTTGTATATATAGGTATATATATATATGTGGGTGTATATAAATATATAACATCAGGGCTCGCTCCTCCGCTACGAGTATGTGCTTAGTTGTATTGCTCGGGAATGACATAGGAGATGTCGTCCCATGGATGGCGATAGAGACCCTGCTTGAGACGCTTCTGGTCCATATAATGGCCAATGAAACCTATGCTTCGGCCCAGCACAAACAGAGAGTTAATGGCACCCACATTGATGTATTCCTGCGCTTCCTCACTGGAAATTGAAAAAATTCATAAATTATACATTTTCGTATAGACTATTGATGACTCGCTACCCTCGTACCTTGTGAAAGATCCACTGTTGCGCAGCATGTCAACGAAAGCAGTGGCTATCACACCATCCACATTCAAAATCAAATTCGGCTTCTTGTTGGTGGTGATCTTCTCGACCTCCAGAGCGTATTTGAGCAGCGGGCATGCGGGGAAGTTCTCGAGAACAAACTCCTTGATGATTTTCACACGCACATCGGGATTGTTAATCGACTTGACGCGATGCCCAATGCCCAGTATCAGTTTGCCCTCCTTGCGCATCTTGTTCACAAACTCCATGGGATGCAAATTGGTGTCGTACGCCTCCGAAAACTGTCTGGCCGAGCCGTCCAGAGCACCACCAAAGCGATCGCCCTGAAAATTAACATTAGAAATCAGTGATCTGTCAGCTAAGAAAGCGCTTTTCACTTCACTTACAATTGTCAGCAAGCCACTGACAACGGAAGACACCAGATCCTTGCCGGCACGGGCACAGACGATGGTGTTGTGGGCGCCAGAGACAGCGGGTCCATGGTCGGCCGTCACCATGAGACACATCTCAAAGAACTTGCACACGTACGAGGGTAGGCAGCGCTGGAACCAGAGCAGCGAGATGACACCGCCGATGCCCACCTCCTTGCTGAGCACCTCCGAGATTGGCATGCCCGCGTAGATCAGCTCCTGGCCACGCTCATCGCAAATCGAGGTCATGAACGAGGCTGGCTTGCGGATGAGACCCAGTTCGCGGGCCCACGAGTAGTCCATTGGCACGGTCGGTGGTGGCACCTCCTCCTTGGGCACCACACGGCCCGTCTTCACCAGCTCACTGTACACGTGATGGATGAGCTCGCCGAGAGTGTCGAACGAGTCTGGGACATAGGCACGCGCCTCGCGCAGAGCCTTGTTCTTGGCGGTGGCCGTTTCCCGGTCCGAATTGGCGCAGGAGCCGGCGTGTCCGAACTGCACCTCAGAGGTGAACATGCTGGCACAGGTGCCGATGCACCAAGCTACCAATGGCTTGGTGATGCGTCCATCCTGGAGAGCGGCGCACACATCGTACTCCTCCGTGCCGCCCACCTCGCCCAAAAGCACAATCAGCTTGGTATCCGGATCGGCCTGGTAGCGCAGAATGTGGTCCATGAACGTGGATCCCGGATACCGATCGCCGCCAATGGCAATGCCCTCGATCACACCGTCGGTTGCCTTCGATATGATGTTGTTCAGCTCGTTGGACATGCCGCCGGAGCGAGAGACATAGGCCACGCTGCCCGGACGGTACAGTTTCGAGTGGAGGATGTTGTCCAGCATGCCGCCAGTGTTGCCGATCTTGAAGCAGCCCGGCTTGACGCCGCCCACAGTGGCGGGACCAATAATGGCCACACCCTTCTTGTCGGCCTCGAAGATCAGCTTGCGTGTCATGTTCTCGGGTATGCCCTCGGCAATGATGGCAACGGTGCGGATCTGGGGGAACTCCAGCACCTCCAGCGTCGACTCGTAGGCACTGCGCAGGGAGGCAAAGTTGACCAAGACATCGACCTCCTTGTTCTTGTGGATGGCATCGGACATTTTCTTATAGACGGGAATGAGGATCTCCTTGTGGCCCCAGTAGTATTTCTGCTTGTGATCGCCGGTAAATGGATATACCATGGCCACCACAGAGGGTTCATCGCGCCTGCAGGGAGAAACGATAAGTTAGAAAGCTTCGTTTGGGATTTGGGATTCGGGATTGGTAATTTGTATTGCTTGCCTGCAGATAAAATCAAAGTCAAGCATCGACTGCACAGCACGCTGCTGCATGCCCCACACAATCGCCTTGGTGGTATTGGAGAAGAACTTTCGAGTCAGGCTCGAGCCATTGGGATGGCCACTGGCACTGCTGCCATTGTCCGCCTCATCTGCTGAGATAGGTGGTAGTTTAATCGATTTAGCTGCGGTCGAGCTCAGGGCTTTTTGATTTTTGATCCCAGAATGAAGTCGAGTCGAGTCGAGGGTTCGATTAAAATGATGATGGAGGAGGAGTAGAGAGCGAGTAGAGCGAGATCAAACCAGGATACAATATACACAAAGAACAAATACAAATACATACACAAATACGATACAGATACGATATACGATATACAAACATGGGGTATATATGAGGGTTCGCGGTGCAGTTTCGGGTTGGTTGGCCAAACGAGCATTTCAAATTGATTTTTGATTGTGGTTTATGTGGATTGTTTTTTTTTATGTGGTGACAATTTTTGTTGTTGTCGGTTGTCGAGGGCGATCAATGCAAATACATACAAAATACAGAGAGAATAAAAAGAGAGAGAGAGAGAGATCAGATCAAAGATTCAGTGCAGGACAATCAATGCAATCGATGTATCCACCGGCAAGGATACAAACGATTAATTATTTATACGACTACTGCAAGAATGGATTAGTGATCTCCTTTGGGGTTAACCAGCGGACACATACACCACACAACAGATTCAGATTCAGCTTAAGCTGCCATTCCATTCCATGCCATTCGACTTACCGGAGCCCAAGGCCTCGCTGCTGCTGGCATCGCTGGCCGCCTTGAGATCGGCCTGAGCCTGCTGGCCGCCAGGTAGCAAAAAGTTGGCGGTGGAGAACTCCACACTGGCCACCTTGGGAATGGGCCGCTTGCCCAGGGCCATGCCGCAAATGGAAGTCATGTGTGTTTCGGGCCCAAATACGTGCAGCGGTATGCCCAAGGTGCCACCAAAGTCACGCATGCGGCGCAGACCCTCCTGATAGTTGGGTCCAGCGCGGCGCACAAAGATCGAGACATTGTGCTCGACCAGCTTAGGCTGGAACTCGCGCAGGGCCGTGATGATGCCTGGGAATGAGAAATGAATGAGATTATTGATCGATGGCTGATAAGATATGCATATTTATATATGGGGTATCACCTTGGAAGGTCGCGGCTACGTTTGTGAAGTTGGCAATGCCACCGCCGGTTATCAGCACCTTGCCATCGGGATGCTTGGGCGAGGAGGTCATCAGGTTGAGTATGGTCTTGGCGTACTCGTACGTCTGCTGCTCGGAGGGGGCACCGCTGTACTCGCCATAGTTTGCAAGCTCCGAGGCGCCGCCCAGATCGCAAATTGTGTCCGAATAGATGACGCTGGCACCGCCGCCCGCCACCATCGTCCAGATGCGACCATTTCGATTGAGAATCGTGAGCTTGAGCGAGGCTCCGCTCTTGGCATCCAAGTCGGCGATGTACGCCTCCTCGGGATAGGCATCGCGGCCAAATGGTGGCGGATAATCGATCTCTCCCCACTTGGGACGGCAGATGAAGTCGGCCGTCGAGTCCAGCTTGGCGGCCAGGTCCAGTATATACAGACTGTCGGCCGTCACCACCAGGGGATTGATCTCCAGATATGTGAAGTACAAGTCCACGAATGTTGCATACAAGGCGCCAATGAATTTGGCAATGCGCTCCTTCTGGCCGGCATCCTTGACCTCCTTGAGCAGCTTGCTCTTGACATCGGACAGCGAGAGTTCACTGTTCACTGGGACATCCAGCTTCACGGCCTTGGCATCCACATCGCCAATGTCCACGCCACCCTGATGATAAAACAGAATCGTGTCCGCCGATCGATGCGAGTAGATGCACACGTACATTTCCTCGGCCTGGGCAGAAGGAGCAGAAAATAACAATCAGTTAATGGAGATTCATTCAATTGGGGTTTTCGAGGGCAGTATGGTCTCACATCGGTGTGTGGCAAAAAGGGTTCAATGATGAAGTTGCGCAGCTTGCCCACGGCATTGCCAATCTTCTGATCCTTGTTGATGCGCTCGCCAATCCATTGTTTCACCTGCTCAAAGCTCTTCTTAACGCCAATCAGTCCCAGTTTGCCGCGACGCTTGATCAATTGATCGGGCTTGACCACAAGCGGCTGCAACAAACGAAAGCATACACCAAAATCGAAATGTTAATTAAATTGTTTATAAGATACGAGTATAATAATAACAAAAATCATTGAACTTGAACGGACAGCCAACCAAGCCAACCAAGCCGGTTTTCTCAAGCATCTGTTGCTGTAGCTCTCTGTGTGTGTGGAGCAAGATCAGGCGATAGTGAGCGACCGAGCGTCCCCAAGGGTCAGGCCAGCCATCGCCTCGTCATTGACAATGACATTCCCCGTGTACATACGAATACACACATACACATGTCGGAGATGCCTATTAGAAGATCGTACGAGTGTAAATTGAGCAAATGACATCCGAGTCGTCAGGCGATACAACTTTGTCGTGTAATTATACATACAAAACATATACGAGTATATTACGTGCATATATCTGGAAAGAACTTTCATTCGTTTTAAAAGAAAAAGTGTTTACTTTTGGACCTGGTATCTTGGCGCAAACTGAGAATAGCGTGTTAATGCTTCCCTTCCGCAAACAAAACAAAAAGAAAAACACGCGAGATTTGGTGCAAATCACAGATTAGGGATTTCTCGCTTCCAATGACCGATAAAACGCGAGTGAATTTCCGCTGCGAATCTACATGATTGAGTAATTCTATTGTATGGAGTAGCACTCACGCGTATCGTGCTCTCCAGCTCTCAGGTGAAGACCACGCCACACGACCTATAGCCATATAACTATATAGCTATAGCTCCAACAATCATGCACGCCGATAAACAAACACGGCTTTTCTATCAGAATCACTCGGCTGCCTGGCGCTCGCACCATGCTGCTTCCTGATAAGCCGGAGGCCACCACCACCGGCTTAGTCATCCGGGGATGGCGTGGAGAGAGACCCCGTCCCCCCCGTCCCTCTTTTGGGGTCAAGTTCAATGACAATGTCGAATGTTTGTGGCCGACGCTGGCCCAATTATCGGTTGCTGCCGCCGCTACTGCTGATTAGGGATCTGGTAGGCTATTTTTAAGTGGCACTCACCGTGGTCAGCAACCAGGGCTGATCGATACTCAGCTTGGACCAGTCTGTGTCGGCATTGACTGTGGCAAAGCGACAAATGGCCGCGCCTGCGCCATGAGCATTGAGGTGACGGTTCAGAATATCCTTGCCCGTGGCTTCAGTGATTGCTTTCGCCGACATCCCAGATGCTGTAAAGTATAGAAAAAAGAAGAAAGAGAGTAAATGGCATTAGCATTAGTAGGGATCGGATTGGATTGGCAATTTAATAGCACCGTACCGTTTGACTTTTGTCTGTACTTTCAAACTTTGATTTTACAAGTATTTACTTAGAATTGATTAGAGACGGGGCGGCCGTGTGTATGTGTGTGCAAGTGCAATAGGTATATCTGACGGTGTCGGTGCGTGTGTTAGTGTCGGTGTCCGGTGCTTTATTTCTGGAACCACTTGGAACCTGTGTGTCTGTCAACCTGCACGCTGTCGAGTTTGGAAGTAAACTGAAATCAAATATGCGCAAGCACCAGCCATGAAAGGGAAACAAAAACCTAAGCAACAGAGCAGCGTCAGCGACCGCCTCGTCAGCGCCTTCGTGCGACGATTTAGGCGGCTGGCACTAGCGCTTCGGGTGCTATGAAATTTTGAAAATTTGTTGTTTCCCTCTCTGGAAGATTGGGAGATTAAGAGCGACCGACAATAAGCACCGTTAGTCCCAAGAATGAACCTCTCTTAAGGGGCGGATATGCACTAGCTGGACAGTGGTCCACCACCGGGCTGTCTCTGTTTGTCGAACAAGTGGTTGGGATGAACCGGTTATCGAATGGGTCTTTGGCTAAGGGCACAACCAGCTGCCAGTTGAACTTTCTCCAAAAATGTCATCAAACTAAATGCTGAGTAAGGGGGGAAACGGTGCCTATTGGTGGCTGGCTAGCCAACTTTTGAATCTAATTTGAAAAGCACACACATTTTAAGCAGCCACTGACATTGGCGCCCTCTCTCTCCCACCTTCTTGGTCGATTCGCCAGGTAATGACTTTGCTATATGCTCGCTCCAAACATACATATGTACATACTATAGTATGTATCTGCGTACATAGAGAGCCCTGCCTAATTTACATCAGGTAACGAAGTTCACTGCGCAGCGGTGCCGTTCCTATTTCTGACGCGTATAACAACTTCGACGGTTTTAAGTGAAACCGAAACCGAAACTGGCATTGGCAACAGCATTTTGTAAGCGGTGAAAGTGGGCAAAATCAATAAAGCAGCAGTTGCATCACAGGCCGAGGTCAGCTTCGCATTAATCTAACGTTGCAATTGCTCATTTTATTTTTTGAGCATGAAATTCTCAACCAAATATGCACACACATTTCTGCAAGATTGAATATGCGTGCCCGCCCGAGTGTGTGTACATTTGTGAGAACCAAAGCCGAACGATATACGACGTCAATCTGGTTACCCATGTTTTACTTTCAAATATAGCTTGCAGTGCGTTATTAACTGCCGATTTAGCAGTCTGTGACTATCCTGTTGGGGTACACTCACTTTAGTTATAACAACTTCGCGTATATTAGCTTATAATTTACACGTAAACCAAATTTTTTGCAAACTTTCTTTTTTTTTTAGTGTTTTGAGCCCATTTTCTAGGGATGATATATTATCCATATATCGATATATACTTTTTGTTGATAGTACTTGTGGTCGTTTGAGACTACACTAGCTTCTTTCCTGAAATACTGAGATATCATGTGACAAGCCTAATTACACAAAAACGGTGGAATTATTTGGGCCAGCAGCCGGTTGGATTAACCAACTTATAACGCAAAGTATATAATATCTGCCCCGCTTATGCCACCAGACTGAATGAAAATCCAAACGTTCGCATTCTCTCTGTCTGTGTCTTTCAGATGACATGGACAGTTAAATGTAGTGTCATACGACCATTATCAATGCATTGGCTATTATTTTGGTACATTTGGCAATTAACGGAACTTATCGCCGTTTTATTTTGAAAATAAAAAAAGCTAAACAATGGAAAAAAGAACTAAAAACTAACTAAAACTAACATGCCAGTTTCGTAGTACTCAAAAGGAGTCTGTCTCTACCTTCGAGTGCTCTACATTCCCAATTCTGGTTACAACAAATATAGACAAGCAGATATATTTGAACCCCTTATCGATACTCAAATTGCAAGGTGTGTGACCTAGAGAGGGCAACTTTTTGTTTTCGCACATTTTTTCTCAGCCCAAAAGTATGCTCTTAAATAGCTTTCGGATCAGCTGACAGTTGCAATTCTAGAGATGCACTTTAATCAAACTACAGCTTCATATTTACCTAATTGCTCCAACAAAGTATTCACTGCTTTATATCTCCCATAATTATTTAAAGGAAAATAATTCTAGGTGCATGAGAATGCAAATATGTATAGCTATGCGATACTATTGCTTATCGGCATGCTGCGCTGCCATCGCTAACCACAGACACAGCTGATAATACGAGTCCAGAAAATAAGCGATAATAGCTAGCGACGATATTGAATAATATAAATAAAGCCCAACGCAGAGGAAACGACGACCGAAAAAAAGCTGGACAGTAACTGGAAAAGCTAGAGCAGCGCAACTGCAACCAAAACCACACACGATGTACACATATTTACCGCTGCGGCTCGTCCTGAGGCTGATACCAGCTTTGTTCGTGCTGTGCAGTGGCAACAACCAGCAAATGCAAATGCAGCTGGAGCCCAGCAGCGAAAAAGTGCTGGAGGGACTCCAGGAGAGCTTCATCAGTCTCCCGGAGGCGCATACGCGCGAGCACAGCGAAATGCTGGGCGACCTGCGGATTGTGCCGCCCCACCTTGACTTTGGAACATGGTCTGTGGGGCAGGCGCGCACGAAGCAGGTGACGCTGTTCAATCAGCACACGAATCGCACTCTCCAACTGAACTCTGTGGTGGGGCCCAGTCCGGCCTTCTACAGCAGCTTCTTTGGAACGCGCGAAGTGCCGCCGCTGGGTAACACCACATTCAGTGTGGTCTTTCTGCCGCGGCAGCTGGGTGCCATATCAACGGATCTGCTAATACACACATCATTCGGTCGCGCGGAGATGGCGGTACGCGGCGAGGGTAGCGAGTGTCCGTATCGCTTGAAGCCGCTGGTGGGCATCAAGGCGCCCATTAACGCAACGCTAACCCCAGAGATTCACATGTATAATCCCCACGAGCGTCCGCTACAGATACTCGAGGTAAGTGCGAACCAGACGCCAAAAGAAGTGCACTTCTATAATGGCTATATTTCTCTCCAATGAACAGATTTACAGCAGTGGCGGGGAATTCCAGCTGGAGCTGCCCAGCGGTGGCTCCGAAGGGCCACAGAATCTCTGGGAGATACCGCCGCACACGCTAAAGCCAGTCATACGGATCTCTTTCCATGGCCGCACCGCCGGCAACCATAGCGCCTACATACGCATCAAGATATCCGAACTCGAGGAGCTCGAGGAGAGCATTCTGGTGATACCCGTGGAGTTCGAGATTCTGCCCAAGCACACGCCCTACGCACGCAACCCCCTAGCGGACTTTGGTCGCGTGGCCACCCACAATGCGGAGGCCATGGAGTTCAAGCTGGACATGCACGACCAGAACGATCAGAGCCGCGAACTCTTCGGCAGCTATCTGCGGAATATTCCGGGCCTCTTCTTCGATCCCAATAGCACGAGCATTGTGCTGGACCCCAAGCTGTTCGAGAGCAGTGAAACGATCAACGATTTGCTGGTTATCAGCAGCAAGAGCTCCAGCCCGGAGCCAGTGCAACCTTTCACGGTTCTGGTCCGGGCAGAGATCTTCAAGGGCGGCCTGTCATTCGATGGCAATGCCACCAAATTTCTAACTGGTGGCTCTGTCTCCGATGGCTCTGAGGGAGCCTCGCCGCTGGAGAGGAAACGCTCGCTGGTGGTGCGCAACAACTTTGCCATGCCCCTCATCCTCTACAATGTCAGTCTCAGCGAGCCGATCGACGAGTCCCTGCTAGAGGTGACCATGATGGGGGAGCCACTGCAGATCCTGCTGCAGCCGGGCGACTCTGTGGAGCTGCTGAAGCTCAATCTGCTCAACGATGAGGTGATGTTCAATTCCTTGCTGCGGATCGACACGAATGTCACCACCTTCGAGATGCCGGTGGTCTCGTGCAGTGGGCGGCTGCACATCTCCGCCCAGCCGTTTGTGCTGCGGATACCACAGAAGAGGCACGAGCGAGAACTGCAGCCGGAGGTGCCAAGCTTGGAGCTGGATCTCGGCACTGTGCCATATGCCGAGATGTCGCGCGATGGCTATGTCATCCTGCGCAACGACAACCCCTTGCCCATCAAGATCACCAACTGGTTCTTCAAGGAGCCCAAGACCGTCTACTCGCACAGCTCCTTCTTTGGCTGCCTGCTCGCGGAGGATATTGAGAATTCGCAGGACGACTTTAACGAGGCCACGCGACTGCACATCTGCCGGTACTTGGGCCAGGGCGACAGCGCCGTCTTCCAGGTGGCCGTCAAAACCTACATAGACGGTCCGGCCGAGGGCACTCTCAAGGTGTGGACGCCCTACGAGGTGGTGCGGGTGCCCGTGAAGTTCAAGGCCTCGATGGGACAGCTGGACATCGATCAGGAGCAGCTGAGCTTCAAGAACTGCTTTCCCGGCAAGATCTGCACTGCGGTGCTGAGCATCCGCTCCAGCTTCACGCATCCCGTGCACGTGAAGAGCATCAGCTTCGCCAAGCCGGGCCTACGCTTCAAGGATTTCAATGCCAAGGGCACCACCATCGCTGCCCAGACCCTCACCAAGGTGGGGCGCATCTACTTTGAGCCCACGGCCATGTGCCAGAGCCAGTGCTACATCAGGGACTCCACCAACGATCAGGCCGTGTTCCCCAGCATACCCGGTGGCGGATCCCTTGGAGGGGAGCCTGGCGGCGGCAGCAGCATCAACAACAATCTGCTCTACGATGGCGTTGAGCTGCGCCAACGCACGGAACTCTATCGGCAGTTCAAGCGACAGCTGCAGGCCCTCACCCTGACGCTACACAGCGATGAGCTGCCGCCGTTGGAGCTGGACTTTGCCATTGCCGTCGAGTGGCCGAAACTGGTGCAGTTCCAGCCTATCCCCCCAACGCCGGCCATCGAGATCAGTCAGGTGCAGCGGCAGTGGATCACCCTGACCAATCCCTCGCAGCAGCCGCTGCTCCTTGACTACTTCCTGTCGGACCCGGCCTACGCCAGACGCACCCAGCTCTCGCTGCCCCACGAGGTGATCGATGTCAGTTCCACCAGCTGCTATCTGACCGATCGCGAGGTCTTCTCCCTGCCCGAGGCCGGAGGCCCCATCCTGCTGCCGGGCGGATCCAGCCTCACCATTCCAATAACCTTTAGCGCCTATCAGCCGGAAAAGTACTGCACCCTACTCCACGTGAGGAGTAATCTCACGCTCTACGAGGCTGTCTGGCTGCAGGCACGCGCCGTGCAATCTCAGTTCCGCTTCGGAAACCGTCGACCCGGCTCCCTGACTCCCCTGACCTTTGACGTGCCGCCGGATCAGTTCGAAGGCTGCCAGTCCGGCGACAAGGCTGTGGTTACTGTCCGCAGCTTTACGGCCCGCAATGCGGGTGTCATTCCCATGAGGATCGAGGGATTCCTGATTGGTTCGCTGCCCTGCGAGGACTACGGCTTCAAGGTGATGGACTGTGCCGGCTTCGATCTGGGTGAGAACGAGACGCGCAAGGTGGAGATTGCATTCAGCTCGGATCTGACGACATCGCGCGTGAAGCGAACGCTGACGCTGATCACGAATCTCACCTACGACATCGGATACTTTATGCTGGCCCAGATGCCGTCCGAGAGTGTGGAGCAGTGTGCCGCCCATCTGGTGCGCCCCGTCTGGGAGACTTCGCTGCGGAATGCTGCGCTTGTGGTGCTGTTGGCCAGCTTCTGTCTGGTTTTGGTGGCCGCCGTATTCGATTCGAAGGCCATCATGACCCAGCAGAGTGCGTACGATGCGGCCCGGTACAAGGGACCCGTCCAGCCCACCTTTAATCTGCGGAATATCGTCAAGATGCAGGCCGAGGAGGCGGCAGCCAAAGCGGAGGCAGTGCAACAGCAGCAGCAGCACCACCACCATCACCACCACCCGCAGCAGCAACGGGCCAGGAATGGGGGCCAAGCAAAGGAAGTGCGAAAGCGGACATTCGTTGCGCCCACGACTACGGCAACATCGCGCAAATCAAAGCCGTCCTGGTCATCCTGGGGCATGGACATGAATTCCCTTAGCAAGCATCTACAGAAAACCAAACCAAAGCCCCAAGCCATAGTCACCCCCATCTCCAATCCCCCTCAGCCCGCGCCAGTGCCTGTGGAGCCAGTCAAGCCCGTGAAGAAATCGCCGACGCCATCACCGCCGCAGCCAGCAGCTCCTGTGCGGCCCCAGAAGAAGGTCAGACAGACACCCGTGATTGTGGCCCCTACAGCACCCAAGCCCAAGGCAGAGCCCTCCCCTAAGGCAGATCCATCGCCCAAAGCAGAGCCATCACCCAAAGCAGAGTCATCACCCAAAGCAGAGCCATCGCCCAAGGCAGAGCCATCGCCCAAATCAGAGCCATCGCCCAAATCAGAGCCATCACCCAAAGCAGAGCCATCGCCCAAGTCAGAGCCATCACCTGTGAGTACCCCAGTCGTCCAGGAGGTCCAGGAGAAACCGATGCCCAAGCCGAGTGCCGCTCAGCCGGAGAATTTATCGCCCAAACCCATCAAGATCCAGGAGCAACGAGTGCTAAAGGAACAGAATGGATCGTCGAAGAAATTGGGCAAGACTCCTGGCCGAGAGAGGGAACGCGAGAGGGAGCGTCGCAAGGAACAAAAGGCCACCAATGGAACATCGGCTGTGGTCGCAGTGAGGAAATCAGAGCGAAAGCAGCGCCAGAAGCAGCTAAACTTTGGCCAAACCGCGACCAGTACCTCGCCACCAGCCTCGCCCGATACCATCAAGTGCATCACATCGCCCTGGGAGACCAGCAGTCGGGTGTCGTTCCGGGATGTGCTCCAAACAGCCAGTAGCCAGCCTGCACCCGTCGACAATGGAATACATTTGGCACCGGCGGCACCGGCAGCACCGCCAGTACCAGCACTCGAACACCCTGTGGCACCACTACTGCCAGCAGCAGCAGCATCACCAGCATCATCAAGCGATCTCGGACCGATTGGAGGAAGCCGAAAGAACTCGACGCCGCCATCGATGACATCTTTGTGGGAACCCTTGTCGGCCACCGCCAGCAATTCGCTCTTTGCCAATGCCGAGATCGAGTTGCCTCCCGTGGATGGTAAGCACACGCAGCACAGGACACACATTCCCATCGGTTTCTCTATAGCGATACTTCTTTTTGCAGATATGTACGAGCAGCGGGAGCGGGAGAGGCAGCTCCAGCAGCAGCAGGTGCAGTGGGAGCGCAGCGAACTGGTAATGCAGCAGCAATTGCTGCTCCAGCAGGCCCAACAATTGGAGATGCAACAGCGACAGCAGGAGCAGCAGCAGAAGCAGCTGCAGCAGGAGAAACTCTTGTTGCTGGCGAACATGGAGAGCAACAATTGGAACTCCCCGTGGTCGCCGCTGGGCTATGGTGCTTGGCCAGATCAGACAACGGGTGTGGTGAATGTTGTGCGTCCGCCACCGGGTCTGCCTGCAACAACGGGCTACAACAATAGTCAGATGCTGGCCACATCGCACAACATTGCACAAGAACAACAGGGGACAGCAGCAGCCGCAGCAGCAGCAGCAACAGTAGGAGGAGGAGGAATAGGAATTGGAGCTGGAGCGGCTGCAGTAGCAGGACCCGGCGAGAGTCTGCCCACTCAGTATGATCCCTTCACCTCGCCAAGCTCAATATGGTCGGACACCTGGCGTCAGTCCTCGCAACGCAACAACAACAATCACATGAACTGAAGGGTTATATCCACGGAGAAGTAGTGCGAGGAGATGGAGGAATAAGCTCACAGATCAAATAACTGAAATGAAATCAACCAAATGAAATTCTTACCACATAAACACACACTTAGGCTATGCGATAGACGATGGATGAGTACGATGAAACGAGACGAGGACTAAGACGAAGATGAAGGACGATGGACGAAGCATGATCTTTTCCAATTTGACTTTTGACTAAATAAACGCAAAGATAAAATGACTTTCATATTAAATTGCATTTGTTCATTTTCTTGCCGCTTCTCCAACTAAACAAAAATTAACTATTTCTCCTTGTATGTGATGATGCCCTTCTCGATCAGGTCTGGAACCTCCACAGCCAACCAGGGAGCCAGCTAAAAGGAAATCGTTCAACACTTGTTCGATATTTGTATCATTGAAACACTCACTCCCAAAGCCATGGCATGGGCGATTCCGAATTTGGGTACATTGCGTGCCCACAGGGGCTTGAAGTGATCTGTTAGACAGATTTTGCCGCCTCGATACATCTTTGCCGTCTTGCCATCCAGCTCGGGAAGAGCGATTTCGGGTGCGGTCGTTGGGTATGTCACTGGAATGTCAAACTCCACATCGAACTCGTACTTGAGGAGGTTGTGCATGTACCAGCATTTGCCGAACCATTTGGTGCCCTCCTTGTTGGACTCCAGCCGGAACCAATCGCTGCCCGACTGCTTATTGTTCTCCACATACTGCAACAGACGCAACAGTTTAGATTTTTGTGGTACATATGCATGTATGTGTGGTTTCGGTTTCGCCACTTACCTTGATCAGAGCCTGATACTCCTCCTTGAGCCTCTGAACCCAAACTTCCTTTTCGCGCGGCCCAGCCCGTATCTGTAACAGTGGAATGTTGCTCAGTGTCTTCCTAGTGCCATCGTCCACCATTCTGGCCTATAGTTTGATCTGGACGCACAGAAATTAATGCAAAAGGAAAACACCTTCGGTGACACGTTCACGTTTGTGTGAGCGAAAGGGACAACTGCAACCAGCTGTGCGGGCATGTGTAGGGTTGCCAGATTAAGCATAAATTAACTTTAAACAAAATTAAAATTAAAATTAGCTTTATAAAATGTATATATTTATAAAATTTCAAAAATTAATGAATTATTGTTTATAAAGTGATATAAATTTGGTTGTTTAATAGAAATTATTTGTATTAATTATAATATTTATTTGTTTATTTTATTAATTATAATAATTATATATTATGCCAAGTGATTAAATATAAAGCAATCGATACTAATCGATACTTTGGCGCCAAAATGCATAGCGAAATTCAATTTGATTCCCGTGTATTGTATTTTCAGCTGTCATTCGGCATTATAAAAAGGCGTGGGACGGGAACTCGACTCAAACAATATTAGCTCGTTGCGAGATAAGCACCATTACCAAGCTGAAATAACTCTAAGAGGTGATAGTGTGGAAATAAAACAAACAAGATTTGAAAAAGTAAACAGTGTCTGCTCTCGGTTCGTTACTCTATGAAAATACGTCTATAATTGCCAAGTAAGTCCAAATTTGATTGCAAGAATTCTTTCTTTCTTTCTTTGTTCGTTTGGTTCTATCTGAATTATAATTGCGAAATAGTGTAATTGCGGAATAGAATAGTAGGAGTTTTTCGTTTGTATTGATAATTTCTAGTTATTAGAGTTATTTTCTCTTTTCAATTTTATTAATATTATTTAAAATATACATCGACTTATGGCTGGGCTGGGAACCACTTTGAGTGATGTGCTTTCCCAGAGATTCACAGATATTACATTTTTTGGGGAAACACCCTCAAATAGATCAGAGGTCTTAGGAACTTTTGAACCTTTGAAAAGAATCAGCGGGGGGATAACAAAAAATTCCATCGGTAAACAAGAGAGATGTTACCAGAAGAAAAAATTGTTTTGTCATTTCTATGGCACAGATTTCTGCATGAGACTAGAAAAACGACATAAACACACGCCGATTGATGGTACCTTTGAACCGAGCATGATAATGCCAATCCAATCCGTTGATAAGGCGGCAGATTCACTTAAGAACCGACGCAAACCGGTTCGGGTGTCTGAAGCGCCTGGATTGCTTGCCAGCTTGAAGACTGAACCATGTGCTATATGTGCTCGCGTTATGAAAATATAAAATGATTACCAGACTCGACCTTAATCGCTGATAAGACAGCATCGATGTCCGTTATACCAGTTCGAGATGATCAGGGTGCAATCCGCGAACCGGTTACAGCCGGCTATCGTCCAGCCCCCTCTTTACAGGCAGGCGGGCTTTCAATTAAACATATTACAAATCGATTCTCGCAGCTCTTTGAACTGAATGTACTTTTGTATTTATTATGCCACGGGGTTGTCCCTTTGTTAGCACTCCTCCGTTGCAGTACTGTTGGAGGCTAGGGCCTCGACAGCAGTGGACTGATCTGGGCTGCCGTCTTCCCTGGCTTCGGTGGTCTTGCGCACGCTGGCTGCAATGATCGAATCCTTTTTCCGACCTCGCACCAAGCGCTGGAGGCGGTGCTCCTCCCACTCCTTCCGATGCACCTTCTTGCGATGGGCATGCATATTGGCGTTCGAGTTGAAGGTCTGCGTACAGTGGGGACAGGTGTACAGTACTTCGCCGGTATGCGTTGTCAAGTGCTCCTAAAAACAGGCCCAAAGGTTAATAGGCTATTAAACAGAGGAGACACGACGTTCCCTTGACTAACCCGCAATTCGTTTGGTCGCTTGAAGGCCTTCTCACACATCGGACACTGATGATTGCGGGCCGTGTTGTGGGTGTACTTGAGGTGGTGCTGATGGGCCTGGAGGCTGGGTGAAATCTTGAGGCACAGCTCGCACTGCATCGGCTGTAGGTTCTCGGCAGTGTGCATCATTTTGATGTGACGCGCCAGGCCGTATTTGGTGGTAAGTTTTGAGTCGCACAGATGGCACTCGATGGTGGCCTGCGGAGCGCCCGTGTGCTCCTCCATGTGGCGGGCGAGGGCCTCCCGTCCACGTATGGACTTGCCGCAAACGTCGCAAATCTTTGCATACAAATTCAAGTGCACGAGCTTGAAATGCTGCTGCATGGTGTATTTGGTGGGGAAGCTGCAGAATGTAAAGTAAATCTAAGACATAGAAGGAAACTCAGCGGAGGGCAGCACTCACGTCTTCTCGCAGTTGGTGCATTTCACCTGGCACTGCTCCTTGGGAATGTGCGTTAGTTTGTGGCGTTCGCAGACGACGGAGCTGTAGAAGCTCTTGGAACAATGATCGCACTGGTGGAGACGGCCTTGTGACTTAACGTCGTGCATTCGCATATGGAGTTCAAGGCTTCGCCGCTGGCCCATTACGCGATCGCAGATTTTGCACTTGAAAAGGTCGGGATCCTCATGGCGACGCAGATGATCGACCAGCACGCCGCGCTTTCTGAACTTTCGGTTGCAGCAGACGGCATATCCACGCTGATTGTGCTCCTGTCGCACGTGCACCAGCATCTCCGAGAAACCCTCCATGGGGGCACTGCACACATGGCACTGCATCTTGTAGTGCTGCCTGATGTAGTCATTGAACTCGCTCGACTTTTGAAGATTATATACGAGGGCTTTTTTTGGCTTCTCCGCTAACCGGACACGTCCACGTCCGCGCCCCCGTCCTCGAGCCTTTCGAGTGATTTTCGGTTTAGGCTCCTCAATTTCATCGTCCTCCGTGGCACAGCCACTGTGTGACTCAAAGTCTTGCTCCTCCTGATCCTCCAGCACATCAGCAATGGTTAGATCTGCCTCGGGGTATTCAATTTTGATCTCATTTAAGTTGATCTGTTCCAGCACGTTCTGGAATTCTTCGTCATTTGAAGCTGCCCGGATTTTGCGGGGACGCCCACGCCTGCGCTTCACGGCAGCTGCCACGCTTTCCACGTTCTCATCCTTTACAGTACCGCCATAAACGGCCGCCACAACTGCGGTTGGAGTGTTATTCTCCTCTGTCTCCTCGGCCTGCTTTGTTGCCAGTTCGGCCAGGGTTTTGTGGGCATTCTCCACTGTTAAATAGAAGTTGTGAAACAGCAACAGTTGTTCCCAGCATGATCCGCACACGTAGCCACCGACAAAATCATTAAACTGCAATGAAGTGCGATCAAATTCGTTAGAAATTTAACTCAAGACAAGGGCGGCCGTTGTGTGTTTTGTTTACCCGCAACCAAAAGTGTTTTTCAATTATTTGCTTTAAGCCGAGCGAGTCAGCTTCGACGGAATCAAATTTGATATTGCTAGTGGCGTCATCCACATGATGAGTGCACAGAAAGCACGGCATTGTGCTCGTAAGTGCCCAATAATTAAAGAAAATGCGTTCAAAATTTTTTTTAGCTAGCACGAATCGGAAATGGAACAGCTGATTCATACCATCACTGAAACTATCGATACAATTGTATCGGAATTGACACTCTTTTATCATATTTGTTAATAGTAAAGAAAACCAACAAGATCAGTAACTAATACAATAATAAAGCTAATGTGACTTTAATGACTTGCATACGTAGTTTAAATAAAAAACATAAACAAAACAAGAAAACAAGTCTTTTATCGGAAACAGGGATGATATTCGTATGAAACCGATAAACAAATATTGCGACTAAATTAAGCAATTTAAGCAATTTAATTTAATTTGTTAATACGCCGAGCTTTGTTTACGACATGGCCACGCAGTGTATGGGGAATGAAGATACGACTCATTCACCTTCAGGCGAATAGACGCGTAAGTCCGATTCAGATCGGTCTTATCTTGCTATCAATGCCATAAACAAAACAAACGTTTTTAATATGCTTATCTTTTCTGTTTTCAGCTGCTAAAGCCATTGTATTAGCAAACTCGGAGAGTATTGTGCCAGATATGGATGTGCAGACAAGCCGTGTTGTTCCAGACGGCGGCTGGGGATGGGTTGTGGTGGCAGCCGTGGCCGTCATCAATGTAAGCAATCGCCAACTGCGTTTTAGAATTTAGAATTAACACACCACATTGTTCTTGCTTCGCCCTCACAGATGACAAATCAGTCCATATTGTCCGTATTTGGGCAATTGTTTGTGGGGGAGCTGCGCCGGATGAATGAGGACACCTTTACATCGGCGCTGATTACGAATCTGAACAGCTTGGCCCTGAACTTCTCGGGCCTGTTCGTTGGGCCGGCTATCAAGAGCTTTAAGCCGCGCAATGTGGCAGCCACCGGCTGCGTCTTGGTCTCCTTTGGCCTGGCGCTGTGCTCCTTTGCCACAGAGAGTTGGCATTTCATCGTCGGCTACAGCTTCTTTGTGGGCTTTGGCCTGGGACTCATTTCGCCCTCCACATTCATGGCCATCAATTCCTACTTCAGCAGCAAGCGGGGCCGTGCCGTTGGCGTCTCCCTGGCAGGTGCTGGCGTTGGACAAGTGCTAATACCACACGTGGTCCGCTATTTCCTGGATAACCACGGCTTTCGTTTTGCAGTCCTTGCCATGTCTGCGCTCTCGCTGACTGGGGTACGTCTTTAACGAACATCTCTTACGTAAATTAGGTCTAAAAATATCCCTCGTTCTAGCTGTTTGGAGCCATGTTTTTGAAGCCTCTGAATCCTCCCGTCAAACACAATAACCGCCGACACATTCGCCTGCTGGCCGAAACGGATGGGGAGAAGGGCCAATCGAGTCCCTTGCAGATTGTCGTTGTAGCGACTCAAAGCAAGATGGACGAAACGCAGCCAAGGAGCGAGTCGCTGTGCCGACGAATGGGCAACCGACTGGTCCAAGCTATGGACTTGGAGCTGCTCAAGGACGCTGTCTTCTGGAGCATCATTGTGGGCATGGCGCTGGTCTACACGGCCACCATCAACTTTACCATGATATTTCCAGACTTTCTCGGTCAGACGGCTGGTCTGAACAGCTCAGTTGTGGCCTTCTGCATGTCGGTGGTGGCTGGTGCCGACATCGTGTGTCGCCTGCTGCTGCCCTGCATTACTGATCACCTGAGGATACCCTACCGAGTGGTCTTCCTGCTCGGTACTGCTGGCCTACTGCTTGCGCGTCTTGTGCTGGCGGAGAGTCAAGACCTGGGCGTCATAATTGCCATGTCCGTACTGATGGGAATGATGAAGTCCGCCACAGTGATCAACAACAATCTCACCATTTCGGCGCACTGTCGCTCGGAAAAGTTGGCCGGCGGTCTAGGGCTGAGCATGATGTCAAAGGGCGTTATTGTTATCACAGTGGGACAGCTGCTTGGATGGGTACGCGACTACGCCGACTCCTATGTCATCTGCCTGTACGCCCAGACTGTGCTGCTTCTGGTAGTTGTCCTGGCCTGGGCACCGGAGATCTACTACCGTTTCCGTATGCAGAAGCGCACCAGCTCAAAGTCCATGGAGACGACAGTGGATGCCGCCGAAGAGGGTGCCAAACTGAACTCTTGAATCTCGTGGCATTGGTCTAGGATAGAGCTTAAATTAGCGAGGGGGGGTATATTTACGATGTGATAGTCGACGCTGTGAAATAGCATCGAGAGCCATCCACTCGCTGGTTGCTCTGGTGGCTATTCCATGGCGCCGATGGATGGATAGAATTCGGGTTGTGAGCAAAGACCAGTGCCAGGTGCGCTATGTATTAGGATTAAGGATTTTTTCGACTATTTATTACCATGTAGCACTTATGAGACTTAACTTTTGTACTGCCGCAAGAGCCGAAACAGAAACACAAATATAATTATTACAAAAACCAAATTTTATTTTCCTGGCGACCGTTTTCAACGTTCTTAAAGCAGATCTTAGTTACATTCTGAATCCATTCTATTGAACGAGAATAGAACTGCTGGTGCCCAATACCTCGGATTCGCCCGATTCGGTGTTGTAGAATAGACGACGCTCCACACCCTCCTTGGTGATGATTCCGACGCGCACCACACCACCAGAGCTGCCATCGTGATAGATGGCATGTTGCACCGCTGAGAGGTGGAAAAATGGATTAATTCCTATTCGTATGGTGGTATTCACTGCTTGACTCACCTTGCTTGACAAATTTCACGCACTCCTCTTTGCTCATTCCCTCGCGGAAATGCTCTCGGACGTAGCCGTAAATGAAGCTGGATCCCGATCCGCCAATGGTGCAGGGCTCGCGAGTCAGCATGCCACCCAAAGGGATGCTGAACACCTGACCACCGCGCTGCTCATCCCAGCCGGCCACAATGATGCCAGCGAGCAGGGAGTCGCGATAGTTGTAGCAGAAGTTGCGGAACTCTGAGGCAGCCTCAAAGACCAGGGCATCCTTGTTGGTCTGGTTCTCGTGATAGTTCAGCGAATAAGCCACAATGTCTGCAATGGCCTGGGTATCGGCGGCAGACCCACTGCGGCAGCAGTAAATTTTGTCTGTAATACGAGTCAGCTTGTCGGTGACACGGTTGGCCACATACGGCCCGGAGCTGGTACGCGAATCAGCTCCAATCACAACTCCTCCGTCGAACTCGACGGCCATGATTGTGGTCTATGTCCGAAACAACGAACATTATGTTTAGGGGAATTTAGATGAACTCGGGTGGGTACTTACGCCAGTGCTGACGGGTGTATCGGTGAAGTCCATCTCGTAAACCATTTTATTTTGCTACAATACAATTTACAATTATTTTTGTGGAAAAAGCGGCACGAAATGACTGGCTTGTTTTTGACAAGTGTTGCAAAACAACCAAATGGGTCAGTCAGTGCTGTTAAATGGTGCTGAATAGTCGCGCAACTCGATAACTTGCGGCTATCGAATCAGTGGCACATGTTCTTTGTTTTGGTTGAGTTTTGAAATAATTTTTGACTTTTGATTTTGATTATGGCGTACGTTGCTCTTAGCGAAGCCGAGAAGACATTTATATTGCATGGCGTAGAGGTAGGCTACGGTCATCATTCATGAGTCCTGTAATTAATGTTACTATTCTACCGCCAGGAGGATTTTCGATGTGATGGGCGTTCGCGTCGGGATTACCGGCCCATGGAACTGGAGACAGCGCTGGTGAGCAATGCGAGTGGGTCGGCCCGCCTGCGTTTAGCCAACACGGACATCCTTGTGGGTATCAAGACAGAAATCGATGTGCCCGATCCCTTAACCCCAGAGTTCGGCAAACTCGAGTTCTTTGTGGATTGGTAGGTTCAGCAATGGCTATACTCCGTCTGCTTTGTACATCTGTTAGCTTTCCAGCTCTGCTAATGCCACGCCAGAGTTCGAGGGACGCGGCGGCTCAGACCTGGCCCAGGAGCTGGTGCTCGCTCTGGAAAATGCCTACGAATCCCCTCTGGCCTTTGACTATCGCACCTTGTGCCTTATACCGGGACAGCAGTGCTGGAAGCTCTACATCGACATCTTGGTAAGTTAATGTTGGTTCCACATGTCCATGTCTTATGCAGCTTTCTCTTGTAGATCCTCGAGTGTGGGGGCAATCTTCACGACGCCGTTTCCCTGGCCGCCAAGGCAGCGTTGCACAACACAAAACTGCCGCGGGTAACTGCCTCCCTTCTGGATGCTGGCGTCACGGATCTCATTATATCAGACAATCCGTACGATTGCACACGGCTAACCATTGATACGGTTCCCCTGCTGGTCACTGTGTGCAAAATCGGCGACTATTGCCTTGTGGATCCTTCGGCGGAGGAGGAGGTCTGCAGTACTGTCAGCATAGTTGTGTCCGTATCCATGCGGAATGGAGAAGGTAAGATTCAGACCAGCCCAACCGAACGAGACCCTTACGACTAAATGCTTGCAGCATTCCTTTCCGGCTCCCACATGACTGGCGGCGGCGCCATGCACAGAGATACAATGCGTAATTGCCTGGATCTAGGTCTGTCGATTGGCGAACAGCTGAACACGTTGCTCGCCAAGATGCTGAAGCAGGAGGAGGAACGCGTGGGACCCAAGCGGCCCAAGACGGTTGGGTTTCTCAAATAAAATATCGCTGATTTGGTATGAAAATGTAATATTTTTTTGCTCGAACTGACATTGACTATTACTCGAGTGCGGGATCTTTAAACTTATACTTTGTAATTCAACATGAACATTTATTGATCTTTACGTTTCTTCGTCTGCCTGCTGGCTGGAAGCGGCTTCTTCTCCTTGGGCTCGGGCTGTTTACCCGTCAGAAATGAGGTCAACATCTCGCTGATCTCGGGCATGTCGTTGGTCATCTGTAAAGTAAAACAATTGCATCAGTAGTTTCCGTTTTAACCTTGTAATTTGCTTACCTTTGGGAACTGCAAGTTGTCAATCTCCTTCTTAGTCTCGGGATCATTGATCATCTTGGGCAGAACCAGCATGAGCAGCAAAGGAAGAACCATCATCAGCACCATGGGACTGAACATGAAGTCGGTTATCTGCACAAAAATATAAATCAAATTTATGATTCTCTTCAACTCTCTAATCGCTGCCCACCTTCCACTGCTCGCGGGTCTGGAAATACTTGAAAGGCATCAGTGGCTTCATTCTCAGGGGGTAGGCCACCTGCATGATTTGCGCTGGCTGGACAAAGTTCACCTTGCGCGCACGGAACTTTCCCTTGGGATTGATTTCAACGCGCACCTGAAATGGTAAATGAACTCGTTACGGCACCGCCATCAGGGGTCAGCCTTGTTTTACTTACAGGCTCGTAGAACACGTCAGGATGATGGACATCCAGCACATAGCTGCCGGAAGGCACTCCGCTGATGATGAACTGGCCATCTTCGCGCACGAAACCCTTGTACTCGCCATCATTGATGGTTATTGTCACATCCACTTGCCATTTATTGTCATCTTTATTCAGGCCTGAACCTTGTCCTGGTGCCAGAATCGAGTCCGGTGGAGAAACACGTCCTTCGATTGTGTACAGCCCAGAGACCTCATCCACCAGCTCATCCTGGCCAATAACGATTTCGCAACTGCTCAGCGCAATGAGCGTTGCAATTATAATCAACTTTAAGCACATTTTCTACTTAATTAATAATTTTTTCATAAAATTTTTATACGAGGGGTGGGCGGGGGCTGAAGAGTGACCGCGCCGATAACGATAAAAAATACCAGGGCAGTCCGGCGATCAAACGAGACTTAACCCACTTAACACCCCTCTATTTAAAAAGTTGAGCATGCTCTGTTAAACCGCGGAAAATAATACTGTTTGTAAAGGCTAATTGTAGCCACATCCTCCTCTTTACTTACAAAACAAAAATGACCACCGACATATTTCAACTGTTATGCGTAAAATATGTTAAAGTTACATAAATTTCGTGGAAATATTAAATACCCCCTGGCCGACAATGGGCTAACGTTCTATTTTATTAATTGAAATCGTATTCCATAATTTTGATATTCAGTTTAATATTACTAGCTAGTTGGCCCTCTCAGCCCTAAACAAATAACTTTGTCCGATAGATATATCAATTTTTTAAAAGATTGGCTAGTTTTCAGAAGTCCTTTTTATTGCATTGTTTACATAAAAAGGTTCAAACAAAAACGGCCAAAGAATAAAACAAAAATGTTGACTAAATGTTGCTGGTCAACCAAGTTTCTACTATGCGTTTGTACTTTTGTATACCTTATTTCTTTAATTGACGTTAAATTTGTTGTTCCAAGCTGCTATCGAACATTAAAGGTATATAAAATCAAGGTATTTTTGTAAAAATTCATATATTTAATTTAATTCTTCGGTGCCAGGTGAGCAATGTACGAGGAAAATCTTGCCCATTTTCTCACATGTTTCATACCTTCCCATAGCCCAGTCGAAGAGAGCACTCAAAACGCTCTTCCGACTCATTTTTGCGCTGCAAGAACATAATCCATATGTGGCGGTAACAACCTCTCATTTTGAAACAAGCTTTTGTCAGTGAGCAAATCTGCGCGCGAACTTATTACCAAAAGTGGCCCCACCGAGCCCCACACAGTCGTTGGCGGTATCGCGTTGCTTTCGGTTCGGTTACGGCACAAAAGCGGTTAACACTTCCAACAAGAAGTATACGCACGGAGCTTGGAGTGATTTTTAACGTTTTTTTAACAGAAATTTTAGGTTAGTGCGTGCTTTGACAAACGAGTTTTAAGCTATTTACAATAAATGGTGTTATGTGCCCCCACCGCCTGTGGCATGTTCTATGCACCACAGGCCGATGGCCGCGCCAAAACGATGGGGCGCAGGTGTGCCGTGGCACAGCCACAGCCACAGCAACGTTTTGGAATGGCATGCAATATGCAAATATGTAGATGCACTCCACACCACTCTACTGAAAGTGAAGTTAAACTTGAAAACTAACAAAAAACTGCCACACCCACTGCCAATATTGTATGTGAGAGGAATCTTCGATTCTCTCATTGGATGAGATCAAACAACGATCTCATGCTAATTGGAAAATAACTTGTTTCAAGTTTACTAGGGTTCAGCTCATAAAAATTCCTACGGTGCTCTGCGGGTACGGGTACCTTTAGCGAAGAGTGTGTGAGCGAGCGACTCGCGCAAAAATAAATATGGAAAGAAAAAACTGTGTCTGTGTCGGTTGTTTCTGTTATTTCTTTCTACCTCAACTATGTCGCATGTACTCTGGTACGGGAGGAACCGGTTCCCCAACAATGTGTGAATGATACGATGCTGTGTGAGAGTGGCAGTGGCTCGCTCTGTCTGGGAAGGTGTGTGAGATCACAGACCCCCCCGTCCCACTCAAGCTGCAAACATATATCCGAGCCACAAGGCATTTCAATGGCACACAACTTAGTGCAACGCAACTCTTCTAATACAATGGAAAAAAAATAGTAATTAATTAAGCAACTTTTTTATGAGAGAGTGTAAAAATAAGACCTGATGCGATCCATTGTCAAGTGAGTGATGTCAGGCGTTGCGCCTGCGCAGTCCCCAAAAGTAGCTGATGTAAACAGGGAATGGGATTGGATCGACGAAGACTGGGCGAAGGTACATATACATATAGGCAATGAAAACGAAATGGAATGGAATGCAATAGAGCACAAGACGAGACTGAAAAGCAAGTACCTGGAAAGAGGGCGTGGAGCTGCAGGTGGAGACGACGCGATGTCTTTATCTCTGGACGTGACGCTGGCCACCACAAATTGGCACACTTGTGTATGGGGTTTCCTTTATGCAATCCCCAACTCAACTCCGTTGATTAATCAACTGTGACACTCCACTCGCTTTCTATCCCCCCCCAGTACTATTATACACACACACATGCTGTTGTAATTAACGACACATCCATCCAACCAATGCTTTCGGCTTTACTTTTATGTCTGTGTCGTTACAAGTTTTCCTTGAATGCTCTCGTACGAACCTTCGCTGATCTACTTTCGATGATGTCATCTAATTGCCAGTTTATTTATGTATGCACATACATCAAATTAATATCGGAATATTAGAGGTCGGTTTTTTCTTAGCCAGTTGTCCCCACTTTCGGAGGCAGTGCACACCTGTTCAGCTCTCAGTGCGGTTTTAATTCTGAATCGTGGATTAGCTGTTACATATTCGTCTCTTCTATGAATCACTTTTAAACTTAAGGACCCTGAACTGTCGCTTCTTAATCGAATTTCCATTTAAACCACACCAACTTTCCATGCATAAGCAATTTGATATTGCTTCCTGACTTTTATCAACTAGAGCTTCGAAATAAATTGAAGTCAACGCCCCCGAAAAGCCTGACGATACCCATCGAGGACTCCTCCTGACACATGCCACATCAATTTTCTATACTGTTCAGCACACAGACAGCAAATGTTGATCAATCTGCCAGGAATAGAATGGATGAAATACATATTTACCTGCTTGAAACTATAGCTCTAACCCCATGACAAACCCTCCTTGTCGGGTGGGTTTGAGTACGCCCTGGAAAAGCGAACAACAGGCGAGTGTTAACCCAGTTTACACAATTCGTGGCACGCGATGTCCGGTTAAGATTGCCCTGCAATGACCAGCAATTGCCACAGCAAAGGAAATTGGTAGCCCACCTTGACCGAACCCCAGTCCCATGCCCACCCTCAGCCCTAGCATGTATGGGGTCAATAGCTTGGCGTGTGCTACAACATTTTCCCTGAACTGGAAACTTCCAAATCCTCCACACCAACCTTTGTGTGGCCTGATAAACATAAGCATAGCCATAAAGAGGCCTATTTCTTGAATTGATTAGGTTTAGCAGGCAGCATGACAAAATCAAAGAAATCTTATCGAAATTTGTGAATCATGCACAAGAAACTTAACCACATACTTGACATAACACTCCAGAACTTTAGGCAACGTTCGGAGGGGGTCTCAAATGTACAGGCTCTGATCTACCAATTTCCAACTTTAAATATTGATCAAAGCCATTAGAGTGGTGCTGTCAAAAGCAGAGCCTAATGCTTATCAGATCTGTACAATCCGCATGTACTATATATATATATATATGGACATGCATACAGCAAACGTCGTACACTGACAGCATTCAAATTGCGATTATTTTGTGTTGTTTTACCAGTCTCAAAACTGGCTTTTCAACAAGGGCATGACAACCTCTATTGAGGAGCGGGCACACCACATAGTACGGGTATATACAAATGCATATATACTCGTGCACATAGCATACAATAAGCATGATAGAGTCAAGTGTTCGAGCCCACATAATGGTTCATTGTTTTTGTGTATTTGTTGTGAAAAAGTCGCTAATCAGTTTTGTCTCACGTTCACAAAACAAAAGCTTAACAGCCAAGCCAAGCCAAAGCAAAGCCAAACCAAGCCAAGTCGGAGCCGTAGCAGTAGCCGTGGCTCCGTAGTCCGCGAATGGGAGCTGAGGGGCCAATGGATATATGGCGAAACACTTATTAATGTGCCAAGAATTTAATGGAAAGCATTTATTGTTATGGCTTGGGCCGTTTTGGGGCCAGGTGAAATTTTCGGTTTTCACTTTACCTTCCCACAAAATGATGACGACGAGGAACGTGGTGGCCCGATCGGCAAAGCAAAGCGCTTGTCTGTCAGCAAAGGTCGCGGTGGGCCTGTGGTGAATGTTATGTTTCCTAGATAAATCATTCACAATCAATAACTTTGACTTTCAAGGTCCGAACGCACAAAAATGTGAGCGCTCACACATACATACATATGCCACGAATATACTACATACAACAAATAAACCCAAAAATAAGATCTAAACAATGACTGTATCGAGCTAAAGCCGCAGCTTGGGGCGAGCTTCAATTAGCATTTTGCTGGCATTTCAAAGAAAGGCAGTTGAATTCATTTTACAAAAATAAAAACGCCTTTAAAGCCAGTGAAACATACGTAAACATTTCAAGGTTAATCGAAAATGATTTCGAATTCAAGTTCAATTCGCGCGTTCTTTTTATTTCAAGAGACGGGAACGGAGCGAAAAAATCAGAGTGGGATATCCACACATATACATGCTGCTGGGCTGGCCTTTGCTATAGATGAATCACAGTTCACTCATTCATCAGTATGCCGATCGTGTGGGCACATGGGAAAATCCACAAATACATAAATTTTTGTATGCTGCGGCCGTTTCACTCCCGTGGCGTCTCTCGCTCACTTCCTTATTGATCTGGCTTGGACCCCCCTCCCCCGAAGCGACCACAGGCGAAAGCAAAAGTCATTCATGTTCTGAGTCATTCCCGGGGGGGAACTGACCTCGATAATTTGCTCATGGCACTGGCAACCACCTGCAAAAAAATAAAACAAAACAAAAACCACCATAAATCGGCATGACAATTGTCGGCCACTAAAAATAATTAAGTAATTTGCTTAAGCGTAATAAACGCTTTATTTATTATACCGCTCACTAAACCACTAATCGCTGACTCGATTTACTGTACTATGTATATAGTGTGCACTACGTATACGCAGCGGTGCCTGACGAGCACCACACTGATAAGCATTGAGTGGCCAACAAACTGAAAGCTAAATGGTGTTAAGCGATATGTTGGCCCTATCTCGTAAATATAGCCCCAGCCCCCATCGTCAGGCCGGCAGCATCTGTACTGATATCACCACCGTCTGGCTGCTGTCAGCGCATCATTGATAA